CAAAAGACTTCGAAATAACCTTGTAATTTTCTTTAATGATAAACAAGAAATTTCTATATCAGATTTTAATAACCCTTATGACAAACTTCAATTTATGCTTATATACGAAATTATTGCTTTCCTTTTTCATAAAACAAAAATCAAGGTTAATATATATCACAATAACATAATTTATCCTACCCCTGTAGATATCCCAACCATCCTGAAGGACAATCATGATTCCCCTATTGGTGGTCATATTGGTGCTACTCGTTTGTACAACAAATTAAAAGAATTGTATTATTGGAAAGGAATGAAATCAGATATCGAAAACTATACTAAAACTTGCCGCCAGTGTCAACAAAATAAGGCACTGAGAGCAACAAACAAAGCTCCAATGGAGATTACTTCCACATCTCGTGAACCTTTAGAAAGGATATCCACCGACATAGTTGGTCCACTTCCGAATTCTGGCCCAACAGAATATAGATATATTGTCACCTTCCAGGACGACCTTACAAAATACTCCATGGCATACCCTATTACACAAGCTACTGCCCAAGAAACAGCAGAAGCACTTATAACTTTTATGAGCCATTTTGGCATTCCTAAAATTATTCTTTCAGATCAAGGTGTCCATTTCATAGCCGATGTTTACAAACAAGTAACCTCTTTATTTAAAATAAAACATCTGTTTTCATCTCCTTATCATCCACAAACAAATAGAGCTCTTGAACGTAGCCATGGTACTCTTAAAGAATACTTAAAATCTTACGTTAACGAAAACCAAAACGATTGGCACAAATATCTCCCTACGGCATTAATATCATACAACACTAGCATTCACTCATCTACTAATTTTTCCCCACACGAACTTTTATTCGGCTGTAAGCCACATATACCCAGCTCCATTTACGACATTCACCCTAATGCAACCTATAATGACCTCATCAAAACATTGAAACTTAAACTAAATACTTCACGTAATATAGCACGAGAAAACATTCTTCGTAGTAAAGAAAAGGCTAAACAAAATTATGATAAAAGAACCAAAGCCGTAAACTATAACGTTGGAGACATGGTGTATGTAAAATATCACCACAGATTACGTAAAGCACTATCGCCAATCTGGAAAGGTCCCTTTCAAATCACTCAAGTTCATAATAATAATAACGTCACGATTCTTATGAACCGCAAACAAATTAGATATCACTTTGACGAAATAAAATTGGCTCATGATAATTCTCTTCCAGGGCCATCGTGCCAGGACTCATCTCGGCAAACATAACAACGCCGATCGTGAACAGTCCCGGTATATACTTCGACTCCCTAGGAATATTAAAATTCTATAATGATCATTGGAACATTCTTACCTATTCTGATTTTTCCTATATTAAACCACATATAGATAATGTTAAACAAGCAATAGATACTTCTAAAGACATTTGTAACAAATATCCTTCTTTCGAAATGCATATTGATTGTGCTAATGTATTAAGTCCTCTAGAAAGTTTGTATGTCAACGTAAATAACAACTTTATCTCATTATCTCATTTAACTTCCTTGGAGTCCCATCGTAAACAGAAAAGATCAGCATGGTTTGGTGTCGGAGGTCCTATCCTAAAACAGCTCTTTGGTTCCCTAGACGATGATGATGCAAAAACATTCACCGATGCTATAAACGCCGTTCAAGATGACCAAAGGCATTTAGCATCCCTAATGAAAGATAATATTCATATTATTTCTTCTACTATATCTACTTTTAATAATACTATACAAAAACTTAACGCTAACGAAATTACGTTGAATAACAATGTGGAAAAGTTGCATAAAATATTGGATACTGTTTCAAAAAATACTAATAAGATAGAAGTTAATACTCATCTTGCCATGACTTTCAGTGCAATAGAAAGTTCCTTGATGATCCTTAATTTTAGTTTAAACGACCTGATAGATGCTATTCTTTTTGGGAAACAGAATGTAGTTCATCCTTCTGTTCTAAACCCCATTCTACTATATAAAGAACTAAGTTCAAATAACGATTTAGTAGCTCGTAACTTTCCGCTTCCTATAAGTTTAGATAATGCTCACATTCTCTTAGATTTAGCCGACATTTCTTCATTTCTTAGCGATAACAAGTTAATTTTTAATATAAGAATACCTTTAACTTTATTAACTGACTATAAGCTCTATCACGTTTATGCTCTGCCTACACCCCATGATATACACAACCCTAATTCATTCGCCATGATTAATCCTACAACTAAATATTTAGCCTTAACAGAGGATAAGTTGACATACTCTTTATTAGACAACCTAAGTGAATGCAAAGTGGTAAAAGACAATTACAATCTGTGTAAACTTAATAGTGTCCATTCCTCAGTGTCAAATCCAATCTGTGAAGTGACTATCTTATCGGAATACGTGAACCAAATACCCGCGACATGTGATTATAAGGTGCTTGTAGGTAATATAGATGTTTGGCAAAAACTAACTAGTAATAGGTGGATTTATGTACTAAGTGATATTTCTAAGCTATCGGTTAATTGTAATAATATGATAACAGACTATGATGTAGTTGGAACAGGAATCCTTCAGTTGCAGAAAGGCTGCAAAGCTTATCATAAATTGCTACAGTTTATTGCTGCAAATGAATACCATTCTAGTATACATTTGCCATCTACTCATTTCAATATCATATAGGATGATTGCTGTTCCAAAAAGACAATAAATAGCAGTATTCCATATCTGACACCTGTAAGGCTATCTCATATAAATCTAGATTCGTTGCAATACGCTTCTCATAAACTTAATCAAGCCACAGAAGAGCTTGACCGAATACAAACTCAGCCATATCATATCAAATATGGAAACTACTTTAGTATAATTACCACAATAGCCTCTGTATGTATGTTTAGTTTCATATTTTATAAGTTATATAAATGTATTTGCTGTAGAAATAGACATAGGCGTAATCGTAGTAACTCTACAAGTACTAGTTGTTGTATAAAAATATTTAATTCATGTTATACTAAACCCAATAACAATACTTCAGTAACTCATTCAAGTTCTAATAATATACTTGATAGAACTATATCCAACTTTGAAATGTCTAGCGTTAATTCTGATTCTAACTCTTCTATTAATTCACCTAAACGTAATTTAGACTTCCAATAAATGTGTAATAATTATTATTTCTCTTAAACTGCATAATTTTTCAATTTTATGTTTCCTCTAATTTTTATGCTACTTTGATTCTAAGAATGTCTTAAGTAATTAAGTAACTGTTTATACAATATTGATGTTCTACTACTTTTTTCTTTTCTCTTTTTTTTCTTCTCTATCTTACTTTTTCTCCACTACTCGCATCCCTCTCTCGGATGCTGCGTTTTAATGGGGGGAGGTGTTATAACCTGCCTACCTAATGCCTACTACAGAAATGTTGCTGACTTAGGAAAACTATAATGAATAATTATTTCCAATATTAAAATTGTGATCAGCAATATTTTATGTATAAAAACCCGCGATTTCAATATTACAGTTAGTCTTGTTCTGATTTGTGGAATTGCTGCCCAACAACGGACCTGGTTTCTGCCTGCCGGTTGGCCTTCAGCAAGGAAACTCTGAAGAACTATTCAACGGCCTAGTAAACTAGCCCGTCGCGAGTCGTTATCCTTAAAACTAAAAGGAAGTAGTAGTGAACAATAAAGTGATAGCAGTGTTATAACAAACATAAATATATAAATAAAGTGATTGTGAGCAAATAAAGTTTTTTTTTTAAATTAAACTAAGTGCTCCGTCTAACAGAACGAAGGAAGGCACACATTTAGTTACAAATCGCGCCAATCTTCTAGTCTACTCTGAACACCGTTAAAAAAAATCTAATAGATAAGTTTACAGAAATTGGCATAATCGCGATCGCATCACAAGACATATACGAAAATGTATTAATTACTTGAAAGATAATATATTAACTTGTTTCTTAAAAACAGTGTTCACACACTTAACAAAAAAGTAACTTTAGCTTAGGTTTGAACCGGCCGGGCCAGCCCGGGGGCGTCCCAGTGAAGTGGCGCACACTAAGGTGCGCCGATCCTGAGACGCCCCCATATGGGCGTAGGAGGGTACCAGTGGTTTTTAGTGGGTAGGACCGGCGTTGTTCCGCGCCGGGGAGTCACACGCCGCGCGCGGTACGGTGCGTAAATGCATTTTCCATCGTCAACAAAAAAAAAAAAAAGGTTTGAACTGTTCCAATCATTCCAGTTTTTCTATATTATATTAATCGTGATTGTATTGACTTGATTGTAAATGTTGGTACATTATTCTTTTAATGTTGTGCAGATTTTTTCACTCGTTTTTCGCCGCAGCTAAAAAATATGTCCAATGTGTGTGGTAGAGAAAAAATTTTTTGGAGGATTACACAGAGTTGTACAGTGTACTAATTTCAATTCAATAAATTATTATTACTTATTAATTATTCAATACCAATTTCAATAAAGAGATATTGATTCGGATTTTTGACTGCACAATTCGCATCGCCGGTAACAAAAAAGACAGGTATAGAGGGACGAAGATTGTGTATACGAATGTACCTCTTGCGCGAAGCAACTTCAGCAGACTAGAAGTATGGCGCGATCTGTACCTGTAACTTACAAATTTTCTCTATCGATTGTGAATCGTCTATCAAACGATATTACGCTCATAATCACTTGGAGAAAATTTACTGATTTAGGTATCTTGACCTGAGGCTGTCTGTACCTGTGACATTAGACTGATCATGATGTATATTATTGTAGTATAGAAGCAACAATACGATCGAGATGATGCAGCCGTTCTCCAACGGCTGCAGATTTATACCCATCATATAACTGGTCATTGCGAAAGTTTCTTAACTTGCACGATTGCAGACCAAACCAATTAGCCACTGACCCACCGATATTCTCGAAGAAGTACCTACCTATAAGTAGATACGAGCTTCATAGAAATATATTTTTTTAACGTCTTTTTGGTTTGTATGGTAGGTGATAGGCGTTCACTGCCGTCACGGTCGCGGGCGCACCGGCACCATGTTGGCATGTTACCTCGTGTACTTCCAGAACATGGCCCCAGAGCGGGCCGTCCTCACAGTGCGAGTGCAGAGGCCTGGTGAGTTACCTTTAGGCTAAAACTCACGGCGCGATTTTCCACAGAAATTTTCAACCCTTTGTTTAACACCCTAGCCCCCTTAATAATAAACGTGGAATAAGCTTTGACTAGTTACACCGTGTTTTGTTCCAATCACTGAAATGCCATTTGTCATTCAATGAACAGAGACAAAACATATGGAGTAATAAATCCAAGCTTATTCTTCGTTTATTAATAAGGAGTTCAAGTTTTCAAGGGTCAGGTGGGACCAGACAAGGAAAAAGCTCTTTTCAGGGCGGGGGAGTCTGTACCCTACTTGGGGTTTGGCGAGCAAACGGCCCTTTTCAGGGCCATCAGGAAAAGGCCTTTCTCAGGGCCATCAGGAAAAGGCCCTTCTTAAGACCAGCAGGGAAAGGGCCCTTTTCAGGGCCAAGGGAGGGTTAGACCCTGATGAAGACGACGACCTAAGTTGCCGCACAGGGAACCATGCGACGATGTGGCCTCGTCTTAAAACTGGAAACCGGCGCCCTTGCCGTCCGGGGTGCGGGAGACCGGGCTGGACTACGACCCCGGGGTTGCGGATATAGCAGGCCGTGTAAGCCCACATCCGATCAGCCATGGGGACCTGCCCGCAATGCCGGTCCGATGCGCTTCTGAGGGGTCAGGTGGGACTAGATAGGGAAAAGGCCTTTTTCAGGGCCAGGGAGGTAGCGTAACCACCTGGTGGTCTTATCATCGGCCAGGTGACGCTGAACGGTCCTTTTTAGAACCAAGGGGGGCGGAGAGGGCCGCGAGGAACTACGCTTTCCCTCCCACTCTTGCGAGAGCCGCGGGTCTGTACTGGGGGGGGGGGGGGGGGCGCGCTTTGCACAAGCTCTCTGGATGTTGATGCCCCTGATGTTCCGGGGCATCCTCATCGGGATGGGTCCGTTCGCGGACAAACACTTTGCGGGTGCGTGGACATTCGGAAACGGGAGCCGCGACCACAACCGTCCTCTTGGCCAGCACTAGGGGGACCGCGGTCTTCATAGTGCGTGTCAGGTGACGGCGCAGGAGTATTGTCTGGTTTTTAGTGGCCCTGTTCAGGGCGTAGGTAGGGCCCTGTTCACTTCAGCTAGCCTCAGGGCTGGCAGAAGTGGGCAGGGAGGAGTCCCATATACCTTCTTCTCGCTCCCCCAGTGGTTGAAGTATGCGTAAGGAATTTCTCAGACACGAAAAAAAGGGTAGGCGGTTCTATCCGAAGTCCTCTTATCTATCTACACACTAAAATTCATCAGAGAGAGAAAGAGATAAACGATTACCACCAGCATATTAACGTCCCCACAGCTGGGGCACAGCCCTTCCCTATGAATGGAGTAGGAAGATTGGGCCACCATCCATGACCCACCACTCGGGCCCAGAGCGGATTGGTGGGTGCTAACGACTGCAGATGCAGCCGGGATCAACAGCTTAACTTGCAGTCTGAAGCACAGAGGAGCACGAGACAACAAGTTTATGGTCACCCATCCAATGTGCGACCATTGCGAAATCTATCTGCGCCATAACGCGTTCGGTCTGTGATCGCTGAAGTTATACAATACATATATTATTCTGTTTCATTTTATACATTCCAGGATCATGCGAAACATATGAACAAGAGAAAATAGTGTGCCACTATCATGACTGCGTTCGTGGTACTATCTCGAAGCCAGACTACCGCTTGGTTGAAGATAAGCTGTACTTCGACTACTCAATGAAACACATGTACAGCGATGACGAGGGCTCCAATACCGAGGAAGAAAAGAAGACAGAAGAAATTACAGCAGAAGACAGACTGAAGAATGCTGTAGAACAGAAGAGAACGGAGATCAAAGATAGAGTAGACATACTACAGTTGACCAAAAAGAAGAAAACTAAAGCGATGGTGATAAACCATAAGATTTATTTTTAATTTTTTTTTTTCAATAAAACAAAATGTTTTCTGTGTTAAAGTTACTTTTTAATAGTATAAAATCTAAGTACCTACTTATACAGAACTTTTTTTTGTATTGCCATTTGCACATGAACAAAAATTACGAAAATAAATTTCAACCTACCCAAACACCAAGTTATTTTGAACATCTATGAAATATGAGCCTTAGTATCAATGTGCCATTTTATACAAATCTAAATAACATATATACTGATGTACTGTATACATCTTTATCTACCAAAGCATTTTATTGTTTACAAATGGATTTAACAAGTTCGAAATAAACAAGAGAAAACACACACAGTTTTGGTTTTTAAACAAATAATAAATTTTATAGATATTAACGGGATTGCTACCATGTACCTTGTTTTTTATGAGTCTCCGATATTTCGGCACTGTTGCAAGCGCCATGATCACGGAGTAACTGAAGTAATTGCGGGTAGATGTTATTGGCAGACATATCGGTCTACCCTCTGACGTCGTCTTTTACTGCGTTCGATACTACCACTACCATTGGTCACATTCTCACTATTATAGTGGTAGTATCGAACGCAGTAAAAGACGACGTCAGAGGGTAGACCGATATGTCTGCCAATAACATCTACCCGCAATTACTTTAGTTACTCCGTGATCATGGCGCTTGCAACAGTGCCGAAATATCGGAGACTCATAAAAAACAAGGTACATGGTAACAATCCCGTTAATATCTATAATGTTAGTGACCATGAAAGTTTAAAACAATAAATAATAAATTTGTTTAACTGGCAAATAGTTAATAAACATCCAACTAAAACATAAGTAAACAAAACTTAAAACAAACAGTAGTAAACTCAAGCAGACCCCTCTTTCCCAGTGGGCACTTTGGGCAAGTGCCCAGGGCCCCGCGATCGATAGGGGGGGGGCCCTCTCAGATCAAATACAAAGTTCCTAGTTCCTGTTAAATCACCAAACGGTCATAGGGGCCCCATTATCCTAATATGCCCAGGGCCCCCAATAGTTCAAAGACGGCACTGAACTCAAGTCCACTTTATTTAGTGTCTGTTATTATTATAAACGAGGAATAAACTTAGACTAGTTACGCCGTGTTTTGTTCTTATCACTCAAATGCCATTTGTCTACCAATGAACAAAGACAAAACATGTAATAACTAATCCCATCTTATTCTTCGTTTAAAACATTAAACGCTTTTCATTTGTTGACAGGCATTTTTCTTTATACCCTCTACTTAATGTTAGTTCCGTTTTTCGCCACGCCCATTCTCTTTCCGCACAGACTCTATGTGGTTAAAATATTTAAAGTAAATATTTGAAATGAGTATATTTTTGCTGCTTTATACCTTAATAATTCAGGTTTTTTTAAAGAAAGCTTTAACTGTCAAAAGTCTGCTATAAGCAAAATATAGTAGTTTCGCCTACTATATCTTTTTTTTCGAAATACAGTATTTGATGCCCTGATATAGTAGTACTATATTATATAGTAGGGTTGGCAACCCTACCCTCTACTGTCAATCTTTTTAGCTTGTTAGTCTTCGTATGTGACATCCGAGCAACCCAGGCTGCGCCCAGGGTCTCGGGGTCAAATTGATGGTGATTATTCGGTGGTCTCGTCGCAACTGCACCCTAATGCTCTGATTTATGGAGTGGGACACCACTTGGTGAATCTGAGTAACGTCCGTGAAATTTCTTGAGTTGATCGAACCGAATTGGAGTATCTCATCGCCATCACAAAGACCCTGCAACAAAATTTTCAAGATTGTTTAAAGTATTTATAATTCATCATCATCATCATCATCAGCATGCTGGGGCACAGGCCTTCCCTATGTATGGAATAGGGAGATTGGGACATGACCCACCCCGCAGGAAGTGCGGCCACCAAAGCAAATACAAAGTAAAAAGTAAAGACTTGATTTTATTTTATTTTTTTAAGCATTTAACTGCTAGATGTTTAAATAAAAAAAAGTTTACTAGAAAAAATCCACGCGGACCAGGCAGCGGCTTCTTTCAAATGTTTAATACTTGAAAAAGTATTCATTTGACATTGTGGGTTACCTACAATGCGAAGAAATGGCGCTGCCTTGCAGCTTAAGGCTAGGAAAATTTCGACGCGGCTAATAGGGCCGTGGTAGCAAAATGGTCAGTGCATTCGCCCGGATAGCGAAGGATGCGGGTTCGAGTCCCGTCCGCTGCCTGGTCCGCGTGGATATTTTTCTAGTAAACTTTTCTTTGGAAGTAAAGACTTGTTTTGTTTATGTGAAGGCGGCATAGTTTTGACAAAAACTTAATATTCAAGGGACGTATTCACAGCACGGTGCGTTGTAGTGTACTGGCGGAAGTTGATATTTGCTTTGGTGACACGCAATCTGTGTACCGTGCGCTCCAACTGCCTTTAGTTCTGTAATCTGAGCTAAATGCTAACAACTGATTCTAAGTGCTCATTCTGATGAACCAAGGTAGTTGCACCAATGACCGACAGGAACCAGTGATCGTCGCTGGTGATAACACCGAGCTTTCGACGCTCAGTGTTACCATGTTTTGTGATCGGTTGCCTACTCTTATTTTCTTTGATCGTGTAAGACGATGCCATACATAGTTCCTATCGGTCATTAGTAGGGTTGCCACCCGTACTTTATTATAAAGTATTGTACGTTATTTTGGGTAATTGTACTCTATATTTTATGCCAACATCAAGTACGCGAAAATACTTTATTTAATATGATTTGATTACTCGGGGATTAATTTTACATAAAATATACAAAAAGAGGTTGATAGGAAGATATTTTGCGTAAAACGCACAGACAGTATGAATATGTAGCCCGTAGCTAATTCCTGCAACATTCTCGTGACTGTATGTCTTGGTAATATGACCTTTCCCATTGCGGAAAAGAACTACAGATTTTTAGTAGCCACAAATTATATATTAAAAGTTGCTAGTAGCAACGTAAAATATATTTTTAAGCTTACTAATAAAGAAGAATAAGAAGTACTTTATTTTGGACACAATGTACTTTTTTTTCTACCTTTAATATCCAATGTACTTTATTTGGACAAAAAAAAGGTGGTAACCCTAGTCATTGGTGCCACTACCTTAAGTTGATGATGATTCAATTATAATTTATTCCTTGTCAACTTACATCCATATCTGCCGGAGAACCAGGTTGGATACTTCCGACAGAAGCGAAACCTGCTTCATTCAAGTTTACAATGTCACCTTCACTGGATTGCCCATTAGATGAGTGACTGTTGTTGTATGCAGATCCATTTGATAATGGAACTACAACTGATGGACCTTCACCATTGGGACCGACAAAGTCTGAGTGCACTTCAGCCAAGCCCTGCTCTATTCTCTTCATTATTGCTTTATGATCATTCTGTAGACCTGAAAATATGAGCAACTTTGTTACTTTGAATGCGATTCAAGTAACGTCCTTTAACGTTTCAAATTTCGATCATCGTTTAGTCATCATTTTGCGTTTTAAGATCATTTAGCGATTCAAGTATAGTCATTTACTAGAGCATGGCAATAATCTACTTTGTATTTCAAATCATAGGTTTCAAATAGTGATGATATAGTTATGTAGGATTCCTATTCCTCTAAAATCTTTATCTTAGCATAGCAATGTGGTCATATCAGCATAATGAGTGCTTATGATTTATTTATTTATGACCCAGTTCTTTAGAACTGGAACTTTAGACTAGGGGCTAGTCACAAGTGTTGGGCTGTTACAGAGGATACTTCGGCACCCAGTAGGAGGATACAATATTATTTTGCTTTTGCGACTGTTTGTAAGCCCAAACTGCCACACTTTCTGGATTTTTAAATTTTATTCTACATTACCAACTACTTATTGATTTTTTTAAAGGTCAAATCAAAACACACAAGCCAGAGGTGAAGCGGTGGCGGTCGAGAACCGTGTCAGGAGTGGCGGTCGCATTGCAGATGCTTACCTTACACACTGCAGGCGTGCCGGAGCGGTGGCGTCGCGGAGGCGTTTCGGTGCCTCTTGTGTTTCGGCTCGCGTTTTGTAGGGAAAGTTTATAAAAATGTCTAATGAGTCCATTGTAAATGAATAAGACGCTAGAAGCACGCCTCTACACCGCAACGCGCCGCCGCCGAATCTGTGTAAAGTAACTCGATACGCTATAAGGAAAGTAATACAACTATACCGTTATAGTCCACGCCTCTGCCCCGCCTAGCCAACGCTCCGGTTTGTGTGCGTCGTCTTTCATACTAATTCGAACTGTACAAAAAAGTCCAACGACGCCTACGCTCCGCCTCCAGCTTCAATGGATTATTTAATTTTGCACATTTATTTGGATTTCGGTTAAAAATGGAAAGACATAACAGTTGTGTTGTTTGAGGTCTGTGTTACGGTGCGGAAAAGCTATCTCAAGACACACACGCAGAGGCTGGGCTTAGATATAATTCTTGTTATATCTCAGTATTCCCATGGGGCACAAAAATTGTAGAGGTCTTTAAAATAAGATAGATTTCTTCTCTGCCTGTTGTGGGGTATTTTTCCAAGTTAAAGTTGTGTCCTTGTCCTTTACATGAATATCACACGCAGGTAAACGCAGCCCCCTGAATAATTAATAAATGAAGATGAAATTGGATTTGTAAGTCGTATCTATTCCATTACTTCAATAAATAAATATTTAAAAGTTTGATATTTATAAGTAAGGAGGAGGCTTTCTCTATTTAAGTCTTTAAAAAATTGTATTATTTTGTATACAGTCTAAGATAATAATAATAATTGTAAAAATTATATTTTCTATATTTAGGTAACCTTTTGTAATTTGTGATGTATATATGCCGAATTTTTAAATTTATATGTGTGAGAATACTGAAACATGAGGCGAATCTGAAGTGAGAGCTGGAAACACTTTTCAATTTCGACAGCAAACTGTCGCCTATGATATAATGTAAAAAAAATAATAAAGTTATTAAATCATTAATTTTCAAAAATACTAAAAACATATCAACTTAAATTAAATGGGGAGACAATGGCCCCTTAATATATTTACTGACGATCTGCGATGGTAGGTAAGTTTCCAGATTTAAATTATGGTCTTTCGTTTCAGCTCTTTTTCTTTGTCTTTTCTTTTACTTCATAATTTAAAAATTTTACCTCATCAAACCTAAAATTACGGCAAAGAATGATCATCAAAGAAAGGTAACCAAACTCATGTATTAAAGGTTATTCACTACTAAGAAACTAAGGATATTTACTTTTAATAACAATAAATAGTTAGAAGAGAAAAGGATGTCTCACTAAACTCCTATGTTAAAACTGGCTTTACGATTAGAGGCTAGATGTTCCCTAGAAACTACTCCAGACATAACCTGGAGATGTGACTGACTTCCAGGCGCCCGTTGATCTTACACGATAGGGAGTCAAGGCACCAAGTTTGGCAACCACCAGCCTACCATCACCTCCCTCCACCTTTCAATTTAAAATCTTTTTTTTACCTTACAGATTATTTACTCTATGTCTTATGACTGTTCTTTGAATGACAAATGGCACTTGAGTGATTTGAACAAAACACGGATAGAATCATCGTGCATAACGATGGAGCCATAATACCCAAACTGGAAGTGGAAGTGGAACAAAACGCAGAGTAACAAGTCTAAGCTTATTTCGGTACTTAATTGTCTATCCTTCCAGATATTGGAAGATGCGGGTTCGAATTCCATCTGATGCCTGGACTGAGTGGATTTTTTTCTAGTAAAATTTTATATAATTATTATAAGTAAATGCTCTTACAAATTATTCGATGTCTAGCGTGGCGCACTTTATAGACGTCGATGTCACCTCTAGGAAATCCTTCGTTGTCCACCAAAGAGTCGGTCATGCCCACATTATTGGTGTTCAGAATTGCAGTTTGGTCCCGAATGTCGCTTTCAATTCTGTCTTTCTCTTCCATTAATTTCAACACACGATCTCTTGCTGGTCCATCCATTTTATATCCAACCATTATAAAGCAAGTTTTCGTACAAAAATTGTTAACAAATTATCTTATTGAATACTTCGCTGTATGGTGTTTGAAAAATAACATAACCTATTTCAATTGTGGTTTTTTGAAACCCATTGATTTCTACTGGTTTCAAAATACCAGAGAAACCAAAAAATCACACCACAAAATCAATCACAACAATTAGTTTTAGCAATTTTTTTATGTTTTTGGATCATGTCTTGAACAATCATCACGAAACAATTACATTTTTTTTTTTTTTTTTTTCCTTTTCCCATTCTGGGAAGGCAAAGGGTACTGTGCCCATACAGCCAATTCTTAAGTTTAATAATTCAGAATAATATATGCTCTATATAATATTTAAGCAGTAATAAGTTGTATTTCTTCTTTTTTGTAGCCAGAGCGAAGTCTTATTTTAGGTATCTTGTCTTCAAAGTACTTCTACTTCTTTCTTAGCGTTATTCTTTTTATAATATTGTCTTCTTTTGTGTTTTGTCAGTAAGGCCGAAGCCAAGTCGTTTGTGTATATGTCAAGATAAGTCATTGTCATTGGTAGAAATGTCAAGAATATTTTGAAATATTTTCAAGTCATATCAAGTTCAGAGTCTTTTAAAAAATGTCCAATTCGTGGGTTATTTTCAAGTCATAATTGTGAGTTCGTAAAGCAAGGTCTTTAGTCAAGTTAGAGGTATGAAGATGTGATTGTAATATGAAACAATCAAAATTTAAATATCAATAACGGTCGTATTGATATATTGATAAATAGGTTTAAAACAACTCTTGTTTGATAAGAGCTGAGGTAGAGAGCGCGGGATATTTGCAGATATTTTATAAATATCTAAGAGTTGATCTATAAAAATCATTCTTTGTAACAAAAAGGCACTACAATCAAAAAACAGATGATGAAGAGTTTGGCTAATTGGTAGACGACAATAATTACAATCAGAAGACGAGATTAAGTTCAACCTGTGTAGATGAGCATTAAAACGACAGTGTCCTAAACGCAAGCGACAGATGGTTGTAAAAAACTTTCGACCGTTATAATCCTTTCCTTTGCAGAACCATGGAATACTGATTTCATTGTTGATTTCAACATACCATTTGCCTTTCGTCTCAGTAATTCTGGACCAAAGTCTTTTGAAGGTATCTATTATATTATTCTTTATGTAGTGTAGAAGATCTGTTTCAGGTATTAGAATGGCCTTAAATACAGAGCTGATAATATTACTATGGATATCGTTTGTAATAGAAGTGGCTATAAAATCTGCTTTTTCGTTTCCAACAACACCAATATGGGAGGGGGTCCAGAAAAAGACAATATCCCTTACAATATTTGAGTGTGTTAATTGATAATGTTTTTCCCTGATTTGGTAAATTAAATAATTAGTTTTAGCATTGAATTTGGGACTGTCTAAAGCTTTTAAAACACTCATACTGTCAGTGATTATTATCCATTTAGGATGATTTTGATGTTCAATGTAATGAAGAGCCTCCAAAATGGCTGAAGACTCTGCTGTATAAATACTGGCTTTATATGATAACATGTAACCTAAACCTCTCTCTGCTCCTAAATCATAGAAGGCCAAAGAAACTCTTTCATTGCTCTTTGCACCATCAGTGTAGATTTGGCTATACCCTATGAAACTCTGCAAACTTGTGTAAACATCTTCTTTATATTTTAATTTGTGGTCTATGACTACATTTATTGATGAAAATTTACTTAGATATGAATCACTGTAGCAAGGTAGGCTCAAGCTCTGATAGATGTTGTTATTGGATGCCAAAACTTTGATTTCATTTAAGCCATGAGTTAAAAATGTAGAACTGTTTCTATTAGCAGCTTGCATTAATTTTAAAAGTAGAGGATGCCTGATGAATGATGAAAGTTTTAATAGAAATTTATAGTGTAGATATTTAAACCGTAAATTTAAGGGCAGGATGTTTGCTTCAACTTGCATTGAAATAATAGGGGTTGACATCATAGCTCCCATAATAATGCGCAGACATCTGTTTTGAATCTTATTTAGTCTTTCAACTAGTTGAGGCTTATGTGCAAAACAGAAAAAACCGTATTCAAAATGACTCCTAACTAAGCTTTTATATAAAATTAGTAGTAATTTGGGATCAGATCCCCAATATGTGCCTGCTAATGATTTTATTATGTTACAAGCTTTTATACTTCTATTTGTCAAAGTTTCGATATATTTGTCCCATTTAAAATTGCTTTGAAAAGTAACTCCTAAAAATTTTGTTGATGATTCCGTTGGAAGTAAATTACCATTGTAATAAATTTTGATCATTCTGGTGGAGAAGGTGTTGAAACCTATTACCTTACTTTTATTAATACTAATATCCAAATTTAGATTATCCAAATATGTATTCAGTTTTTTTAATGCACCATTTATTGTATAATTATTATCTTGTATATTGTCACCAGAAGAGTAAACCACTAAGTCATCAGCAAATTGAAGGTTGCAAACTTCGTTACCAAGTTCAATGTTGATTCTGTGGGTATATAAAATATAAAACAGGGGACTTAGTATACCGCCTTGACTTACGCCTTTAAAAGAAAATCTAGGCCCAAATAATTGACTATTATATTTAACATAAATTTGTCTACCATGAAGAAAAAGTTTAATCCAGTTAATTATTTTTAAGGGAAGTTGAAAAGAAGCTAGGATAGAAGTCAGTTTATCTAAATTTACGTTATTGAAGGCGCTAACTACATCAAGAAAAACAGCAATAAGTACTTTATTACTATGCACAGCATTATCAATATCCAAATATAAATGACTAAGACTCTCCCGAGCAGAACGGCCCCGTCGGAATCCAAACTGATTACTGGGTAAAATATGATTATGTTCAATATAGAATTCTAGTCTTTGTTTTAGTAATTGTTCAAATATTTTCCCTACACAAGAACTAAGAGTAATTGGACGATAAGAATCTGCACTATTTGGATCTTTGTCAGGTTTGAGAATTGGGATAATACAGTCTAATTTCCATTCATTGGGGATGATAGAAGATTGCCATAGTAAATTTATTATTTCTAAGAACTTTTCCAGACTAGATGAATTTAGAAGTTTAAACATTTTATAAGACAAACCATCAAGTCCACAGGCAGTGTCTTTTCTTGATTTCAGTGCAGCCTGGAGCTCAACTAGTGTGAAAGGATCGACTATGTAGGAATTGGAGGGGGGCAAGTTTGAATTACTAGTATTAGTACAAAAATTGGAAGGTCTTTCTACAGTATCAGGTGTGTATTTGCATAAAAACTCATTTATCCACTCTCCTTTTAGAAAACTTTTTGGGGGTGTATATGTTTTATTGAATTTTCTCATTTTCTGCCAAATGACACTCATAGGAACTAAGCGTGATATAGAAGAACAAAATTGTTCCCAAGCAAAACGGCTTTCATTTCTAATAATAAGCTTCTTGGCTGCCTGAGCTCTTTTAAATGCTATGTAATTTTGCAAAGAATGATTTGATTTAAATAAAATGTATGCCTGTTTGCAAGCCTCTACTGCTTTAGTACATTTATCGTTCCACCAGGGTAGAGGTATGAATATTTTCTTTTCCCTACTCTGCAAATTTCTATTGACATTTTGTGTTCTAACACTACGATCTGATCTAGAGCTTCTTATTGTATCTTCAGCTACAGAAAATAATAAAGTACATAACCTAGAATAAGATTCTATAGCATCGGAATTATTTACCACAAAATGCTTAAGTAAACTATTAACATTTTGTTCATATTCTGACCAGTTTACTTGTTTAGGATTAAGCTGTTTGAAAGTATGAGAAAAAGTTTTAGGGATATAATTAACATGTGAAAATGTATACTGTGTTACAGTGGGAAGATGATAGCCGCCTAGAGGAGTATCACAGACCTGCCATTCACAGGACAAGGCTAAGTTTGAAGAAACCATTGTCAAATCAAGACCACTTGGACGCCAACTGTTTGTGCCAATTGTAGTGGGACTTCCATTATTTAAAAGAACCAAATCATTCTCTTCTATGATATCTATTAAATCTCTGCCCCGGGAGTCTATACTAGCGCAGCCCCATACTGTATGATGTGCATTAAAATCGCCGGCTAATATCATAGGTTTAGAAATAGATTTTATCAAGTTCACCAGTTTTAGCTTACTGAACGAAGGGTTAGAGCGAGGTGGACAATAAAAACTGACTATATAAAGAGACTTATTATGTATTTGAATTTTAATGCCTATGTTTTGTATTGATGAATCAGAAAAAGTTGTAATGTTTTGAAAGTAAATGCTGTTGTGTATTATAATAGCCACTCCATTGTGATTGTTACCAGAATCATTTCTAACTACAGTGTAACCTCTAATATCGAACTTTATATTGGGTTTTAACCAAGTTTCAGAAATTAATGCAATATGTATTTGATGATCACTAAGAAATTGTTTTAAAACATTTTTGTTATGTGTAATACTTTGAGAATTCCATTGCATTATATTTATGCTATTAAAATTGAATTATAAAATAAAAAAAATTGAAGCTTGTATGTAATTTCTTAGTTATTTAAAATAAATATGTAAGTATCATGTTTTACTGTTTTGTAATGTAGTTTGTAGAATATCAATAATATTTTGAGAATTTATAGCCATATTCTCTGTTTTGTTTAAAGATATAATTTTCAGTAAAGATTCTGTTAATAAGCCTAAAAATTTTTTATCTGTGATTATTTTGGTCATGTCTTGGGGTGATTGTGTCAAAGAAGGAAAATTATTCTCATTAAATAATGAATTATATGGTCTTTGAATAACTTTATTTTTGTTTTCTATAATTTTTTTCTGTTTTGTTGGACATTTACCAGAAATAGCGATGTGATTCCCTTTGCAGTGAATGCATAAAGCCTTGTCTACACTGACAGTGCACGTCTTGAAGGAGTGACCTTCACCACAAATTGAGCATCTTTCAGAGTTTTTACAAAATTTTGCCAAATGGCCGTACCTTAAACAGCGGAAACATTGCTTAACAGGAGGTACGTACGGCAATACCGGCAACCTCCACATCTTCAGAAAAACATAATCAGGAAGAGATGTTGAGCTGGCAAAGGTTATAGCAACAGTCTGAGTTGGCTGCAAAGAAACAATATCATTATCTTTAATGCGTTTCATTATACGTCGTACACTTATAATTTTCCTAGTGTTTAATGACAATGCCTTAAAAATGTTTTTGTTTGACATATCTACTGGAACTGAGGTAATGACCCCCGTCAGCTCAGTAGATGATGCCGGTATTGTCGCAGTAATATCCTGGTCCTTTAAGAATGACGCATTATCTAAAAAGGCATTTGCTAAATTAGGTTTGTCAAATACTACGCCTACTTTAAACTTGTTTACTTTTTTTAAATATTTTATACCCTTAACAAATCTCTGAAAGCAACCACTGAGACTCAGCATATCGCGGGTACCAATTGGTTTCTTTTCGTCGTTGCAGCTAACAAAAACAATATATTCGTGCCCTGCGACACTATCTTCTGGGTATCTGCGGTTGTAATCAGACACTATGTAGGGTTTATATTTATTTAGATCTGACTCTTTTAAGTCAGAATCATCATCGCTAGATGAAAACAGCGACCTAATCTCGTCATCAGGAGGCTTTTCCCTGTCCTTTTTTTTCCTTTTGGACATTTTGCCGGTAATACAACAATAAAAGTAAGAAAAAGTAGATTAGACAACAATATCCTAAAAACTAATTATTAAAACAATGAAACTATATACAAATGTGCAGAAAATGCCTTCAGAGGCTAAAAAATTATGAGAAATAGCAAAAAATTAAAATAATGAAAAAAATACCGCCCTTCCAGTTTGGAGTTCCCGCGCTCTCTCCAAAAAAAAAAAAAAAAACACAAAACAAAAAACAACAAAAACAACAAAACAAACAAAACAAAACAAACAAAACAACAAAAACCAAAAACAAACAAAACACAAAAACAAAAACAAGGAAACAATTACAATTGAATTTTGAGATTGACATTGGTGCCAATTCTGGCATGATTCTCTAAACTTAAAATATCAGTTTCTCCTTTTCATTCTGTATAGAGAATGACAAGGATATACTGCTGTCAAATTTAAGTTTAGGTTTAGAGAATCATGCTAGAATCGACACCATTGTCATTTTTTAGTGATGTTCAATTAACTTTGATATCGATAATAATATAGCTGATTTGCTAATGTATAATCGACAGGTTGCGTATTCAACTCTTTAGCTGCCTCTCATAATGGTAAATACAGCGTCGGATTTTAAAACTAGATTTTTGGCGAACTTGTCACAATTTATTTAATAATGATAAAATGCAACAACCACACCACATCTCCTAGCCTCCTGCTATGGCTGCATATAAATATGTATATTGAACATTAAATTGAATTTTCCTGCCCCCCTAGCATGAGCATTGCGATATGTGATATATGTATATCACGAATTTAACGCGCTCATTTGGGAGTTTGATAGTTAGTAGACGTGATAAAATCATGGTGCTCATGCTAAGCTCAATACACAAAGTCCAAGTTTATTTTATTTCCATGGTACAACCTCTCTACTTACAAATAGACTATATGTTTATAAATGAAATTCCCGATACAGCTCACATACTGGCAGACGGTGCAGACAGCAGAGTGAACAAGTAAGTCACTAGGCATCTCGTAGTCTACTACTGTAGAATTTATTCAGTTTTCACTAATTGGGTACCTACTCTTCTTATTGGTAAATGTATGACTTAAGACTTGAAGGGTTAAGGGGGAAAACAGGCTAAGTCACATTAGTAAAATTTGTCCGTACAAGCAATTAAAGTCACGATAGCATTTTAAGTCTCTCTCAGAAAATTTGCTCATATACAAGCAGTTGATTTTAAAAGTACTACAACTTTTTCTGAATTAAAATTGCACATTAACAATTAATAACTCTATTTCATTTAAACACTCTAACAGTCTAGGAAAGAAGTAGGTGAAAAAAAGTACGAGGAGTTTTACCCTTTTTTGTGATAGCCTTAAGATGAAATGAGTATTTTTGTGGTCCTAGATTCCAAAAAAACAATTTAAGAAAAAATGGACTAAGCCTGTTTTGCCCCTTAGCCCTTCACTTATTAAATGTTAAGTCTCTGTTCATCGAATTCTAAATTAAAATTCTGTTGTCGTTTGAGTGACGTAACAAAAATACTGCGTAACCAGCCCAAACTTTATTTTCCTTTATCAATAAGCGTTGTAAGCATTGTAAAGGAGGTAGATTTGCTTAATATTGGGTTGAAAATGGAACTATTAAGTTAGATAGCACCTATTTATTATAACTATCGATATCGGTATAACTACACGTCACCATTTATTTAGTGTTGCCAATAAAAAATCAAACTCTTGAACAGCGCTATAACTTCGTTATAGCATATTATAACGAAAAATCGTTTATGAAAAATAATTTACGAAATAAAATTATAATAGCTATATACCTATTTTTTTATTTTCTCAATACAGTAAGTGCTCAAAAAGGATATTAGTACCGAATATAAAATTGTATGGCATTTTTAGTATTGGCCTAAAGTAACAAGTGTACAGGGGATTTCAAGTCAAAGATTATAACTATCGATATAATGTTATATAAATTCTGGACAGACTTTACCGAGTGAGATTAATGCTTAAAAAAACAAATATAATAAAACTATATTTTATAAGATATTGCTTAGCTTTTGCATGCTTATGTGAATCGGATGACAATGCTTCGCACCTTGGTTAATGGTACACATTAACAGTGTGACAGACGTGGACAATCGTACTGCTGATATTTCGAAATTAAAACATCAATTAAAGTGTACCTATAATTTGGAATCTGTTTTAACTTCTTGAAATCCAAGATTTTTCGAACAAGAGGCTTGAATTTTCTGCGTAAATTTTTACAAGGCATATATCCTTCTTAGGTAAATAGGTATCTAATCTCATTTAATAGTATAACTTCGTGCTTCGTTCAAAGAGGTCAAAAGTCTCGAAAGTCAAGGTTCGGTGATATTATTAAACTTTGTTCTTAAGAACTTCATATGCATAGAAAACAAAGGCTAGCCCTTTAAAAGAGCCTTAACTCTTGAGGAAGTGTTTGGTAATGAAGAGCAGTGAAGTGGGTGGGTTAATTCTACCACAGTGAATCAGATCAGAATTAACCCAATTATTAAATTACAAAAACGAAATTTAATTACTTTCCGATTATATAGTAAAGTAAGAAGGATAGATTAATAAAAGAAGCTTTTAAATATTGTTATTCTTTATTTTATATTTTGAAATCAATAATGAGATTTTAAAACTGTAGGTCTTCAGAATCATTATTTTATACAAAATTGCAAGCTTTTTAGTAATTTTGCTTTGATTTATATTTAACAAATACAACAATGATTTAAATAAAAATGACCAGATTAATAGTTTTACATATCTCTAATAATAAGCTAAAAAGTCAGATTTATAATAAAATATTAACAAATAAGTGTGAGTGTTGGTTAACATTTTTAATGAAGGATACATTTTAAAGCATTTATTTCATATCAAATTCTTAGCTTTTTTATTAAGTAAATGTCTTTTCGACCAAGTGTACTTTGTTTAAGTTACTATTATAACCAAAATCAGATGTGGATTTTTCTCTGAGCAGAAAATGTTGTAAACATAATATTATCCCTAGGATACTGGCGTCTATCCAGGATAACGATTACAGTTTACCTTCTTTTTATTCCCTTGAAAATAACTATCACCATCAACAAAGATATTGTGCAATCATCAACATTATAAATAAATCACATACAATAATGTACATAGCGAATGATAACTATCAACACCATTCTAACAAAGAATTGAACACCAAAGGATTTGATAATGAACAGACATGATTGTGCAATACAAAAGTAAATTATATAATAATTCTATTATCACCTCAACTGATCGCGATCCACTACATTTCAAAGTATTATCATAACGTATAATCTGGCGTAATTATAAGCAGAATGCAACACAATGAAAGGCGTTGGCTCGAAATCACCTACATCTTACAGTTCGAATAAAAAAATGGTCCCTAAAGGAAAAATAATTACAAAAAGATTATAAAATCACACTTTTTATCTGGTCTCCGTAGAGAGACGTAGGTACGTATTTATACATTCAAAACATACGCTAACAATTATGGCAACGTTGACAATAAATAAGAAAAATGAATAACATTCACGTTGAGACAGATACTGGTTTAATCTATCCATGTTATCAAAACTTATCGGGGAAATACTGACAGCACAAAATAAATAAAATATAATCCAACGTGCACAAAATTGCACGGATCGTAGAAAAACAAGTATACAAGGCAACAAGTGCAGACTTTAAGTTTTACTACTAACTTCTATGTTTTTACTTAATTAAAAAAGCCACATTCGCAAATTCGTATTTTTTATTAAGCTTGGCTTAATTCGCGAATTGGTTAATCATGTTAGTATTTTATTTTATAATATAACATGTAATGCAATGTAATGGGCATTTGCCTCGAGTAATAAGAGTCGCTTTCATGGAAATATTTATGCGATTAAAAAAGGGAGAAGGAATGACAAGATTTTTTACACAAGGATTATAAAGCACAAAAACAGTTAAATATTTCGATAAACACAAGAGCGACTCGTATTACTTATATAACGAATTCAAAACCCAAGTCCTCATTACTATTATTACGTCTTGAGAATCATAAAGGGACTTGTGCTGTTAAAATACATATCGTTTAAAGTCGGAATGGTTCGCGTTTCTCCGTGGTTCGAGAAGATGACGGAGTACCGCGTCGGGAGCCGGGCGTAGTTGGCGCGCCGCTGTCTGACGCGTCCGAGGGCTTGCGCAGCAGCCGGGACACCGCCGTCTGCTGGCCCGAGCGTACTGGAGTCGTACTGCCTGAAGGTGTTCGTTGCCTGCCATTCAAACAACAGTTAAGTATCTCACATTTTAAAATCTTACCCATGCAGCAAGCACTAAATACAAAACGAAAAATATATAAATAAATCTCTTGTTGTTTAGCTAGAAATCCTGTTACAAACAAACAAAGAAAATCTCTTAACAAGTAGGAAATTCAAATAAAAGCATAAGTAGGAAAGGAAACAAATTGAAATCGCATACAAAACACACAACACGAGAAAACTTTATGAAAATAATACCAAAAGCATAACACTACGAAGTTTAGTTTACCTATTGAGATTACAGTTAGTATGGTGATCCTTAAATACGGGAATGCGACTCTTGCCAGGCGTTTGTCCCTCCGTTGAGGCAAACGACCCGCTCCTATGTTGAGTTAGCGAGCACACAGAACATATAGAAAAATTAGTAAAAAGAATGAAAAAAAATGTTAGTTATACTCATTATTATGCATTCGCCAAATTTTCCAAGATAAGTATTACACAGTAATACATAAAACAACTCGTCAAATGCAGTAAAAATGAGTATCGACATAGTTTATAAGAACTCAATATATAAAAAGGAAGGCAGAATGATGTAGAGTAGAAATTATACATTTACATAGAAAATATTAGAGAAACGTAAAGTAGAAATCAATTGGACTTCAGGTGATTGTAATAATTAACTAAAATTAATTTGTACTGTATTATGTAAGTGAAAGCACAAATACCAAAAGTCCTATTGATGTTGATAAATAAACAAAACATTGTAAACATTAACAAGATTTTAAATACGAAAGCGTGCCAAGTAACTATATAATATGCAATGAATTTAATGTCTGAGTGATGAGGTGAATGAACGAGCTGGATGAGAGATTCATTTACAAGCCGTGTTCAATTGCATAGAAGCATGATATATTGTGATTTATATACACAAAACAGATAATGATGTAAGATTATGGAATGAACACAAAAGGTGGTTATTGATAAAAGAGACGTTAAATGAAAGATGATGCTACATTATATGGCACTGTTGTGAATATTTGCAATGACCACGAAAACAACGTCAAAAGTTCAGGAGCATCAATCAATATAATCGAAGCTAGCATTCTACAAGCTTGTACCCTTTGGCATCTCGCTGAGTCGGCTTACAAGCTTCGCCGCTTGATTCACTTATATTACTCTCATATTCATTGTCGCTTGTCATTCCCGATATGCTGAACAGTGAGGAGTCGTCTTCTGGACTTCTTTGCTCGGATTTCCTTGAGGGATCTAAGGAAGTAGGACTTGGTTCTTGGGACGTTTCCCTAGAGTGGGACGTTCGTGGCTTTTTCATACGCCTCTCCACAGATGGAGTTCTCTGGGAACGGGTGCCAACATATACAGGAATTTTTGTAGAACCTTGAGTTTGGAATGCTGGATGAGTATGTGATAAGGATTTGGGATGTTCAGATGCCATAGAAGATGGCTGGGAATGTGTAGAGCTAGTATATTTTTTCCATTTTTGTTAACGATGCATGCGGGGGAAAAGAAAAAAGAAAATGATTTAGTTTTGCTCGTTTTCTATTTAAATAGATCATTTCAAGTATCAAAAAAGAAAATCCCATATTTTGTTCTTAAATGACAGAAAATATTTTGACCATTCCAATAAGACTTTTATTTTCTTTCAAAATTGGATAATGTGTACAAAGGGAGATGGGGATAATCTGAACTCATGACGTAACTAATTTATAGAGATATAGAATTTAATAAAGCCAGTTTATTCTAAATACAATTGTTAGTAAGTAAATACACAATATTAAGCAAGATTTTAGTATTTCTGAATAGAGCCCCATGCCACCGAAAAGTTCCCTTTCATATGTATCCACTACCTCTATAATACAAAACCGTTGAAGTAACAATATATCCTAACAAACAAATGTGTTTTTCCAAAATACAGTGCGATACTCTTTTAACTGCGCACCCACGATGAAACTACATAAACCTGTTCCCTTACCGAAGCAAAAAACGTGCTATTCCAAAACGTGATCCTTGAGATTGCCACTTTTAACTTGGTTAGATTTTATAATACTTGATATTGTCTGATTTTAAAATAAAATGTTATTAAACAAACTAATATAAAAACGTTGTAATTGTACACCTATGTTTTGATAGACTTTCAAAAACTTTATAACATCTAAACAAGTTAAGTTGCGTAAGGACGAGCAAACAATTCAAACCAACTCTCAGACTTTGTACCTCACTAACGCCGGCACCGGGGACAGTGTCGGTATACTGGACGTGCGGTACATCGCTCCACTAGGATACCTGTCCGTGTGCATATCAGTGGACCATATTTAATACAGAACATTGTGTTAAAAATAAGGTATAGAAATAAGTAGTTCACATTTTGAGTGTAATAGGAACCGTTACCAATAATTTAGGTTAATGTTTTTATATACACACCTTCCACTAGCTGGTGTCAGGAATCCTGTTGGAGTGCGAGGCCTAGAGCCTCCGTTTGGTGTCGTCACTCCTAATTTGCTTGCAGTAGCCGCAGCACGAGCTATTGAAGCTCTCGTGTTTGTCACTTTCCTCATTGGTATGCGAGATGGTGTCGATACATCATCTAGTGAAAAGAAAGTTTATTGTCAATAATAAATCTAAATGAATGAATATAATATGAAATTTTGGTTAGATTAGATACCTGTGCTATCTAAGGAAAGATTAGATCCATGTCTTGAGGGTGGTTTGGATCCCGTTCTTGAACCAGGTCTAGACCCAGGTCGTGATCCACCCGGTGTTAACGTTGATCTGTATAAAAAACACATGTTATTATCACTCAAATAAGGGAAATTGTTTTTAAGCTAATTTATATAATCTTATCACCTCGGCACACTTGGTTTCCTATATCTTGACCCGAGTCCACTGGCTGCTTCATTGTCGCTAAGTGAGTCTGGCGTTCCTGCACTTAGCGAAGATCTTGAGGCGCGACCAGCAGCAGCTCCTCCAGCAGACATCGGGACAGATCTAGCCGTACGTTCCCTTACCTGCATGTGAATAAATCATTGTAAAAGCTATACCAGCACAGAAAAGAAACAAATCACTGTCATAAAATAATACATTATAAATTCATTAAAGGTATTGTACAAAATATGTATATAAAAGAATACGTCTGCAAATGTATAAGCATGCTAGACTAATAATTATAGACTTGACATTTCAAACTCTAGGATTACTCAAACAGTCATATTACAATAACAAACAAAAATCAGTCGCTGTAACTTGTTTGTTCAAAGGTGCAATCGACCGACACTATCACATAGCCTATTTAGCAGTTACCCAATGGTATCCCGGTGACGGCTGGTATCCATGGTGGTGCGTATAGTGGTGTGCCCCAGGCGTCGTCGAACCTTGAGATCTTGAGTGGCCATATATAAACGCCTGCTTAGTGCCATGTGTTGAGCCGACGTGCAGAGGGTACGAACACGGAAGCTCTTCCCGTTGTCTTAAAGCCTCAAATATAGGCTTCAGCTGCTCCATAAACTCCTCAGCTAAACGCACCAATATAAAACCAGGAATCTCATTAAGGGGGAAGAGGATAAAATCCGTTATAAACATAAGTTTTGTCTTCATAGTGCCAATCTTTCCGAAGAACGCGAACGGGTTTCGAGACGATATTTCGATTAGTCCACACGTTTAGGAGACGGTTGCGCGTTTTGCGTAATGCAGGTATGATGGGATCTAGCAGGAGGGGTAAAAGAAATACTTTACCATACAATCCATAATGCGCTGAAGTGCCACCTCTCCAATGCAGTGGTTCCAATGAGTACAACTAACAAACAACACCAACGCACTACAACGAGCCTGTGTATGAATGCATAGCTTGAACACACTAATGCGATACGACCAAATGCTACGAGCTCAACACATGCGTACTCACAACTGCACCTTGTATGTGGATATCTGTATACCATTCCAAATACAATTTGCAAAAGAAAAAGCGAAAAAGAAATAATAATGATTCCCAAACCGATTGCTCCCTCCAACAACTACTGTGCGCTTTATGTAGTAATTGTGCCAACTAAGACTAAATTATAGTAAACCTGCAAGGAACAATAATTATTTGAATAAATTAGCGGCTTGCAGCACCTTACCTTTGTAATTGGTCCGGTGGAGGGTGGAGTATTTGTGTTAGAGCGGGGCGTACGCGGTCGGAACGCTGCCATGCTCTGTGAGACTCCATCAGCCAGTATGAATTGTTCCCGAAGTTCGATGTTGGTGCGTCCCTTGGCTGCATGCGGGCGGCGTCCAGTGCGCGGGATTACAAACGGAAGGAACGGAAGTAGGTAAAGAAAATGACCGGGTAATAGGATGGACGGAAATAACACAAACGTGTTAAATCAAAGGAACGCGTGCATTGGAAGTGAGGAAAAGAAAAAAAAAACAACAAACAAAATCAGAACATGTCAAACCAAAAAGAAAAAACACAAATTATTTAAAAAAAACAGACGGATTTTTGTTTTGTGTGCAGTTAGGAATAGGAATTTTAAAATACGATTAGTTCCTCTCACCAAAAAATTTGCATTCAATTATACCAAACAAGAACAAGATATCAAACGGTTTAGTTTTTTCACGAGTAAAGAGTTTAATTTGATCGTAGTAAAGTAGTTTGATAATAATAAATAATACAAGAACTATGTTATTAGTAGGTAAAAACTGTTTAAAAACTTGTATTTCAAAATTATAATGCGTATATTTACAAAAAGAAAGTAATAAATTCATATCTTGCACTTGCTGTATGGATTAGTTAAACTCATTAAACTACCGAATAAAATAAACGTTATAAAATATTATACAAATGCGAAAAATAATTAAATTAACAATCATGCCACAACTATAAGCAATTTATTTTATAACGTGTACTTCCAGAATGCGACCATTATCTACGTACATACACACCTATTACTTATTATACAGATTTGATGTTTATGAAAGCTTACAATAAAGCATTAAAGTGTAATACGTTGAATGAAATAGCAAAACAATGTATTAAAATTACAACATTATATAACGCAAAAAAATATCTAAGCCACAATATTTAAATCCTGAATTGGAACCAGGAGTGATTTATTTAAAAGCGTAATAGAAAAGTGTGTTTAAAACATTCAATTGGTTCCAATACCGGGTCTAAATCTTACCGAGAGGACAACAAGCTTCATGCTGCTCCGGCTTGCTCGGATCAGGCAGCGGTAGCACTAATGATACTACTTTTGTAAAAGGAATTGATAAGGAGATTTAACGTAATTGATGTAAAAAAAACATAAGAAAATAATGTTTTTCGAAGGACCACAGGAGATAGGGTTGGGCAAAGCGAATACGAATTAGTATAAATTAGTAGCAATATCAATGTCGTGGACAAACGCTGCTTACTTTAGCTGTACGGTTTCTTTGGACTATCTAGCTATACAACTAAAATGTATATTTTATGATTTTGATGATTTCTAATAAATTCAAAAGAGAGAAGAAAATAATAATTGATTTAGGATTTTTACAATGATTGTGTTTCGCGAGTTGATTAAAACCGTTAAATTTTATATATTATTTCTTATTAAACCTTCATAATCCTAAAGTATATTACGTATAAAGTTGTACTGCTATAACGATAAGCAACTAACGTGGAAAGGAATAACGAACCGTTATTTCGTATGTTGGCAATACAGGTTACTGCGCATGTCAGTTCTGTCAAAACCAATAAAGTCGCGTCCTTCGTTGAAAGGAAAACACGTAAAAATCGAACAATGGAATCTTGTGTTAGAATTTGCTAGTGGTGTTGATGTTTCCAAGTTAATTTAAAGTGCTTCAAAATGGCCGGAACAATAATTGAAAACTTGAGTGGACGAAAACTCGCCGTGTTAGTCACATTTTTACTTTTGTGTCAAATAACATGTTTCTTGATAGGAGGTTTGGTCGCACCCATGCCAGCGAATGCGCAAAATATTCTCGGCACTTGGTGTAAAGACACCTCCAAAGTAAAAAACGACACATCGAAATGGTTTTACAACCGTGGAAAGGGTTCCTGTAAGACGGTTGACCTTGATAACATGCATCAAGACTTGTCGGAAACTGACATCGTGTTTGCGTTTCAAATGCCGGTGCCCCGTCAGAACCAAATATTAGATTTCTCTCGATGGCAGCAAAATTTAATAGGAGTTTTACAAGTGGACATTCGTTATCATTCGCAAATGGAAGTTCGGCCACGGAGCGAAGTTACTATTGATGCAAGGTTAGCTTACCGAAACAAAGGTGAACCAGACGATGCATGGAAATTATACACACAATCTGTCGAAAAACGTCATTTGGACTGTGAAATTGACATCAAAACTGAAAAATATCTGTACAATTGTTCAGCTATACCTCTCTTTGAGCTAGGATCTCTATACCATGATTTTTATTTATTGAATGTGAGACTCCCAGTAGATACACCAGAAATGAATTCAAACATAGGTCATATACAAGACATGTGGTTGACTGTGATTAATCAAAATGGAGGCTTCACTAAAGTCTGGGTTTCATTGAAAACTGTTTTCTTTCCATGCATCATAGCCATATTGACATGGTTTTGGAGACGCATTCATATACTTCAAAGGAAGCCAGTGTTATTAGAAAAAATGCTTTTGAGTTTAGGATTAGCTCTGTGTTTATTGAATATGCCTCTTGAATATCTCACGCTGCATTTTGACTTGCCATTTATGTTGTTATTGGGTGACATAAGACAAGGAATTTTCTACGCTATGCTGTTTTCGTTTTGGCTAGTGTTTGCTGGAGAACACATGCTCATTCAAGATGCTTCATCTCAAAATTCTCTTAAGCAATACTGGAGACATTTGAGTGCAGTTGTTACAGGTTGTGTTTCATTATTCATATTTGACATGTGTGAAAGGGGTGTGCAACTGCGCAATCCATTTTATTCTATCTGGGTAACTGATATTGGTACAAATTTAGCTTTGACATTCATAATACTAGCTGGTATATCTACTGGGGTGTATTTCCTTTTCTTGTGCTACATGGTTTGGCAGGTTTTCATCAATATTTCTCAGAAACGAGAATCCTTGCCTACAATGTGTTCAGTGCGCCGTTTGCATTATGAAGGAATTATTTATCGCTTTAAATTTCTGATGTTAGCTACTCTCCTATGTGCTGCACTGACTGTGATTGGGTTTATACTGGGACAAGTAGCCGAGGGACAATGGAAATGGGATGAAGACATTGAATTGGAATATACTTCTGCATTTTTTACTGGAGTTTATGGAATGTGGAACATATACATATTTGCGCTCTTAGTGCTTTATGCACCTAGTCACAAGCGTTGGCCCAATACAGAGGATACTTCGGACACCCAGAATTTGAGTGAGGAGATCGAGTTTAGTCCCATTTCTGGAGAAAGAGCCAGTAGTGAAATCTCATCGTTAACATCTTTCATTCGGAAAACTACTGTTGATTAGATCAAGTATGAGAAAGTAGACTTGCCTGTATTGCCATATTTAAACTTTCATTGATAATTAGTAATATTTTAACACATTAATGATGTATGAACAATAAGCATTTCTCAGTAATGGCAGTATTAACTGGGCTGTAACTGACAATCTCTAATCAAATATTTGTATAAGAAGTGTAGTCTATATTAGGATTTTTTTATCTTTTGTGAATAGGTTATATAGAACAAGAACATTGCTAATAACCATAATATTATATAAAAGTACTTAATGATTTTCAAAGTAAGTTGAAGTTGTGATTAACGTTAGCTATAAGATTCATTGCATTAAGTTTTGATCTCTTTTTTATCTGATGTATCAAGTATTTTTCTCATGTTGATCTGAACAAAGTGACTCAGAATTTTATGTGTAATTTTAGAACTGGTTTTATGACCTTGTCAGAGCCTCCCTGTCCATCTGTTGTGCTTCCAAAAACAAGCTGGGTTAATATTTATTTTGAGTCTTGTTATGAACTTCGTAATATAGAATCAATGCATTTATTTTTTTAATTAGGTAAAGTTGAAATTTAATTATTTTCTACTAATTTCATATATTTCTTCAATGAATGGTTGGCTAAATGTTTATATTAATCAGGCATCTTAAAATTACATTTATTCTTTACTGTGATATTTTTTTGCATTATTTCTCTCTATGCAGTATTCTTAGATTTATTGGACCTGTATTGCCAGCATAGCCCATTAAGTAACATTTTAGCAATTTTTAAAGTATTTTGTATTGTAGTTTTGTAATGTTTAAATTTGTATGCAGTTAGTTTGTAAGGAACAAATATTACTGGTAATAAAATTGATTAATTATAATAATGTTATGTTGTTATTGGACACACATTTTTTATTCCCTTTTAGTAGGTATATAAATTTTAGTTACAAAGTTAGACATCAATAAAGGTAACGAATTAGTTTACCCTGTTAGGGAGTTAGACACACTAAATATTATTTCCTCGGTATATTTTGATTGACACTTTGAATTCTTTAATATTCAATAAGGCAACAGTTCAAATTCAAAAAACAGTGGCCTTTAGAAATCTTAAAACTAATGTTCTCGTGTACCTGCAATAAATGTGTAGATACAACTAGCATTGCCGGAATACAATTTAATTGGTTATTTATATCATTCTCTGTATCACTGTTTTTCAATAATTTTCATCACTAATATGAGATAAGATAAAATAAAAGATCAAAATGCCGAAACAGCATTTTTTTCTCCCGACAAGACTAGGTTAGTACCTTTTTTTAAAGAAGTTTATGAAACCAAGTTAAAGTTAGTATTATCTCATAAAAATACTTTCTTGACTTGGTAACATATACTACAGTCAGACGCACATCAAGCTACCACCACATACTGCTTTTTTTAAATAGATTGTGAACATTAATATGATATAGGATAAAACTAGAAGTTACTTAGCGAAAATTTACTAAAGTTTTCGAAACTTGATGTGTCTGTCTGATTACATTTTCTGTAAAAAAGTGTTATAAAATTAGAAAAAAACATCATTCAAGACTTGAATATAGTAATATACACAACTAATCCAACATTCCAACAAGTGTTAAAAATCAACAAATCATTTTTATTATAAACAAAAAATCAACAAATCATTTTTATAATATCTACAGCTTCGGATGTCAAGTTGAAATCTGCCATTTCATTTTAGTTCTAGTGCTTTTTAGGACTAATTACCAGCGGTTGACTGTTTGAATGATGTTTTTTATATAAAACACGAGAACAGTCCAAGAAACTTGTATGTGACATTGATATACCACATTTAAACTTCAGTTCAGTCAGTTTTAAAATACAATAAAACCATATAAACAACTTTGATTTATACTTTGAAATTGTAAAGTGTGCTTCAAACAAATTTAACAAAAGCTTTACTTTTCCTTGAAACCTGTGTTGATGATATTATCATCTTCAGCCTTTAATGTCGTCACAGCTCGGGTCACATGCCTTATATGGACAGGATCAAACAAACAGAAAGATCTACTTTGTTGATTATTTATGTAACAAACTTTTAAAAATATCATTGATATTTTTTGAGCTTTTATTTAAATTTGTTTTGGATGAGTAGGTACTGCACATTTATCTAAGAGCTTCTAACTTAGTAGTTTAGTAACTACACCAAGATTTATTAATCTGTGTTAAGATGTATCTTTCGATGCCCTGCAATTCTATTCTGTATGAACAAATTCATTTTCAACTCGGATGTGATTGAAATTCACGAATTTCGAATCACACCGGCGAATTCTGCGTTGAAAAGTGAGTTTGTTCATAGCACTGATATTAATCGCTCAAAAAATTATAGCAGGAAAGTATGAAGTCATTATTGAAATCCCTTTAATTCCCGAGTGTTTTTGTTTACATATTCAAGTGCATTTGATCTCATTATTTATTTCTAGATGAGTGTATGAGAGTTCGTTTCCGTTTATTTATTTATCAATTTGATGAAAGAAATATTCTTATTGTAAGCTAGTAAACCGCACTCTACATAAATGTACAGTACCCAATTGACTGTACAAATATTTGTAACGGGATTTGATGTAATACAACGGGAATAAAAACGCCTGTAAGGTTTTGTTTAATGAGAACTGGCCACATCGCATAAATAATTCTTTGATGAATATTTTACTCCACTCCACTCGGGCCTGGTTTCAGATGCGATTCTCACCCGCAACTTCTTCTATCCGGGCTGATTATTAAGATTAAAACATCTAGTATTTAAATGCTTTAACTTAACATGAACTAGGGTATTTGACAAGCTTTAGATTTGGGAACACGGTACGATGTACAAGAAGTTGTTTTTTATTGAGCACGAAGACTTGGCTGTATGGGGTGTTTTTTGAAATCCTTTGTCTTTGATCCTAAATTGAAATTACAACAACACAACTTACTTTTTGTACGCTAATGGATATGAGGACTAGTCTGACTTGTGCTGAATTACATTTATAGCTAGGTCTAAAGCCCACTTGAAGCAAAAATTTGGTAAATCTTGATTCAACTAAAACTAGATATCCCATAGCGTTTGGACTTTTATGTATGGACTAAATTTAGTTTCAGTTAATTTCAGATTTAGTAAATTTGCTGCAAGGGGCTCTAAATCTAGTCTAGTCACAACTTTGATCCCAAACTAAGCAGAGCTTGTGTGTGATGTTTGTTTATGGACTCCAAACAAACATTGAATCATTCTGTAACATATTTCAGTAAAAAACCTTAATCAAAAATTCCGCTTACAAGAGGCCGCGAAACCGTTTCTCCGGACATTATGGCATCTCACTGGTATGTGACGTCACACGACTGTCATCAAACGATACAATATTAGATTGTATGTCATTTTTGGCAAGAATGTGAGTAGCCGGTCTAACTTACAACCATCATAGTGTGCATGGCACTGTAAATCAATGAGACTCAGAGTCTGTTGTAATCAAAATATTAAATCCTGAAGGTAATTTATATCTTCTGAATAATTATTTCCTTCAGTAATCAACGTTATTTACCTCCACCAAAGTGTGAATCTCTATAGCTACTTTTATCTCTCAAAGGATGGAGGAAGGATAACTCCAAAAAAATCCTTACAGGCGCTTAATTCCTTCAAAATCTGTACCGAAAGAACTCGTTCTGTGTACGTAAAGACTAGTGACTTACCGCGACACGGGTCGTTCTTGACCAAGAATTCGTCGAGCGCCACCCAACCGCCTCCCACTCGCACCATCACAGTGGAGCGTAAGATACGCACTAGGCGGAGCTTCTGCGAGTCGCCGAACTGTTTGGGAAACGGTACGATGTAAAAGAAGTTGTTTTTATTGAGCACGGCGGCTTGGCTGTATGGGGCGTCCTTTGAGATCCTTTGTCATTGCTAAGGTAAATTGAAATAACAACAACAGAACTTACGCTAATGGATATGAGCACTAGTCTTGACTTGTGCTCAATCATATTTATTGCTAGGTCTAGGGCTCATTGGCAGCAAAAATTTGGTAAATCTCGATTCAACTAAAACTAGATATCCCATAGAAAAATGTCAAAGTGACATTGACGTTTTTGTATGGACTATATTTAGTTTTGGTTTATTGCAGATTTACAAAATCTGCTGCATGTGGCTCTAAGTCTAGTCTAGCCACAATTTTGATCATTAAGCAGAACTAAGCAGAGCTTGTGATGTGGAGACTAATAAGTGTATAAACCACTTAACTCATTCGCCACTGTCCAGCTTAATCTCCCAAGCCCGTAAACGCTGCAAAGGTCATCTATGCCCAACAGCATACACACTCCAAAGACAAAGAACTATAGTAGCCGCTTACCACCAGGGGGCCAATCGCCTAACGGAATTGCTATGGCTTTCGATTTTATATGGCTATTTCTGACCGCCGAAGGTTTTCAAATACCTTACGCTTATTTTCTTTTATATTGTTCGGGCGGTCAGAAATAACAAAATGAAAATGTAAGCGAAAACAATAGCCATTGCAATCCCGTTAGGCGATTGGCCCCCAGGCAGGCCATGTTCTAAATTGCAACCTTTTTACATAAAAAAGAAGGTTTATTTTGCGATCAGCAATCGTTACTCACCCGGTACTTGCCCTCTCCCACTTGGAAGACCCTGAACTTCTGCCGGCAGGTGCACAGCATTACGAGCCGCTTCACTTCATCGTGGATCTTGTCCGCGTCCGTGGGCGGCCCTCGCCGTTCCACCTAAACAACAAATAGGTAGATGAATATTTATAACTAAAATAACGGATAATATCAGTAAATATTTCTACCACACGCATCAATTAGCCTAGCCTTAAAGTAAGCACTGTAATGGCTCAATCACATTTGGTCGTTAGCCCAAATACAGGTGCACGAAAGACATTACTGGAATTCGGGCACCCGAAACAATATTTACACTGGAATGCGGGCTGAAAGACGGTGTCAGGTAACCAAAACGAAAACTATCCGAATACGGGCGTACTCGACTTCGTTCATTGACACTTAGTCGTTTACCCGAATTCCATTGGCACTAGTATTCGGGTTAAAGACCAAGTGTTATAGCGCCATAAGGCTTGTGCTATGGGATGCTAGGTTAACGGTTATACATATATATGTATATTTTATTCAGAAATATATATAAACATCCGCTTAGGTACAAATATGCTCTTATTCATCACACAAACATCTGCCTCAGCGAGATTCGAACCCGGGACCTCTGAGTAGGAGACGCTTTGAAAACCGGCGTACATATCACTCGGGCCACGGAGGTAATCGAATATACAAGCTCTGATTCGGAGGTAGATGATTGAAGCACTTGTATTATCGAAATCACGGCATTCCTTATGAAATATTTTCTTCGAAGATCTGGAGATTATGACACAACACTTGCTGGGTTTGTTTAGTGCGAAAATGTGAATTTAGGGATTTGTAAAAGAATATCAAAACGATCAAAAGCAAATCCACATATTTCATATTGATTTAATTAAGTATAAAAAAATTTCATGGAAAATATAGTAACAATATTGCAATTTTTACGTACCGCCTGCGTCCAAAAGTGTTGCAATAAAGTGAAAAATGGGTATCAGTTATAAGATCACAATTTATCATCGATGAGATAGGCAGCATATAAATGTGCAATTTGTCTTGATAAAAAATGTACTTGAAAATATATCATAGGTTTTATCTCCTCTAAGGCCCGTATTATAGAAAGATTCTCAGTAATGAATCTAGTCTTGAGCATAGATAGAAAGGGATGTCGCTATATATAGCACATAGCGACATCCATTTCTAACTGTACTCAAGTAGAGATCACCACTTAGTTGTCATTCTGTAATACGGGCCTAAGAGTCAACAGATTCCGATCTCTGAATATTGAGCGTCGCCGTACACGACCCACACGCGACAGCCACAAACGCCGCCACGAGAAGCTAGAAGTGGCTACAAAGGTAGCTGAAGCGTGCGACAGCCCCTTGTGGCCGGTGATCGACACTTGCCGTCGGTGGCTGCTACTTTTTTTAACACATGCGTGCAGTATCATAATGGACTCTGACGAAGAAGGTTTGGAAGTGGAATCGCGCGAGTGGCGTGTGGCGGCGTTTTGTATCGGCGCATTAGTGGCCGGTGCGTGTAGGGTTACTATTTAAAAATTTGAAGAGTCCTGACAAAAAGCCGGACATTTCGATAAAAATCCGGACATTTAGTCACAAAATGCAAACATCACCCACTTAGTTACAGTGATATTATAAGCGTGGTTGTTGATTTATAAAGATAATTAATAATTTGTTTTAAATTAATTGATATAAGTAACTTAATAAATAGTTTTGCTAATATTCCATCTAATTAAAAAAATCCGGACAAATAAAAAGCCGGATAAAGTCCGGGCAAAAGGCAAAAGTCATGGTCACCCTCGGTGCGGGCCACAAGAAGCGAGCAACGACGATTTATAGCGTGTGGCGGCCACATGCGTTAACCGTGTGCGGCGAGTCCATATAAAATGTATGAAAACTACAGGAAATATGCCGGTGGCGGCATTTTGTGGTTGTGGCCCGTGTGCGGTGAACCTTCAAGATTTTTACTTAGATACATTGAATCAATTAATATAGCGAAGTAGATGGGTATTATTAACAAACGTATCACGAGGAGACATACCCAGTCAGGTCGTAGGGCAGCAATGAACTCCTCCCAATCGATGAGACCGCTGCCGTTCCTGTCAAACAAGTCGGCCACGGCGCCCATTTCCAAGCGAGAAGTGTCAAATTCTGTCGGACAAAGAAACGAACATCTGTAACTAACATTGGTTAAGCATTTTGTCATTTATTCAGTAAGGTTAAGCTGTGAAGAGCTCGATGGTGCAGCGTTGTGAAAGTCAAGTAACTTTCATAATGGCCAGTTATAAGGTGGGCGACCAAAAATGTTTATTTCCTCCGAGTTCTGCACAGTATGGCGCATCATGTGTTGATCTTGCATCTACTACGGGATCTGCGTTGTAACAAGCACCCACAAATTGAGACAACGTGGTGATTTATAAATAGGGATAATTACAAATTTTGTTTTCTTCGTCTATTAGGTAGATAATCAAAAAGTATGGACACGTATTTTTTATTTTCTCACATAATCGAAACATTACAGAGACTATGTATTGATTTTAAATGTCGTGTGACGTCACATTTTTGTACAATTTATACTAAAAAGTGATGTCGTGAGCTCCCACTCCCAAACTTTGACGCGCTTCATCCTTGTATTTTATGGTTGATAGGCAAAAAAAAAAGGTGTGCATTATTTTGTGATAATCTAACTGACCGACTTAATAGAATTTCATTTAATTTACTCTGTCATCATCCATATACTACTATACGACCCGGTCGTTTATCAATCGTAAGTGAAGACCTGTATACCAGCAGTAGAGTAGGTAGTTAATACGACGAAGGTGCCTGGTAATGTAGTTACCTTTCTCTATGAAATACAGTGTTGATGTTAAGTATATTTATGTTAATCCTATTGACAAAAAGTGATAGACATATTGACCTATAAATATTCTTCGTCATCATCAGCCTATTAATTTCCCCACAGCTGAGGCACAGGCCTTCTCTATGGATGAAATAGGGAGATTGGGCCATCACCCACCACGCGGGCCCAGCACGGATTGGCGAGTGCTAACGACTGCAGATAAAGCCGGGAGCAACGGCTTGACGTGCCTTCCGAAGCACAGAGAAACTCGAGATAGAAGATTTTTGGTCACCCATCCAATGACCGACCATTGCGAAAGTTGCTTGACTTCAACGATCGCAGCCGAACGAGCTAGCCGCCTGTGCCATCGAGCTCCTCTCCTATAAATATTCTTAAGATATTTATACTATACTCACTAGTGTTAATGATGCCGTCAATGAACTCGTTCCTCGGTATAAATCCGTTGTTGTCCTTATCCATTTTTCTGAAGAGGTCCGTGAGCCTGGACTTCTTATGGTTCATGAACTTGAGGAACCGCTTCCTCCAGTCGTCCCAGCTGAAGTTGGACACGCGCTGCAACTCCTTCAAGTGAGCGAGACGCTCGTGCAGTCGTCTCTGTCGCTCCCACGCGAGTAGCCACACTGTTCGCCACTTGTCCCATAGTTGCTTAACACGTGGCGACCTGAATTCCGGCTCAGCTCCTTTGCTGTTGTGATGAATGGACAATCAAAATCAAGTCTGTTTTTCATTAATTTTTGATATTATTATATTTTAGGTTTTTTCTTTATTAGTTAATTCATTGTGAAAAGAATGAAAAAAAAATATAAAATGCCATTTCTGAATCTAGAGCATCAAAAGAATTATTGTAAAGTTGGCATCTTATTTCAATTATTTCTGGTTATCCAGACAATAATTTAGCTCGAGGGAATATAATAATGTCATTAACGTCTGACGAAGAGATACTTTGGTAGGTATTAAAAATATGTACCTACTTTATGTTTAATTGCTTGATCTTTGATGTACTGTCAACCACGCAAAACAATAGGTATATAACATTATTTACAATTACCATAATTTCACAAAAATAATGCTACTTAATAATTACTCTACTAATGTGATAATCTACTTCAAGTGACATAAAAACTATTTTCTACTTAATAGCTATCTAAGATCATCTATGCATTATTTGAGTTTACGCAATATTGTCCTAAAAATAATGTACAACTTAAAAACCATGCTGATTCACAGAAAGCTTCGATACATTTCGACAGGGTTGCCACGCACAAAAAAAACCCACAAACATTACAGAGCATTTTACATACGCCCCTCCACAAGGCAAGAACAGCTTTTATTTATAGCATTTATGTAGCTGACATAAAATTAAAGTTTTTCGTTGCATTCTTGAGATTGGAACATTTGAATCAAATTAATGTAATTTTGAAATATTCCTTTTTATTAAATCTCTGTTTAAGCAAGTTCGATTAATTTTCAACATTCCCATAACAATAAAACAATCTTCTAAGCAATTGGTTCTTTTTTTGCCTTTCATCATTATCTATTTAAAGCATCTGTTTCGTTTTACTAACATAGTTATATACCAGACATTTTTTTTTATTAACCTGTAATGTTTTATATTATTATAGTATTTGAATATAATATTAAATATTCCTGATATTGGGTCATATGTTAGCTACCTCCCTAGCTGTTTCTTAAAAAATCGATCAAACTTTTGTTCCAAGCGCGCAAATATCTTACCTTCCCTTTGGCGGGAACTTCGGTCCGTAGTGCGGCAGGGCGCGGTCGGGCGTCTCGCGACCAGGGCTCACGCGACTAAAGCACACGCAACAATTTAACACACGACCACGGCAGTCAAACCCACACCATTGCGTTATTTGTTAGTATATACCAATTCAAACAAAAAAAAAACATAATCAGCCACATTTTCTATAAAAAAATATAATCCGCCACCATCTGTAGTGACAACCCCAAGGCGTTACGTCAAAGTATTTCAGACAAATCCACACCATAGCATTAATTGGTAGTATTCACCAGTTCAAACCGGTTTAAAAATATCATTAAATCCGCCACCAGATGTTGTGACAACCCTAAGGAGTTATGTCAGAATATTCGACGCGAGGTTAGTAACTGTGAATTTTGTGACAAACTTTCAGTATGAATGATTAGTTGCAGTATGTGTATGATTATCAACGAAACACCTACGTTTTGAAGCAAATCTAATCTACGTGTAATCTGATTTAAAAAAAAAAAGCATATATGGTCTACGTAAATACAAAGTAAAATAATTGTTTTTATTTTTGTTAAGTGTTTGATTGTTGTTAACCCAGCATGCAACTTTGATTTGAAAACATTGTTATGATTAGAGGTTTTTATTAGAGCCAAATTATATTATATGCAAAACAGAAAAGCTTTATTTAATAATACTTTCAATAAGTTAATTATAGAGTGAGCCTAAAACAATTTCATTTCTAAGAATCATGTAAAATTTCGATTATTTCCTATATGCTCTTGCCACATAACAATTAAGTAAATTAAAGTATTTACCTATAGTAATAGTATCCAAATCGTCTGCAGTTGAAAGAAAGCAAAGGACAAAAGAGATAATTAAAAACTACTGATACATATAACTACACTAATAAAACACAATTTATCTATACAAATTAAACATCTACATTGTTCATACTTTGTGTCACTAAGTCTACTGCGAAGTCTCATGCAAAAAAGATGCATAATGCAGTCTACATAGAGTTCAAATTCGGCCATACACAATCAATCCTAAGAAAATATCAATGGCAAACCTTCCTCTCCTACTGCGACTGTGTATCCGGAACCTGTCGTGTTGAAGCGAGTGCGACGCACCAGACAGAAAGCAACATTTACACGTGTTAGAGCAGGACATGACGATTGACACGTGGTCCGCTTTAAATGGTGCTATTGAAACATTCAACTGTTACCTCCAAAGGGTTGGGGTAGAGTAGGTCCTAATTAACTTTGTTATGCACCACCAAGATTTCTTTTCGTAAAGTTTTTTCATCTCAATAGCACCATTTGATAGCGTCATTTCATTTTAGTCATTAACATTGAAAAGCGAATGAAAATTAAAATAACACCGAGAATGATATTAAAAAAATAGTCAATGATAAAGTATTTCAAAACAGAAGCGTCTATTTAATGGAAAATATTTTGTGCCAAGCAATATTTTTGAAAGTAAAATGACATCAAACTTAAATGAATACTTGGTTATTTACTACGATTTTTGGGAATGATGTTCCTTTTCGAACGGTACGGACTTGACGGACGGTGGCTATACTGCCTTGATATGTTGAAAAGCGGTATCGCAATCAGAGTAAGATTTGAGATACCGCTTTTCGACTTATCAGGGCAGTACAGGCGAACACAAACGTAAGTTTTTTTCCGTCATAACCGACACTTGATTCGTAAGTAGGTAGCGGTAATGTGTGTAGTTGTGTACTTATGTTTAATTTTGAATTCGTACAGACCGAGTGTTCCACGACAGGCTTCGCTTTTCCCAACAAATAAACGCTTCTCATGGGTCAATCATGGGATCGAAAATCAGAAGTTTCTCTTCGTGAGACCTACCTGTAGCGCCTAGAGCCATAGTAATCGGGCGAGACGGATCTCTCCCTACTGAGGTCGTGCTGTGAGCCGCGGCTGAACACCATGCAATGACGTCACAAGATGGCGGGCGTGCGACACGGGTGGTGGGGAGGGGACAAAACGAAACGTGAGAAACGAAAACATGTGGGAAATGTGCAATTACCAATAAAAATATCATTGACATTCTATTTTTTATTTATTATTCAGGAAAGCATTTTATTAACAAAGATTAAGGCCCAATTACTTATACCCTCGAGTGTAGGGTTACTATTTAAAATTTTGAGAAGTTCTGACAGAATGCCGGACATTTTAGTCACAAAATGCAAACATCACCCACTTAGTTACAGTGATATTATAAGGGTGGTAGCAGACGCTCGCATCGCGAGGGCGTCTCGTTGTTGCTTTTTAAAGATAATTTACATTTTTCTTTAAATTAATGAGAACTTAATAAAGATTATTTGACTTATTTGATATAACTTGATAAGTAGTTTTACTGATATTCCATCTAAAAAATCCCGGACAAATTAAAAAGCTGGACAAAGTCCGGACAAAGGGCAAAAAGTCCGGACAAATCCGGAAGGATGGTAACCCTACTCGAGTGTTTCTTTTAAACGAGAAGACTTCATAGCGCATTTTAAAGAAAAGATATAATACAAAACCGCTTTAACAGAGCATATAAACTGAGATATCAGCTTGTTTAAAATTCATCAATTATATATAAGTTCTAATTAAAAAAAAAACGAAAAATAGGTGCTAAACCTTGTTAAAATGTGATAATGCAAGTGAAGGAAAGAGAAAGTATAGCGTTTTTGTTGGTAATTGTACATTCATAAGGTACATATGGTAGACAAAACAAACATAGGAATTAAAACATTCACTAATGGTGGACGAAACAAAACAGGAGGATATAAATTGAAAACAAACACTTGCGCCCTTATTATTAAACGAGGAATAAGCATAGACAAGTTACGCTGTTTTGTCATTCAATGAACAGAGACAAAACATAGAGTAACTAATCCAAGCTTAGTCTTCGTTTATTATTAAGAGGGTTAATATATAAGTTGTTTTAGTAACGTACCCGGGTGTTCCTTTGGTGGCAGTCTTCGCTGAGACTTTGCGCGGTGTTGATTCTCTACCTTGGCTTTGGTTCTTGACCTAAAACAAGTAGTCGGAGTTTCACAAGGAACTATGGAACTTTAAGATATACCACGTATATACTCAAGATTTCCGTGATGAGATATTTTAATATATAAAATAAAACCTAGCAAGATACCACTTCATACGAAAACTCAAATCCATACCCACTGTTAAGTCTTTCTAATGAATAATAATAAATGAGCTTTATTTTCTTCATAACCATTTTGTGCCTAACAATAACATTATGATATTATTAACAATATTTGGCTATGGAGACTAAGATTAGAAACTTAGAACCCGTTTACATGTCCACCAGGCCCGCCATAGCCCGGCAAATTTAGTATTGCGTACACTTAATTTCTTGCTAAGACATTATTTTATTTTTACTTTAGTTTAATTTATATCAGTAGGTACAGTAGGTAGCATACATGTGTGAGTTTGTTTGTGTATGTGCGTGTGTTTTTGCTAAGCCATTTTATTTTTGCAATATAATTTAATATTAGTAACAATAATAGGTAACTTGTATGTGTATGTTTCTTGCTAAGCAATTATTATTATTACCTATTATTTTTTAATTTAACTTAATTTGATTTAGATTTGTAGGTAAGTATATATAATTGAGTCTATGTGTGTTTTATAAAAGATAATGTGATGTGAAAATTGATTCAGTTGCTGTTTGATATCATTGCATTTAGGAACCAACAGAGCTTCTGTGCCGGTATAATCCAAACTTTGTAGCCATTTTATTGATAAAGTTTATTTATTTTATCATAAAGAAATCCACCAAGGAAGTGGTAAAATTTTTGCGATAAGTCTTGTTGATAGATTCATCTGGTAACTTGAGGTACAAATACTTCTGCTGGGAGTTGAACCTAGGACCTATTGGAGTAGAAACCAAGACTGCTGCTCTTGCAAAAAATGGTCGTTAAACAAAAATGTTGTCATATGCACGAGTGATTTAAGCCCAAATAAAAGAAAATACTTATACGTATCGCAAAAAGATTTGATTTCGATGGTGCTTTAATTAAACTAAATTAACGTGAAATTACCTGGTAAGCTTTACAGACGCGGTCGACCTCGTTCTGTCGCTTCTGTGTGTGTTCCATCAGTTCTTTGTGGTCTTCTATCAAGCCTTCTAGAAGTTCTATGGATTCAGGCAGAGGCTCAGCTTCCAAGGCTGTTTGTTAACAGTAATGAAAAAAAATGCATTTATAGTAACGGACAATTCTGAATAGCTCTAATATATAATCAATACTCTGAATAGGCAATAAATTTTGGTCCCACATTCATGATAACACTAAGTTCTGTACAATTGACAACAATTATTTTGGTCCCAAACTAAAAAGATTATATGTAAATAGCACTTCAGGCTACTATAAACATTAAAATGCTTCAATCGATTTTAAACCCTGAACAGTTTTAACTACAGCCATTAAGGTTGAAAGTTGGTTTGCAGAATTTCGATAGATTTATATAGTCTGAAGTGCTGCTGTGTGTTAATGATAGATAAGATTAAACATCATAAATATATAAACAAATATATATACGACCAAAATGATTAGGGAATGTAACATTACATATTTGGAACGAAACTACGATACTTGGCTAACGAATAACCTTAAAACTATCTTTTAGGTATGAAATTTTCTAAACATTACCTATGGCGTTGATTCAAGATTGTTAAGGAATAATAAAGGTTTTACGAAGTAATTCAGTTAACAAAACTCAAAGTTACAAATAACAGTCAAGATTTTACTTACATAGCAGGGTGCTTTCGAGTCCTATTAGCCATTGCAGGAGTTCTTCTAGCACAAGGTCCAGATCTCTCAAGCCCTGCATATGATTCTCCAGTTTGGTGCCTCGTTGCATTGCCCATTGCCAGACCTAAGAGAAATCAAGAATACACTATTAAAAACCAAATTATCAATTTCATTCTTAGTTACTTTGTTCAGCTCTTGAGCAAGATTATAAAATCATACTTCAATATATTATTTTTTAATAAAATATCTGGAAATAGTAGTGAAACCGCGTTAACAGATTCCGTCTCATTACAAAACATTGACTAAAGTTAAATCTAGATTAAAACTGATGCTGTGCCTTTTGTTTGCTGTAAAAAAAAGGCAAGAACAGCTTGAGGTTTAAACCAAGACTAACTTAAGTCCCCATTTTGGAATGAAAGGCGGAATGAGGTTCATAAGATACATATCGTATGTACATTTTTTTATTACACGTATGTAATTTATTACTGTGTTTGCGCCAAAATGTACGACAAAATATTTAATCTGCAAGAATACAAGTTTATTTTACATAATGAATGAGATCCAACTTCCCAATGTAGCCACATACGAAAATTTATTGTAATTATCCAGTTTAACTAAGGCAAATGAATACCCGAATACTACTACTAGGTTGCATTTTAAATTAACATAATATTTCAACTTGTTTGAATTGTAAATTAATGCAAAAGTGCAACTTTTTTGCATTTTTAAATTAATACAATACTTCAACTTGGTTGCATTTAAAATTAATCTTTAGTTCAAATATTTTACTGTAAACATTTTCGATACCTGACCGGGTGTAACTTTGCTGAAAATTCTGACGCCACCAGTCACCATTGAAACAACTAACTTTCTCTGTTTCTGCGAAGTGCTACTCATTTTTGAACAGTAACCAACATTGAAAAACCAAAAACCAACTGCATTGCTTTCATGTTAAACAAATCACGCGCATTTCATCAATCTTCAATTAATCGATTGAATTTTTATCATTTTGATAAGTAATCCTTACATATTCGATAAGATTGTGTTTGTATATTTGTTATATAATGTTTTTTTAGCTAAATTGTATCTGATGCAGTTTTTCGGAACTCGCTTTTGACTGAATATTTAGGTTTTGGAGTGAAATTTTGAATGTTATTTTGAGAAGAGATTACACTCTTGTATGTTTGTTTGTTTTTGCATCCTTTCACTATAGTTGCCATCTTATGGTCGAAATATTCGCCTGGGATGGGATACTCGTAAAATACGCTCATAGGAATAAAAAAATCTAATTTCTAAAAGATAGAGACATTTTGAATTTCCTTAAAGTTATGTTTAGTTGCTAGTGGTGGTGTTGTGTTTCTGTCGGTAAGTAAGGTTCCAGGGCTCCACGGGGTTGCTGATTGGGTCAGTCAGGGTAGCATGTTTTTGGTATCGCCAGCGTCTATAGGCTATGGTGGCCGCTTACCATCTGGCGGGTCGTATGCTAGTTTTCCATCCTTTTTATATAAAAAAAAGTTTGATGAGAATTCAAGTACGTATTATAGAAATACTAGCTGTCCCAGCGAACTTTGTACCGCCATAAAAAATAGGGGTTGGTGCGGTGGTAAAAGGGAAAAGTTTACAGTATGTATTTTTGTATGATGTATAATAAAAAAATAGAAACAAAATATTTTGTCTAAAAAAAAGTGTGGTCCACCCTTACTTACATTTAGGGGGAAGAAAACTAGATGTTGTCCGATTCGCAGACCTACTGAATATGCATATAAAATTTCACGAAAATCGGTAGAGCCGTTTCGGAGTAGTTCAATTACGCACACCGTGACACGAGAATTTTATATATTAAATTGTGTGGTTTGGAATAGACTTACCTCATCCCACCGGCTCTGTATGATAGTGATCCAGTGTTTGATGACAGTAACGGCGTCGGGATGAGCCTTGCCCAATATGGACTGCGCGAGCGCAATGGTATCGTCCTAAACAACAATATTAGAATGGTTAAAGTAATTAACTGGTAGAACCATAGACATATTAAATATGACCTTTTTAAACGGTGTATGGTTCGGTTTAGAACTGTAAGTATAATGTTTAATCAATAAATAAGTAGAGAATGTACTGAAAGAGAGAAAGCGATTCGATTTTTTCACACTTATCCCCTAAGTTTGACTTTACTGTTGGACAGGGTGTTACCCTCAGTTAATTCTCTATGAAAAAACAACAGACTATTATCATCAAATTCTACAATTATATTCAGTTTTATAGAATTCTACAAAGAAAAAGTAGAGCTTGTTGGGGCATCGGAGCTGTTTAACGTGTTCATTTCGTAATTGTAGAAGTTACACATCTTTCGCAAAAGTAGGTGTGAATATAGTCCCAAATACTACAATTTGACTCTTTGAAGGTCTTTTTACACCCTTTAGTTATTTTTATTTAATTTTTATTTAGGAAATCGATACCATTGTATCGATTCTGGTTTGATTCTCTAAACCTAAACCTAAATTTGACAGCAGTGTTGTCTTGTCATTTTCTATACAGAATGAAAAAGAGAGACTGATGTTAAATTCGACACCATTATTTGATTACATTTAGATTAATTAAATATAGAAAATAACATAAATCAACAAAGTTTCCACTAACAACTAATACAGTTTTGAGCAGCTGTGTATTTATAAAGAAAATCAAATAAAGTTAAATAAAATACGACATTAATTGAATTGAAATAAAAACTTATTTACACCCTGTGCTGTCTACAACCGATATTTTTTAAATATTTCAAATGTTAAGATAGGTGTGAATATAGCCCTAAATACTATACCTTGTCCCTCTGCTTCTCCTTCAACTCTCGTACGAACTTCTCGTGGTCTCGTAAGTGTTGTTGCGCTTCTAATTCCGCTTCAGGCAATTGGCCAGAGAACCTTAGACGGGTCTCAGCATCAGACAACCATTCGAGAAGCATATTCACTGAACGGTGTAGTTTTTCAGCCTGTGTACAAAAATATTACTTAAATAGATAAATATGGAATGCTGAGGAGGCCTTTAAACAATGGTGGGAGGTCAGGTTAAAGGTAAGATGATGATGAAGTTAAATACTCGTATGCAAAACAAAAGTAAAATCCAACCATCAGAGTCGAAAATTTTTTTGTAAGCTTCAAATTCATTCATATGTTTAAGTACTACAAAAACATGAATTTCAGGACATAATATTATAAACAGAATTATATTTAGCAGTAAACCGTCAATAACATAGTTTAAAAACTATAATCAAGAACAAAAAGTTTAACAGTCTTATTTTTACTACATCCATTATCCCTAAATCAAACCGAATGCCTAACCAATTTGTCTAACAATAATTTTCATTTGTATTCGTTATATATTTATTCATTTAGTTTATATACATGCATGAATTTAAGGATATTGAACGCTATGTTATGGAGTTAAAAGCGATAAACTTACCTCTTTAAGAGCACCTTCTAATTTGTGAGCTTTCTTCTCGCTCAGGCTTTGTACGCTCTCCCATAGTTGTTTGAGTTCACTGCACTGTTGACGAATGCTGGCAGCGTCTTCACGGGGAACCTGATAGAAATTCACTGTTATTTGTATAGTTTGAAAGCATATTATTGCTAAATAACACGTTTCAATAATGTCAGTATGTATATGATGTTGAAATTATCGAATGTCTCATTTATTCAATATATGAACAGACTCGAGTTAAAAGTTCTGACGAAATTAACATGAACACTCAGTCCTGATCGTAAAGAAGTATTTTTATTGAATTCAATCCTTATATAAAATTTTGAAAAATATATTTATGTGAAAAACTATGAAATATTTTATCTGATAAAAATCATTTGTTCAATTAAATTTTCAGTGCGTTACTTTAGCCGATGTATATAACACCATTTTTCTTAGCCATTCTTATGGTTAGGACAACCTCTTAGTTGGTTACCTCTTGGTAAGAATATTAGCTTTGAAATGGCAACTAAAGGCGGTCATCATTATAGATTCGTAATTAGTATACATACCGTAGCTTCCAGATCCTTTCCAGTCTTCATGACAGATTGCATCTGTTGTTCCCTCGAGTGGAGGTCTTCCTCGAATTGCTGTTGCAAAAAAAAAGGAAATTACGTCATTATTATGCAAAACGAAATAAACACATTATTTCTATAATCAGTCATAAATAAAAAAGTGATATAACAAGTTAGACCTTACGGCGTGGGTAATAGCGATGATTTTACCTTGTGTTGTTCAATGAGTGCCATGACCGTATCCAAATCTCCGTGTACAGGCAAGTCGTTAGACAAAGAAGATTGCTGCTTCTTCAGCCAGTCGAGTAGAGCAGACATCGCATCTTTAAATTGACCCGAGTATAACAGCGCCTCCTCCAATTTGCGTTGTCTATGGTACGGAAGGAAATAAATAATATATCGAAATGTTATTTAAATTGGAAAAACATAATGATATTAATAAAAATCTTTAAGATTACGATGTAGCAATTAAATGGTTATATTCCATTCTCATACCTACCTACTATTGTAATATTCTCATGATATCGATTACATAATTGTTAAAAAAAAATTACATCTTAATACAAAATCATGGTGCAAGATATATTGATTCTAATCGGTGTTAACTTCGCGAAATGTGTAATTTCTGTATTTGTTTTTAGTAAATTCATCAAAAGATCAAGTAACTGGCCTCCTCAAAATCCTCCAGATGACTTGAATCCTTATTTCAGTTGGTATAAGATTCACAATAAATTAAGAAAATTAAGGTTACAGATAACTCTATTGTTGTACACGACTAAGAATCTGTATAGATCTATCTTCCCCCCGTGGGTAGACAAAGAGAGAACAGAGATCCAAGCACGAATTTTGACAGCTCCGTAATCGTATCGCGTCGTCAGTTTCTAACTGGAAACTAAGAAGCGCCCCTATCGGACGTAAGAACAAACTAGCTTTTGTCATACAAAATTTGACGATGACGATACGATTACGGAGCTGTCAAAATTCGCGTTTTGGCCTCTGAGCTCAAAAAACGATGATACTCCTATTGTAAAAGTTTTAAAAAGCTCAGATATTTCAAATGTATTAACTAAGTTTGGTACAATATACACACATCAAAAAAGTCTAAGCAACACGCATAATTTACAGAAACTGTATGTTTTATTAAATTGATGTTTATTTTTTTTCTTAGCAAAGTCAATTGGTATACTATCTTTTTTGTTCTCGAAAATATAATTGCCTGATTTTAAAAATAGATAATAAGCTGTTAGATTAATTGCAATGAAAAGTCATTTATTCAGTCTAGGCTGTTACAAGGACTTGTGAAGGTTGATAGATAGATAGATAGATTGTGAAGATCGGAAGATAGTGTTTATAATAGCAAAAATCGTTCATAAGTCTAAATTATGTCAACAACGTACAACATATCGCTTAGACTTTTGATGAGTATATTTATATGCCTGTTCAGATATATTAAAGTGTTTATTAGAGAAATAAGTAATCAAATTCACCTATCGACAGCTTTAGAACAGACTGTGGTCCATTTAGTTTTCAGGTCGTTGAGCATATTCTTGAGGGCGGTCTCGTCAGTCTTGGGGGCTTTGTCCTTTAGCTGCTTGCCCGTCTTCATGGTTTGATCGTAGACCGGCTGCTTAGTGCCCAATGCCTTCTGGAAGTCGCGGTGTTTGTGCAACCTGGTGGATAAAAAAAGAGGTTTGTGTATTTTAGTTTTTGATGTGTAACATCTTTCCTCTCGCTTTCGTGCATTTTGTGGGAGTGATTACGTGAAGTGGGACGGAAGTGTATAACAACATTAAGAACATAATGTTCAAATGGCTTATTCCTTTTGTAGTAGGTTTTATTTCTTTTTTTTACTAATATGAGGTGAGGTTTCAAATGTTACATATCATACGCGACTACTGTAAGGCTCGCCCGTTTTTTGGAATTACGACTTGTTTACTCACGCTCTAGACCTAACGGAGTGTTGAGCAGAGATCGTCTACCTTAGTCTAAGCACCGCGATATTATTGGTATATAAGAGAAACGAGAAGAGAAGAGATTTAAGCCGTTTCGGAGGAGTATTATATTGGTGTGTGTTGGATTTTTTTTTTATTTTGGATAATATACGAATACTAGTATCTATAAAGTATCGACAATACTGACCTCTGTTTGATCTTCTCTGGGTCGTTGACAGTGGTCTCCTTGTTGAGTTCGTCCAACTGTTGTTCCGTATCCGACAGCCAGTTCATCAAGTTGTTCCTGTTGACAAATCAGGGTAAGATTATTAATTAGTACAGACTCAAAATCTAATTGATAAGATAAAGATTTAAGGTAAGATTTTATCATCATCATCAGCCTATTAATGCGCCCATTGCTGGGACTAAGTCTAAGCTTTACTATGGATAGAAACATTTTCCTTTTAAGTAATTTATTTTATTAGCAAAAAAAAGTTTACACGAGAAGGGGACATCTTACATACATACGAACAGTGCAAGTTAAATAAAAGCTTGAAAAGGGCAACTTACCACATATCATTGAATTCTTTAGCCTCCTTAAAGCCGTGGTCCAAAGCCCTGGTTCTCTCAGCAGCTTTAGACACTACTCTTTCCCATCGATGCTGTACTGACACTAACAGATTCTTGATGAGGATAACGTCCTGTTTCTGACTGAAGTACTTCAGGTGGGTTCCTTTCTTGTCCAGTAAGAGCATGGTCTCGCGGTGGGTGCCGATCTCCTTTTGGAATGCTTTGTGCTCCTCGATTTGCGCTAGAGGAAAAAAGTTATTAAATATTTTTTATGCTTTTGCTCCGTTCTGATCTATCAGTAAAACTAAACTAAAGTAGATCTACGTGAATTATACGATATAAGCAACATAAACGCGTAGATGTATTTCTAGTTATTTATTACATTAATGTTATAATTATAGACATCCATAATGTTATAATCCTATATCATTTAAGTATAGGTTTTACAAATTGTGAATTATAATAAGATGAAATAAAAGATCTTATATTTGTGGCAGAATCCCACGCTACGTCCGCCTAAATTAAAGTGAAAACATCTAATAAGTAATTTAGTGCGACTATTGAATTTGTGTCCGAATCGTTGCGAAACCATAATCAAGATGAAATCGGGTGCTAATAAAAACTGGACATCACAAAAAACATGTTACTGTTGCGAACCTATGAAAAACACAATAAAATTGCGTCGCCTTTGATTATATAAACTTTAGATAACATATTAGCTGCACGGAAGCGGCACAAAAAATATCTACTACATATGGTAGATATGCTCGTCGCTACACACGCAAACATTTGACTACTTTAGTAAAAACTGACATTAGAGTCACGCTCACATTGCGCGTAACATGAACCGTTTTCTTTGAGTGGTTTTGAGTGGTATTTGCATTGCTCTATCTATATAGGCGTATAAATAATCATAGCACGTCACGATATAACTTTCGTCTAAATAAAATCTATTAAAAACACACAGGTGATATTATGCTGAAAATTTGTAAATAACTTACTGAGTAGCGTCTCCATGACCCTAGAAACGGGTTTCGCCGAAGCGAGAGTTTTCTCGGCCCCAGTAAGCCAGTCCACAAAGGCTTGTAAAGCGTCGTGGAATTCTGTCGCCTCTTTCAAAGCGATCTCCAGTTTGATCTTCTTGTCTGACGCTCTGTTTGTTAATAAAATAAAGTAGTTTTATTAAATCTAATTAAGTATTTATCTACTAGCCGCCTTATTAAAACGTAGACTAAAGTTAAACCTGGAGTTAAACTGATGCTGTCACTTTTATTTGCTAAAAAGAATACAGAGAGAACATTAGGTTTAAACCAAGAGTAACTTTAGCCCGCGTTTTGAATAAGGGTGTTAACGATCAAATGTAAAGAATTTTTTACTAGAAAAAGATTTGCTGCTTGGACGGTGTGGTATTTTTTCTAGTAAAATGCTCTTTAGATAATAGAGTCGGTTTAGAATTTAACTCACTATTCAAATATTTGAGTGTGAATATTTTGAAATAGTTTCTAATATATTTTCGATTTATGCCTATAACTACTTACTTAAAAATACTGTTAATCCAGTGATTAACATAGACAAAGTATTAGGCACGCCAGTGTTTTTTCTATGAATGATTTCTTGCAATATTGAGGAAGAAAGAAATTCTTAAAAACATTAGAAACAAACAGTCTCTTTAAAAGGGCTCGAGTTATAATTTTAGGAAAAAAATATAGTATGTTTTCTATTTTACATTAATTACTAGAAGTGCGAACATTAACATCAAGAAAAGAAAAATACAGATCTAGTGATGAAAAAAAGGAACAATTACTTTGCACTTAAATTTTCCGTTTAGACAGCTACATTCTACATTTAGTATTGCATTCACGTAGTAATTTGCTTTAGCATTTCACATATAAAGTCGAAATTACCTTGCAGTGACATTATCCCATCGAGACTTGAGGTTCTTGAGATTAAGCGACAGTTGCGAAGTAGGGTTGGGTTTCTCCTGGCGACGCAGATATTCTTGTCCTTGTTGTAGGACAGCTTCCACCTTGGGTCGGTTGGCTTCGATCTCATTGTAGATTTCCTATACATATTGTTAGCATTTATGTAGATAAATAATTAAGTTATGGCGATTACTTAGTCTCAAACTAGCAGATCTTGTACAATTACATAGTAAACTTAAGAAAGATTATCTGTTTGTGTGAAATTTTATAGAGTTTGTTTAATGTTTTTATTCAGCGGCGCCAAAAATTGGCGCATATATAGTTTATCATAAATATACAAATGACGTACCATGAATCTCTCCAGTTGTTCGGATGCGGTTTCCGGCAAACCGCCGACCGGTTTCGAAGCGGCGATAACGCCGTCCACTTCGGACAACCAGGAGAGCAGATCACCGATCTCCGCGTTGAAGCTAAAAGGTAACAAACAAATTAGTTTATACTACTTTTATTTCTATTGAGGAGATCGATGGCGCGGGTGGTTGAAGTAAATCAACTTTCGCTGTGGTCGGTCATTGGATGGGTGACCAAAAATCTTCTATACCGGGTTCCTCCATACTTCGGAAGGCACATTAAGCCGTTGGTCCTGGCTGCATCTGCAGTCGTTAGCACCCGCCAAGCCGCACTAGGCCCGTTTGGTGGGTCATGGCCCAATCTCCCTATTCCATCCATAAAGGAAGGCCTGTACCCCAGCAGTGGAGACATTAATAGGCTGATGATGATGATGAATTTTATTTCAAGGTTGGCATAACTTTACAATCTTGCGATCGGCAGTAACTAACACTCGGGGATTACACCCCTATTCTAATCCAAGTGAAAAATCCGATGGGCTCTTCCTTTTTTCAGAGATGAATATTACAGGACAGACAAAAAGTTAATTTTGTATGTAAAGCTTCTGTCACACTTCGTATTAGAACATAGTAACACCACGTTCTTCCCACTTCCAAAAAACAAGGAAAAAGCTTTTTTTTTTGTATACATCATTCTGATTTGCTCGTTGTAGCGCTTGATTTTTAATAACAAGCATGCTACGCGCACAATACCCTCCACTACTAGGGTTACCATCCTTTTAGACCATAGTCCCGACTTTGTCCGGATACCAAATTGTCTGGATTTTTAAAAAATACATTGAATGTGAATAATAAAAGTATATATTGATTTAAATACTATACCATTGTAACTAAGTCAGTAATGGTACCATTTTGTGACTAAAAAGTCCGGACTTTTTTCGTAATGTCAGAATTTTTGTCAGGACTTTTGAAAGTCCTAAATATAATGTTGGGGTTGGTTAGGAGAAACCCTACTCCCAACCAACCCCAACATTTTTTTATCTATTCAAGTTATTGGAATAATTCATAATTTTAATATCAACACTTCATTTATAGGGAGGATCAATGGTTCAGTAATTTAGTTACACATAGGGGCAATGTTTACCTTTGTGCTTCCCTAAGGGCGTCCTCGAGCTCGGATTGGCGGTCGCGAGCCTTCTGCTGCAGCTCCCGCCATTTCCTGTTCAGTGTTGCCAACTTCTCTGCCGTCTCTCCCGCTTCTTCGGAACCTTTTAAAATGCATGTAAAAATATGTAAATACGTGTATATTTAAATCATGATTACAAGGATATTCTAGCTAATAATTATATATATGGTTTTACAATTTGCTAGGAGTTAAAATGTGGACGAGTCTAAAGGATAAAGAACAGTGAAGTACCATTGTTAAATAAAAGTTCGAAAAAATAAAAATGAAAGATAGCGACAAATTGCGAAAAAGTAACAGAATAACATAATATATGCCCAATCTACCGTAATTAAATTGAAAATCAAATTAACATCCTTTTATACGTATAAATAATATTACTCATTTTCAAATAAAGGAATATGTATTTATTGAAAGTTATAAAATTGCCAACTATGAATTTGATCGATGAATGAGAGAGCATTTTTGTGTGCACGCGATTTTAGCCTCTAACCTACAGGTGTCATTGTATGTTTTACTGACCGTGTCGCTGTATCTGCGCGCCGGCGTCGTTCAGAGTGTCGACACTCGCTTGGTGAGCGGCGATGTCATTAACTAACACTTTAAGTTTGGCCAGCTCCACTTCAAGAATCTGAGGGTCTCCTGCCACCTGTTAAAGCATATGGACTCGTCATTCAAAGTATTCGTTTTTGGATTACAAACTATAGAAATTAAATGGACCGTGTAACTAGATAAAAATATATAAGTCCTGATTCTGGCATGGCTCATAACTTAAAACTAAATTAAACATCAGTCTCTCCTTTCCATTCTGTATAGAGAATGACAAGGATACACTGTTGTCAATTTCAATTTAGGTTTAGAGAATCGTGCCACTATCGACACTACTGTCAACAATAATTTTAGGTTTACAGAAACATTGCAGAATCAGGTCCATAGTCTAGTTAAACTTATTTGTAAGTAGTTTTGAAAGTATTAAGTACGCCTGAATCTGTACTTTAGTTTCCAGAAAACACATTTTAATCGATATTATTCAATTTTGTCTCGTATTAAAACTAGCTATTTCTGCTTCCATAGTGCTTCGGTAAACTGGATGACGCAAAAATTTATTATATCGACGATCCTCCATGCTTCGGACGGCACGTAAAGCCGCCAGTCCTGGTTGCATCTGCAGTCGTTAGTACCCACCAATAGGGTATTTGACAGTATTAAAAATAAAGTGCCAATTGTTTGCATCTGTGTTTAGAATGAATATTGGCAGGGGTTTTTACTATTTTTACAAAATAAAAATATTCATAATTTTACTAAAAACCTACGAAAAAGATAATAGTATTCTTATCTATTGGCACGTGACCCAAAACGCTTGGGATTGGCGGAGCCTAAAATGATGTCACACGCAAGTAAACTTCCGGTTAAAGTGACATTACATTGTATCGTTTGACGTTTTGATAACAGTTGTGTGACGTCACACACTAGTAAGACGCCATAATGTCCAGAAAGATATTTTCGCGGCAACTTGAAAATGGAGTTTTTGATTTGGTTATTTTTACTAAAATACACAACAGAATGATGAATATCCACTTTTTACGGTTTCCATAAACATTGGTCAATAACGTGAGGTCGTTTTCTAAAACTTGTCAAATACCCTTTTATTTTTCATCGCCGAATCTCCATATTCCAACCGTAGGGTAGGCCTGCGCCCCAGCAGTGTGAACATTAATAGGCTGATGGAAACAAAAAAAGAGCGAGCCTTACAGTAGTCGCGTATGATGTGTAACAATTTCAAATGTTACACATCATACGCGACTACTGTAAGGCTACTACTGTAAGGGTGAGGTTTCAACCTCACCTTATATTAGTAAAAAAGGAAATAAAACCTACTACAAAAGGAATAAGTCATTAGAACTTTATGTTTTAAAATCAAATCAAATAACGCGCGCTTCCCAAACTTCCTGTTACACACTTCGGTCCCCCTTCACGTAATCACTCCCACAAATTGCACGAAAGCGAGAGGAAAGATGTTACACATCAAAAATAGCAACTCTAAATGAATACTCACCGGTTTAAGAGTGTCAAGGGTGTCAGATGTGTGGTTTATCCAAGAGAGTAACTCTTGCAACGCGTGTTGTAGTTGGCCTAATCTCAGCAGCGCCCTCTCTAGTTGTTGTTGCCTTTCAACCATTCCCCTCAGAAGGGCGGACCAACGTGAATTCACTTCGGTCAAAGGTTGCTTTATTGCGGACGCTTGTTCGGACGATGTGCGCTCCGTCAGTTCTTGCGCTTGCCTGCAGATGTAATATGATGTTGATTTACTTCCGAATGTGGTTGGCTAAACGATATTGTGTATCTCGTCATGTTAGTTTTGGCAATTCGAAAGTAATTTTCGATATTAATATCATGAACTTTGTTTGCTTTGTGTCCTGCTTGTAGCAGCAGGTCGTCAAAACAACGTAAGTTAGGGAAGGATGGACGTTGATGACGAACAAGCGAAATGGAAAGTCAACTTTAAGAGCAAGGGACCTCTATAAGTAATAAATAGTTTTGACTATTTCAAGTTCGTAAGAAGCCACTTTTAAGAATACTCAGCCAATGTTACACAGTAAGTATTGTTTAAGATTTTTGCTTTTTTTATCAGAGCACAAAAGTATGAAAGTCACTTTACCTTCTGATTAAAATAGCATATGAATACGTGGATATATAGAGCTAGTTACTTTCATAAATTCCATTTAATTAATTTTTTTTAAACTAACCAACAAGATACATAATATCGTTTATCATTTCCAGTGACATCATCTACTAAAGCGACATCTAACTACAGAAATAAAACGAAACAGAAGCATAGTACAACCAAAAGGCGTCCTTATAATCTAAATAAAAAAAAAATGCTTTTTAAAATAAATTTACAACCTTTGTTAAACAAATGAAACACCAAAGAAGGGCTTTAAATAGCATGCAAATCACACCAGACACACATTCCACCACTTTCTAATAAAATTAATCTTTCGTTTCTATTTATTTTCTAATATGTTTCAGCGCACGCTCAACCTACATACCTACATGAAATAACGCATTTAGCTTGGTCATAAAAAGCGCTAAGATTTTTTTATATATAGTAATTGTAGTTACATTGGTCAAGCCTCAGGTAAGGTCATTGGCCTTTAATTACTACCTCATAAGTTGTCATATGAAAATTATACAAAAAGATCTTTTTAACAAAAGTGATTGAGCCCACAATAATTTTATCAGAAAGTGGCATTAAATTACATTAACATCCAGACAAAACATTGACAGAAGCAGCACACTATAGTAATGCATAATGTCTTGCCTGACGAGACTCCTGAGCCAAGGTCCATGAGGGGCGCATAAAACAACAAATAATTAGTACACAGAGAAGTTAGCAGTGACTGTCGATTGCCAAAATAGTATTAAAAAACACTTCATTTAATCTATTTAAAATCAGATCTCAGATAAAGTAACGAATCTGTTGATTGAATTTTGAAAAGCTGCATTTCAAATTAAAATCAGTGATATAAAATTTATGTTGCTATAAGCAACATAATTATAGAAGGATGGGCAATCGGCTGTCAAAGATTTTATAGTGAAAAGGGAGATAAGGGTGTATTCTATTCTATAGTTTTATCCTACACTACTTAGTTATTAACCTTTACCTATCATTTGAATGCATTTTAAAACATGTTCTCATAGTAATGGTTATTAACTGAATAAATACACAGAAAAAAGTACTACATTTTATTGGTGTATTAGTTGAAATACAAATAGGAAAGGACCACCACCAAAAAATTGCTAAATCCATAGTGTTCAGATCCTTATTAAATCAGTAGTCGAACTAAACCATCTTCATTATGACATACATAACAAACTAATGTCAAAATGTATGAACTATTATTGAATGATCATGGTTAGAAAAGGTAGACCAATATTTTCTCTAAATTTAAAATATCCCATAACCCAACTTATCAATCTATAACTAACTTTTCTTCATAGCCGCAAGCATCAAAATCCCAAATACCACTCATCAACTCTTGCATTAATCCAAATTACCCCGAGAGCAAACTGAAATGACCTTTATTTCAATGTGCATAAGAGTACTGACCTGTTCAAAGCTTCAACTTTAACCATGTGAGGGTCGACTTCTTGCTTGAATGCGGCTAGTTGCGATATTTGCTTCTTCACCGCGTCGATGTCCGAGCCCAAAGCGCCCATACGGGAGAACTTGTCCTCGGCAGAGTCCAAGAATTCTTGGAGATTCTGTACCAACAATGGATCAAGATAAAGTTTGAAAACAACATTTAATATGTGATGAGAATTTTCTAATGTGACACGAAAACACCGGAACACTTGCGGTGCACGATTCATAACTTCTGAATTCATATTCAGAACTCGAATTTGTAACATACTATCGCGACGTAAGACTGCGAACAGAATGGCACTATTACCGCTAACTAATGATCTGCTTTGTAAAATTATTTTTACCTGTTATAAGCTACTTTTATTCATTGAGTGATATAGACTATTGCACCAGGGGCACCTTACTTATTCTATCCTACTAACATTATAAAGTATAAGTTGGTATGTTCATAAAAAACGGCTTTGGATGCAATTTTCTGTGTTTAAATAGTTTATTACCAAAATTGACATAGCATACTTTTTACCCAGTAAAGTTTCAGGTTCCTATGAGATTCTGAAACCGCCAAAAGTTTACGCAGTTGAAGTCGTGGGCGGATGCAAATACATTATAAAAAAGCGTGTGTGTTTTCGAACGCACGATAGAAATGATAACTTAAACTAATCTAAGCGGTGCTGCGGGTTAGAGTGAGAGGAGCCTGCCTACCGCTGCCGTATGCGTTCGAGGAAGGGAAGCCAGACAAACTGGCGCCGTAACGCGTTACGTAACGAAGCGGTTTTCCCTCCCATAAGAAGTTATCACTTCAAAAGAACACAAACAGTATATATATATATTGGGAAAAATTTTGAGCAAAACCACAGATAAATAAACTTTTGCGCAGTAGACATTTTAGTAAGTAAAATTGCTACTGTGCAAGCTATCTAGTGTATAGTCGTCGCTCAAAAAGTTTGCCGGAGTGTATACCTGCAGGGTGTCATGGAACTCCATAGCCTTCTCCATGGCGTCGATGAGGTTCTCCTCGCGACGTGCGTACAGTGCGGTCACAGTGTCCCACGCTTGGTCCAGATCTTCCATGTGTTTCTTCACTTCCGGCTTGTCTGGCTCGCCGCATAGCGACATCAGAGTGGAGCCAGTCTTGCGGACTTTCTCAACCTATTTATGAAGATGATTGCGTTTATGATAGGTTTAGAACAATATGCTTCTTGTAGAATACTGTTTTAAGCCACTGAAGTTACTACAGGGTGATGCAAAATTGACTGATAATTTATAAGTTTAAAACAGAATTTATTTCGTTGAAGTTTTTGATATTAAACAGAGTTTATTTGCGATGCAAAATCGACTGATAATTACCAATTACATAGTTATGTTACTGCAATGAAAAATTACTGTAAAATGATAAACTTTAAAAACCACTCTCTGACCTACTCTAATTTTTGTTTTTTGAAATATACTAAACATTATTCGAAAACATATATTCTGTCATTCGTCACCCATCCCGTGGTAAATGACTACCATGAGGTGGTCAGATACATAGTATCGATATTCAACTGTCAAAATTCATTTAATTTGACTACTAGCCAACATGTTAGGGTTTTAATGTGAAACAAAAGTGGCTTCCTATAGACAAGAAAAGTGTTTGGAAATATTTTATGAAAGTTTACGAAGAAAATATATAATTTGTATGAAATGAAAGTAGTAAACCTTATTCAAGTTACCGAAGTTCTTACTAAAAGCTCTTTTGAACCGTCCTTAATTTGTTTCCTATCACCTGTTCAGGACATCTTTCAGCTGACAAGAAGAACGGTCTACAATTAATTTGGCTTACTCACCTCGGGCTTAGTATGGTCGATCTCATGCCTGATCTCTTGCAAGGCTACTTGCTGCGCTTGTATAGCTCTAGGTTGAGCCGCAGGCGGGGGTTGCGATGCAAGTGTGTCTTGTAACTCGCTCAATGTTGCCATAACCGCGTCTAATTGTTGCCAGAAGCGGCGGGCCACTTCTAACGCGCTGTCTAAAGAGACGCCACGGTCGTTCGTGGCTTTCTGTACTTCGTCCCATAGCCTAGGAGAAAGAGATTTAATCGACTTTAAAAGGAGGAGATTCTCAATTCGGCAATTTGGCCAGGCTATAGCCGGGAGAAAGAGTTATTGTATACGTTGTTTTGTGCTACTACTATAATAGCCTGAGAGTTACAGTTACTTATAAATCTAAAGAAAAAAAACTTAGATAAATTTTCCTTACAATATTTATAATTCATGCTATTAATTCGTCTTATAGCCTAAGAAATACTGGAAGCATTTCAAATGTGGCGTAGGTGCAGAATGAAGAAGATTAGTTGGGCAGAAAAAGATACAAACGAAATGGTACTTATTGAAAGTTGTAAACGAAAGGAGAACGCTTACTCAACACACTTGAAAATATTTCATATTCGGCAACCTTGTGCGATCCACCACACTTATTAAAATCATCCATCATTGATGGAAAAGTAGAAGGAAAATAGGAAGACCAAGGATAGATTACACTTAACAAATTAGGGAGAAATCTGGCGTAGAGTGTTCAGAGGTGTCAAATAGCTGGCAGAAGACAGACGAAGATGGCGGAAAATTGAGAGACTGCATCGACAAAGGGAGAAGGAGAGAGATCTATACATATAATAAAATGGTTGGAGAGTCAAAACAGTACATTGAACGTTTTTTTTTTAAAAATACTTGGGGTGTGATCTACATTCGATACCGAAGCTAAAAATATAGTTTTTAGAATTTTTGTCTGTTTGTCTGTATTTATGTCCGGGATAAACTCAAAAAGTACTGCATGGATTTACTTCAAACTACGCACGACTATTATTAAGAAGTCGGGTCAACATATAGGCTACATATTATTACGCTATCACCTTCGGGGAACGAGCAGTGAACCTTTATTTCTAACTAACTCTACGCGTACGAAGTCGCGGGCGGCCGCTAGTAGAAAATAAAATTTACTCACTTGTTCAGTTTGTCCAGTTTATTGCGTATATCCCTGACGGCGGGGTCGCTGCGGTCCGCCTTGCTGATGACGTCGGAGGCGGCGCGTTGGACCGCGTTGTAAGCCTCCTGGCGTTTCTCTAAGTCTTCCGTGAGGGCGTTGTTCTCCTCTATTTGGTCTCTGTACGGAGGAATAAGAATGTCAGTTTTTTAGAAGCCAATGAAAATAGTAGAGTACACTAAAATTTTTTACTTTAAAGAAATTTAAGTTTTACACTTGAGAAAAACAAAAAAAAATGTTGACACAAAATATAGCAATAATGGACACAAAATTTTTTTTTTTTGCTTCATGAAACAGATATCCAAAACAAGACATTTTATCATAATAATTACAGTTCATGTTAAAACCGATATATATTGTAACCTAAACTAATAGATAGATAAACAGCACTTTAATAAAACAAATCATAAACCGCGTATTACGAATTGCTGCTCTTAAGTACGATTTAAAGTTCTTATTGTAAAATCTAAGGAAACAGACTATTGACATTACAAGTTCATGAAAAAGTTACATTTCAGTTATACAGGGTTAATTTTAAAACACCAACAACCTCTTAGGGGGTGATTCTACCCATCAACAGGAACAACTTTTATTATAGGAACAACTCTGAAATTGCGAAAAAAACAGTTGTTCATACATTTCGGTCGATTGTGAAACAGCAATTTTTTTTTCGCGATTTTAGCGTTGTTCCCCTAATAAAAGTTGTCCCTTTTGATGGGTAGAATCACCCCCTAAGAGGTTGTTATAAAATTAACCCTGTATATAATCATGAAAAATATCCATGATTAAAATTTAAAATAATTCCAATCAAAAAGTACACAAAATAATAGTATTCATTTCAAAATAAATTCGATCAAAAATTTCATAGAAAAATAGTCCTTCAAAATATAATAATACGTACTGAATCTTAGGAGGATGCGCGGAGACGGGCTCAGCGCGTGCGATTTGATCGCGGGCGCCGTTCAGCGCGCGCAGCATGCCTTCCAGTTTGTCGGAAAACAGCGATGATTCTTGCAATGCCTTCGAAATAATTATAATATTACTAGAGGTCCCCTACGGTTTCACCCGCGTTAATTTGAGGAAAAAGAAAATAGTGAGTCAAACTTAAAAGATGGACATATACTGTCGCAGACTTTTTTTATTTCATTTACATTCCAATAAAAAAAAACTTGAGTTTAAGACAACACCCCAGAAAGTAAGAATACAATTCTCGTGTTGGGAAAATTCATGGAAGGAAAAGGTCTCATTATAATTGTGAATGTAGAACCCGCGCCAATAAAGAAACGAATCTAAAATTATTAGGTGTAAATCACCACACATTCTGTCCTTGTCGCAAATTATAGCAAATGTGCGAGAGGGATGGACAATGCTTTGCAACCAGTGATATACTAGTAACATGAACCTATTATGAGGGCGCATTGTGGATTTATGGATACCAACGATTGCAGATGCAGTCCGGACCAACGGTTAAACGTGCCTTCCAATCACGGTAGAGTTCAAGATGATAATTTTTTATTATATTTATAACCATAAAACTTTTACAACTTGATTTGTAAAGGAAACGGCTTTTTTTGCATAAGTATATCAACGATGAAGGAGCACTTTCTGGGCTACAAGTCATACCTAAGAATCAATAAGAATTTTGAATTTTATCTTCTTTTATCTTTTTCTTTAGCATCGTTTTTTACAATGATTTGAAAAATTAATAACAAAACCTGCCTCTTGTTTACTTACTTGTTCTAGTTCTAGTTGCCTTTGGCGCAACTCAGCTCTGAGAGCATTATATCGCTCGCAGTCCCCTTCCACGGTGTCTAGTACTTTGCTGGCATCGTCTTCACCACAGAGGCGCGCCAGGGCTTCGCCCGTCTTCACTAGCTTGTCCACTAGGGGCTTGTGGTTGGCGATCGATTGTTGCAGCATCTAGGAGAAATAGCATGTTTAAATCTAAAGAAAAGTTTACTAGAAGAAATTCCATGCGGACCAGGCAGCAGACGGGCCTGGTCTGGAGCCTTAAAAATCTACCAGTTGAATGCTAAAAAAATAAAAAGAAACAACTAGAAATAACATGACCAAGTAATTAATACCATATCAAATTAATGAATATGATATTGGCAGTTTGTTGCTAGGTATCTCGCAGACTATTTTATGCATCATCTCTTAATATGTAGTTAGTAATCATGTTTTGGAATTATCACGAGATGAGAAGTGTACATTTTAAATCAATAGTAATTGTGGAAGTCGGAAAAAAATATTCTCAAATAGAAAATGAGTTGATGATCTTAAAGCTTCTCAGTAGATTTACATAAATAATACCTACAGTGCGACAAAGATCTTTATAAATGAGAGTGACAGTTCAGGGAGGGCGCGACTGTTTATGCTAATGGCCGAAAATGACATACAAAATACGAAGTTTACAAAGACGGCCGCGTTAGTTCCAATTTTCGCCACATTAATGAAGATTATTGTCGCAATATAGCTAAGAACAATTTCAGCTTTCAGATACTTTTATCTGAAAGCTGAAATTGTTCTTAGCTATATTGCGACAATAATCTTCAATGGACAGATTTGGATACGGTTCTTTAACCGTATCCAAATCTGTCCATTTGTCTAGGAACTACGATGTCACAGACAGACACAGATACGACAAACTTATAGGACCCTATTTTTGCGACGCGGGTTAAAATAATTCTTTATTATTCATACCTCGTTTTTGTCTTGCTGCTGGACGATCTGCTCGGGGCGTAAAGCCGGCATCGCCAACATCTGGATCTGCCTCTCCATGTCGTCCATCCAGGAAGACAAGCTGCGTTACAAATAAACCTCTATTGAACTCGGCATAAGGATTAAATTTGTTTACATCTAAGTGAGGTCATTTTTTTTAATAATTAATCACACTTATATTATAAAGGCCAAATTTATTTCCATACCCGTGGTAAGTGTCAGCGAAGTATTCGGGGAGCGGTAACGCCTGTTCCAAGGCAGCTAATTTATCGGCACTTAGTTGTCCTACTTATTCCATCAACTCATTGAGTTCTTAGCTACTATGGCGGACCATTAGGAATTCGATGCTAATAATATATTTATTTCCATACCCGTGGTGAGTGTCAGCGAAGTGTTCAGCGAGTGGTAACGCCTGTTCTAAGGCAGCTAATCGGTCAGCACTGAGCTGGCCAACTTCCTCCATCAGTTCCTTGAGTTCTTCGCTGCGATCGCGGATCACTGCAGTCTCGTCGGAAGACTGGCACTCGCGGAGAACCTGTTTTGTGATGGACGGTAAAGTTTAATAACTATATGAAGACTTAAGTAGGTTACGCAGTTAATAATAAAAATATGAGTGGAAAGTAAGTGAATAACTATTTGAAGACTTAAGGTGTAAACATTTTAATGGTAGAAAGATGTGCGTTAATATTATGTTTTAATTCTTCTATTGATTTTGCGTCTGATATACATAATATTTGTGGTGCTACGTTTGGCCACACCTTATATCTGTATGACGGGCCAATAATATGGCTATTGGAAACATGCAACACGGATTATTAAAAAAAATATTTGTTCGAATATAGCGAAGTCAATTAATCAATGCAACGCTAATAAATAAAGTAAATTAATTAAAGAAGCGCAATGGAATAAGTATTTTTTTATTAATGAGTGTAATATCCCATTAATTCGCCATATACCCCAGCAGTGGGTATGTACCCACTGCTGCCACATGCCTTTTATTATTAAGTAAAATATTCAAAATATCTTGTTAAATGAAACTTATTAAAATAATGACGCTCTAAGATGCTAAGAAATATATTCCCAAAACAAATTACTTTTCGGAAATGAACTTTATTTCAAACACAATAAGTACCTTCTTCGCTTGAGCCAGCAGGTCTCTGACGCGGGCTCTATGTGCAGCCACGTCTTCGCTTAACGGCCGTTGTTGATTCAATTGCTGCCTGACTTTAGCCGCGTCTGCAGAAGGAGGCGCTGCGTTTCTCAAAGCGGCTTCGGCGCTGCGCAGCCATTCGACCGCTTCCTCCATATCGCCTACCACTTCAAGCGATCGCTGTGTACCAAAATAGAAGGTAAAAGAGCTTTTTTATTTACCAAGAAATAGGTGTAAAACCAACCAAAAAGACCAACCAAAAGAATGAAACCACTTAAAACTTAAACTTAAAATCATTATTAATAAAAAAGCCTTTCTCGGCTGAGAATCGAATCTGGGCCGCGTAGCAGGCAAGCTTTCTAGCATTTAAACACTGACTTATGATGATGTCTTATTACTAAGTTTGATATCCCACCTTCTTGCTGAGCAGTAGCCGCTCAGCCTTGCGTTGAATCTGCTCAGCGATGGCGTCAAAGCGGCGATTGTCGCGCGTCACTAAAGCTTCCACATGTGTCGCTCCTTCTCCAGGGGAAATCTGCATCAAAATTAAATCGTTTGTATTAAAATGATCCCATACGTGTAAAACCTACCTACGTGACATTGGCGGAATTGATAAAATACATAGAATAAAAGAAAATGAAACATCGCAGTTAGTAAAATAACTATACAAGGTATATTACGGTACAAGTACACTCGGCTACGTCGCGAATTTATAAGAAATTTCAGTCGATTTCAATAGATATTTTCATGTTACTTTTACTGGTTTAGAAAACTATATTCAGAATATTATAATTTTCAAATTACCTAATACACAAATTACAAGACATTTAACTGACTTTACTGTATTCATATATTGGACATATTTTTAAAGAAAAAAGGTTTGGTAAGTTTTTTAACACCGTCTTTACTTCTGAGTTCATTTCTTTATACTACCGAAAAAAACTAAATTCGAATAGCAAAGCTAATGTATAACTTTGAAATAAATCTAATAATTTAATTATTTTTTAAATCAACAAAATCGTAGAATTAAACGAGAACAAATACCCTACACAGTGAAAAGTGAGTGCAAAATGATACCTTATCACACAACATTACTAAACGGTATTCGTTGAAGGTCATACAGGTTTACGCGCTGACCTCGGCATATCCTGATCATGTGGTACAGGCTATGTATGTAAATATAACTAAAGTCATGCATACCTCAACCTTTACTACAGTGCTGTGTTGGGGGACTATAATGCAAAGCTAGGCGAGCGAGACGGTTCCAAGTTGAGAGTGGGTAAATTTGGGTATAGACAGCGGAACAAGTCTTACTTGGCATAGCTGCGGTCCTACGACGTTGATAGTGTCGAGTAAAGGTCTGAACTCCTGCAAGTCCGCTTCCAATCGGAGTATGTCTTCTTCGCGAGGCTCCACGGATTGCAGGCAGTTCTCCGCACCGGACATCCATTCATTCAATCTGTTGACGGAAATATAACTTTAGTCCTTGGTACTTGAACTTGCAGCAGCACACAATAAGGGGACAACAAAGAAGTTAATTCGTTTATTAAATTTTTTAAAATTTGTATAAAAGATTCTGGCATTGATCTTAACTTAAGATCAGTCTTCACTTTTCATTTAGTATAGAGAATGAATAGAATACTCTGTTGTCAAATTTAAGTTTAGGTCCAGAGAATCATACCAGAATCGACACCATTATATATATAAAATAACTTACTTGTTGTGGTTGTTATAAAGCTGTTGTACGAGCGGAAGTGTCTCCGAAGCGATTCTCAAGAGATCAGCTCCGCGGGAAGTGAGATCGTTGTATCTTCGTTGCAAAGCGTCTAATTTGTCTTTAAGTTGCAGAGCTTCATCTCCAGATATGTGCTTCATGAGCTCCAGACCCGATTCCACCGTGGAGTCCACGGCTTCTTGCTTGGCCGCGATCTCTTCGGTTTTCGCCTGTGTTGATATCAAGGTATTTTAAAATCATGGTGGTTTCTAGAAGTTTCCTTCCAAATAAGAGTAAGTCACTTTACAAAAACGACTAACTGTCCTTTTTGTAAATAAGATGTTAAAGTAAACACGATTAGTTGAAAGACACCCGTAAAGATAAATCAATATTTTTATTATGATGTCTTTAGTGTAGCTAATATCTGACCTAAATCTAGCGATGAATAAAAATTACATAAGCTAGAATAGAACACAAAACAATAAATCAAGTCATACCAAATAACAAAATAATTAGAAAAGCTCATGTATATTTTTTTCTGTCTATTTAAATTACTAAAAAATAATAATCAAATACTGCCAGGATTGGCATGATCTCAAAACCTAAACTTAAATTTGACAACAGTGTATCCTTGTTATTCTCTACAGGGAATGAAAGGAGAAACTGGTGTGAATTTTAGTTTTAAGTTAAGAGAATCATGCCAAAATCCACACGATTGACAGATGAATATTAATTCACTTATCTGGCAGTGTGAACATCACATCCGTGTTTATCTTCGTAGATGGAAGAGTGACATCATTACTTACAATATTCAACTTTATACCTTTCACTTAAGGTTTATTATCGCACTTACCGCTAGTTCATCCATTTGCCGTAGTAATTTATCCATGTGTAGAGGAAGCAGTTTCCTCTTGGCTAAGTATTGTTCCATGCCATCCATCCACGCGGCTAACTCTTGGTAAGTGAGGACTAGATGACGTAATCCTTTGCGAGAATTGTCCAGTAAATCCCCAATGTTCAAGCTGTGATCTACCAGAGCTTGGTACCTGTGAAATATTGGTTAGTTAACGCATTTTAATATTATTAAGCTATTGTATAGCTTTTATCGCGGGCTTTGAGCGCAGCGACCGAATCAAGAAATTCCGTAACGAAAAAAACCTTACAAGAGTGCATATACCAATAGAACACAATTTTAGCCATTCCAGTATCAATCTTAACGGCGCAGTGTGTTAAATCTTTGCACGGTAGCAACGATCGACGCATCACCGCGGTAGTCGGTTCAAATCACGCACTCGTATTTTAATATTTTTTCTAATGACAGTTGCACCGATATTCAATATAACCTGAATTCAGTTTAGCACATGACATTATCATTGATATTTGAATTAAAAATAGATGTAATGAGTTTTACATGATGTTGTTTTAAGTTGTATTGTATATACCTAAGAAAATTGTTGAAATAGGGACTTAAGGACTCAAATATCGCCTAGTCTTTCCCGGTCATCAATATAATATTAATTTCATATTATAATGACTACTGACAGAGACTTTCCTGTGAATAGTGTGAAAATTTGGATTTTCATAGACTTTATTACTTACTGAGCAAATAAAGTAGAACTCATTCACTTACAAAAAGTAACAGATGTTCCTTCTTTGCGTCATTTCATTCTATTTTATTTAATGAACATGGGTGCAATAGCAATGATTATATGGACTATGAATTTTAAAAAGCTTCCTTCATTATGAAGATTTAGAAGACGGGTTTAATCCAAAGAGAAAATGTTTAAACAATTAGTATAAGCTGGAAATCCGTCGGCGTGGAATTTTTTGCAATTCCACGCGGACGGCAGCAGACGCGACTCGAACCCGCACCCTTCACAATCCAGGCGCATGCATTGACCAATTATGCTACCGCGGCCCTGACGGCCGTGTCAAATTCTTCCTAGCCTTTCATAAGCTGCAAGGCAGCGCCATCTCTTCGCATTGTAGGTAACTCACAATGTCAAATGAATACCTTTACAACTATGAATTTAATTAATTCGCCCGGATTGCGAAGGGTGCGGTCAAGTCCCGCCTGCCTGGTCCGCGTGGATTTTTTTCTAGTAATATTTTCTTTAGATTTAAATTTTATGGTAGTTTTACCTATCCGTAGCAGCTTGTAGACGGTCTGCCAGAGCGGTGGCTTCATCGTCACCGACAAGACCCATTAGTGTTGATGCTGTTTCGGTCAATTGCTTGAATGCTGGCTGCTTGCTAAGAATATCTTCGTGCAAGTTCTGTGGCAGATATTGGGATTTGTCAGTAAGAAAATGAATATGAAACATGTGTTTATTCAAAAAAATAAAAAATATTTTAGTGTATATTGATGATTTGGAATTTTAATATTTTATTGTGTTACTTATTGCCTTCAATTAACCTAACTAGCTTATCCTTTAAACAAAACCCATGCCAAATGGGAGTGCTATTTATTTTGTGGGTGTCATCTCGTCGTCTATATGCTGCTTACTATGCAATGGGTTTTAACGACATAAAAAGTAGCTACAGGTTCATTTAATGGCATGTCACTAAAATTTGCAAAATGTCAAACGCGAGACAAATAATTTACTCTCTAGACTTCGGAATAGCTATCGATATTTGGAGCAGAACATCGAATGTATCTAAAAGAGTTAAATTACCTCAATATTAGGAAACATCAACAGACGGTTTATTTGCAAGAAAGTTTACAGTCAAAATAAAGTTTACTTCCGATAGGAACAAATAAAACGAACCTTGTGCTCCCTGATCTTCTGCTGTATCTTCTCTTCGTCAGTAGGCACGAGTTGCAAAGCCTTCACCTTGCGTTCGGCAGTTCCCAGCCATTCCACAAGTGGTTGCAGTTCTTCTTGGAATTGTTTAGCCACCTGTGTAAATATATTTGCAATGAAACTACAGAAGTTTTGAGTCATAAACACTGTTCTGTAGCATGACAAAGCAATGCCAAAAGATATTGAAACAAAAAAATAATAAGTTATCATAAGTATACGAATTAAAGAGATTTCGTTGATCCAGAATATGCTTCCAATGTTCATCCAAATTGGTTTCATTGTGACTGAATGTCCGTCCTTTTTTTTCTCACTCACTCTCCCGCTCCAATTACCCGCTCCCCTTACTGACACAATAATACTTGTAGCAATTCAATTTTATTCTAAACTAGTGGCCCGCCCTCGCTTCGCTTCGGTGTAGAGCTATTCGATTTTTTCTCACCTTTTAAACCTTCCAAGACCAAGTTAAGATAAATCCGTTCAGCCGTTCTCGAGTTTAAGCGAAACTGACGAAGAGCAATTGATATATATATATATAGATATAAGATTTATACCTTCATAGCTTGTTCCAAATCAAGCATCCTCTGTTGAGCACCGTCAGTTAATGCATCGAATCTCTGCATCAAGCCCTTGAGTTGTTTCTCAATGGACTTGCGTTCGCCAGTTTCGCAGCCGGCGGCCACTTCGTTGCCCATAGCGAATAGCGAAGACATCGAGTTCTGACGGTCCATCAGCATTTTCTTGAGGAACTGTGGGGGGAAAGTTTAGACTTTAGATAGTAAACGATATATCGCTGGAGGCTAGTAGTCAAAATTTTAAGTTTGACTGCATTTTCTCTTAGAAAGCTACAGAAAAAGTGTCGATGTGACAACACATTTATTTCTTTCCGCGATCAGTGATCAGTACCCCTAGCATGAACCATTATCGAATTCGAATAGTTTACGAGTGCGAAATGTCATTTTCAAATGTGTACTGATTTTTAGTTCTCGTTACGTACTTTGTGGCGCTGCTGTTCAAGTTTCCATACAAAATTTGACATTGACATTTATTAAAACTATTCGAATTCGATAATGGTTCGTGCTAGGGGTACTGTATTCGTCCGAAATGTCATTGTCAAATTTTGTATGGAAACATATACAGCAGCGTCAAACCAGGCGTAATGAGAACTAAAAATCAATACACATCTGACAATGACATTTCGTACTCGAAAACGTTATTAATTCGATATTGGTGCGTGCTAAGGGCACTGATAATATAAATGGGATTATCCTATTATATATCAGCTAGCAGAACAACAAATCGAACAGTGTTATAAATCATCAGTAACCTTATTTTTATGAAAATTTTGTGGCCAATGTATGAACTGTCCAAATGCAGATTATTTGATTACGTGTGAATATTACAAACACATGAAGTTTGAGCACTGATAAGCTTTAAAAAAATCAAGCATTTTGTCACTTAAATGTCACACAAAATATGTGTGAGGACGTTCTTAAATGAATGTATATAACTGTATCAGGCCAGTTAGATGTTGATTTGTTTCGTGACAGCTTGAATTCATTTAAAAAATTTCTTTGAGCCGAGTCCTTAAACTATGTATTGTGTATCTTTCTGTTTTTTTAATTGCTTATAAGTATATAATAAAGTATGCATACCTACTTAAAAATCATTTGGGCATTATGTGCACTACATACCGACTTTGTTAATTATTACTGTAATTATCTGCGGAAACTATTAATTGGCCTTACACATAAATATTATGCAGAATAGCGAAGTAAGAGAAACTAGCTGTACGTTTCTCAAAAATTGACAATTTTAAATTAAATAAAAATAAACTTACCTCGAAAGTAACTTACATCGAGGAGCTCGATGGCGCAGGTGGTTAGCGTGTTCGGCTGCGATCGTTGAAGTAAAGCAAATTCCGCAGTAGTCGGTCATTGGATGGGTGACTAAAAATTTTCTATCCTTCCTCCGTGCTTCGGAAGGCACGTTAAGCCGTTGGCCCCGGCTGCATCTGCAGTCGTTAGCACCCGCCAATCGGCACTGGGCCCGCGCGGTGGCTCATGGCCCGTTCTCTCTATTCCATCCGTAGAGAAAGCCTGTGCCCCAACAGTGGGGACATTAATAGGCTGATGATGATGATGAAACTTACCTTCTGCTCCTGTAGTTGTGCTTTAACGACCTTGTAGTCGGCCGATGGTGGTTTTTGATTGCGCACCATATCTTCGGTGTCAGCCAGCCATTTCTCTAACCCGGCTAGAGCTTCGGCGAACTTGCCCGATTGCAGAAGACCAACGTCTAAACGACGCTCGCGCTCGTTCATCTAAACAACGATTTGAATCGTAGAAGTATCCAAATATATATATTGTTTTAAACTTTCATGGTCACTAACATTATAGCTTTTAACGGAATTGTTACCATGTATGTACCTTGTCTTTTATGAGTCTCCGATATTTTTATGGTATCGAACGCAATAAAAGACGATGTCAGAGGGTAGACCGATGTGTCTGCCAATAATATCTACCCGCAATTACTTCAGTTACTCCGTGATCGTGGCGCTTGCAATAGTGCCGAAATATCGGAGACTCATAAAAAACAAGGTACATGGTAACAATCCCGTTAATAGCTATAATATCCAAATATAGTTCTAAATTTTAGGAAATTGGTGCAAAAATTGTCTTTTAGAGGAATTGTTGCAAGATGTATCGAAGCCACAGTCAATTGATGTTAGAGAAGAAGATGAACATTTGACGCATCGCATAAAATGTACTAATGTAATTTAGAAGGTAATAAAATATACTAAGGTATTTTAAAAGTACGACCGAGGTATTTTACAAGATGTTTTGAATTCCAAAATATACGACATAGCGTTTTTATATTTTATAAAATGATATTTTATGTCGCAATTGAAAACATATGATGTATTTTTTGCTTAAAGACAGTCACAATCAATTAATGTTATATTGATAAAAAATTTAATGCATTTCCTTTAGACAAAAAGTGCGAAATGCTAGTGTGAATGAATGCTCAAAAAACCTACTTATTACAAAACCTGTAATTGTGAATAAAGTTGAAAACCCACCTTCTCCTTGAGCGCATTCCATTTGTCATTCATCTTTTCGAGATCCTTCTCCAGCTGTTGCGTGGAGACTCCTTGTAAGGCCGATCTGACTAGGCCTTGACCTATCTTGTTACAATGGGCCACATTTTGTCCCAAAGGCTCCAGGGTGCGTCGTCTCAATTCACCGAAGTCTTTCTGTTGAGACCGGATCTGTTCCACTTCTGAGGATACCGGCTTAAGGGCGCGTACTTGCTCAGATGCCTGTTGGATATTCGATTATGTTATATGTAGTATCATATTGTTTGGACTTTGTTGTGTTATTGATACAAGGATAAAACAAAGTCTTCTTTGATGTTTTATCCCAAGGCAAAAAGATTTAAAGAAGTGAAATTTACCAAGTTATTGCAAAACGAGGACTAAAGTTAGGCTTGGTTTCAGCCTAATGCTGTCTGTCTTTCCCTTTAGCAAACAAAAGCGACTCATTTTAAGCCATGTTTAAATTTAGTCCACGTTTTATAACAAAGAGGTTAAAGTTTAAGTATGGTGGAATTAATGCTTAATGTAATTTGACTCAAAAAGATATGCAATACAATGATACGTAACTCTATATTTTACACCACAGTAAAACATACAACATTTAAGTACAGTACCTGAATACAGTGCAAAAATTGGCGGTCTTATCGCAAAGAACCTCTCTATTTCAGACTACCATAAGATAATAAATAAGCTCGGGGAATGGCATGGTAATGATTACAAAAGCCAAGACACATAATTTCAACGAATTAGAAATATTATAGAAGCATAACTCTCAAACAAAGGCCGCAAAAACATGATACCAAACTCAAACTACTGAACTTAATACTAACGCGACACATACAGACTATAATAGAAAAATAACTTTGACAAATCAAATATCTGCAAATGAATTTGGCTATCCATTCATGGGGTAAGAAGATAAACGGGAATCCTAATCAATAGGCTAGTTGACTCATGTCGAATTGTATTAAATAAATGTTTATTTCTTACAGTATTTGGTCTAAGGAACCTAAATATATCGATTTCACTTCATAAAAGCAGAAGATTGCTGTAGAAATTTAATTTAAAAAAATATTTTTTAGTCTATATTTTTTAAACACTAAAAACGCTGTTCGCCACATCCGCCATGATTTTGACGTCTCTTTCAGTAAACAACTAAATGTCATTCACGTGTTATTGTGGGTGGATTCTTTAGTCTGAATAAATTTATCTTAAAACCCTTTTAACTTTAGATAAGTTTCCGTTTACTGTTTTTTTTAACAAAACTAATTATGGATGCCGGCTTTGTGAAAGCACAAATCTGCCAAGAATTGACGCATTGGTGGTTGGTGAATTTTTTGCACTAAACCCCGATTACTGCTCTGCGGAGCAGAGAAACGACAAGGCATCTATGTAAGTACAGTGCATTTAGTATTACAATGTAGTAATAAACATAAAACTGATACAACATATGAATAAGTGTAATAAAGTTGCGTAGGTTAATTTCTTTCGGCACTTTCATCCACAACATTCCTGGCGTCTTCAAGGATGTGTTTTTATATTCTCGTACAATACAATAATGATAATTACTTTATTTTTCGTGGTATTTATTAGAAATCATGTTCTTTTTATTATAAACTCAGTTATTTTCTACGTGCTTACGAGTTTTTGTTTACTACAATTGACATCATAGCATAGACAATCTATAGACTAAAATGGCCGACAGCGTTTTTGTATGTCCATGAAAATTCTATTTTAAAATTAAAGATTTGTAGCTTTCTAGGTCTCAAAAAAATACAATACATTTTTTTTCGTTCTAATAGAACATTTATTAACCATTTATAACCTTTTTCCAAAAAGGGTCAACTAGCCTATTCCATGATCGGCGTGTTGATTGCATTTTTTTTCGCCCCGCCCACTTCTTCGCACTTTTAAGCGGAGTTCGTGTTTCATATTATTTCTAATTCGTTGCATTAAATCATATAAATAAAGATTTTACCTCTTGCACATCGTCCATGACAGAGTCGTATGCTTTGTAGAATGCCTCCAGTTTGCTCAGAGTATCGTCCAAGTCTTGTTCTTTAGAGCGAGCTCGTTCGTCCAACTTAGCGAGTTGTTTGCGGAGACCTTCCACCTAAGGCAAAAATAATATTATAAGCTTTTGTTCGTGACTTCTTCTGTGTTTCATTATCACAAGCCTAATATATTCTGCTCACGAAAGAGAGTAGTGGAGCCCATTCTTTATAGGCTGATTTACACGTCGGAAAATACAGTAGCGAGTTAACTTACGGTTTTGGGTAAATAAATTAATATTTCCAACACTCACACCATTACTGGAGTATAAATGCTCGTATTCATCAAAAAACACATCTGCCTTCACCGGGATTCGAACCCATGACGATCTCGAGTAGACGACACTTTGAAACCCGTACAAACCACTCGGCCACGGAGGTCAGCGACTAAAACCAAAACTTACTATCTCTTGCTGCTCCGTGTTTTGTCGTTGGTCTTGCTGTCGCTGCAGTCACTAGCACCCATATTATAATTCCCCATTCCCTGTTCCATTTATAAGGAAAGCTTTTTTCTTAGAAATAGGGCATATAATAGGCAAAAGATCTAAATAAAAAAGCAATACTACCCACCTGATCTCTCGTATTAGCTGAGTCCACAGCGTAACCGCTGTCGACCAAACTTTCCGCGGCTCTTGCAATATCTCCAACTAAGTCATCGGCCTTCTCCAAACGTTTGTAGTAACGACCTATGTCGTCCAATTGTGTCTTCACAGTCTTGATGTCCCTTCCCGGTGGCTTCATGGAGTCCAATTCCTTCTCTAAGTCTGTTAGGTCGTGGGAGAGGTTCTTCACCTTATCCTGTTTGGGGAGAGTATGGAAGTGTTGACAAATTACATGTTGATATTTTTTAATAGCTCTCAATAAAAAATATTTACTATGTAGCACGCTAAATAACGATTAGGGTGCTTGGAGTAAATATGATTGGTCTAAAAAAAATCTTAGTCATATGTAAAACATAATAGAATAGAAATAAAAATTATTTTATTTATATTAATAAATTACATTCGAATGTTGTTTTGGAATGTTTGGAACATGAACATTCCAAAACAACGTTCAAATGCGTCACATCTTTATATTCAAGTTAATAAACAAGATTATTTTACTAGGCTTTATAGTTTTGGTATCCATTGCCTTCTTAGACTTGACTGTATAGATTTGGTATCCTTTGCCCACATGACAAGAGTTTAATACAAAAACTAACCGGAACTAAGCGACTGCAGCAGTAGCTCCGGCCAATCTCGCTCGTGCATCATCAGCGCGAGTCTCTAGATCGTTGAGTCGATCAGCGAGTCCAGTTTTATGAGATTGTTGCCCACACTACAAGGCATTATTACAGAAACTAACCTGGAACTGTGCGACGGCAGCAGTAGCTCCGGCCAATCTCGCTCGTGCATCATCAGCGCGAGTCTCCAGATCATTCAGTCGATCGGCGAGTCCAGCTGTATGAGCTTGTAGAACACCACGGGCCCGTTCGCTATCCTCTTTACCGCCGCACTCGAGAGCAAGACGGATGATGTCGTCGGCAGCCGTTTCTACACTCTATACAGAGACCAGTGATGTTAGCATTTAAGGCAGATAGTTCAGAACGCACGTTGAGAAATACGAAATATTGACAATCTGTTGACCTATTTGTGATCGCTGTATACGAATAAAATAGATATACAGGGTTAATTTTAAAACACCAACAACCGCTTAGGGGTGATTCTATCTATCAACAGGAACAACTTTTATTATGGGACCAACTCTGAAATCGCGAAAAAAAATCAGCTGTTTCATACATTTCGGTCGATTAGCTGATGCCAAAAATGCATCAGTGGGTAGATGTTGATGGGTAGAATCACCCCCTAAGAGGTCGTTGGTGTTTTAAAGTTAATCCTACTTGACATATTGGGGTCGAATTTATATGAATAATAAAAATGTTAGCATGTAGTTAGACTGATATATAGCATCCCACCTTTGCAATAAGAAATAATGAAAATCTATTAAATTACAGAAGAAATCGTCGGCGAAAGAGATTTATTGAATTGGTATGGTAGGAAGAATGTTATTGGCAGACTCATCGATCTCCGACGAAGCCTTTTATTGTGCTCGCCCGTACCAGAGTTCACGTTCTCACAATAGCGGGGACTCGTAAAAAACAAGGTACATGGTAGCAATCCCGTTAATAACTCAAATTACTATAGTGTTTGTGACCATGGAAGTTAAAAACAATACAGAAATAAGTTCATACCTGCAACGGAACCCTCAGCGCGTGAATATTATCAGTCAATCTGGCCACAGCTTCAGCGGCGACGGCAGGGGGTGCTGCTAAAGCGTCTTGAAGTCTCTCTTCGCATCGTTGTAAAGGTGTCTCGACAGCTCGTACTTTCTCACCAAAGTCGCCTAGTTTACGAGCGGTAGTCTCCAAGAATTCCACTTGTTGCAGCACTTCTGTTTGACGAGGAAAAAGGAATTTATTTAGTGGTGTAAAAGTCTGTCAGTTAATAATAATATTCTTATTTATTGTATAATACCGCAAAGGACATGAAAGTAAGATTACATTGTCAGAGAGAGACATTACACAATGGGCGGCATTATTGCTAATACCTCAGAAAATTTTGCCTAGAACGTGGGAGATTGCATATCCTCAAATATCTATTGCTGTTGAGTCATTGCAACATTTTGCCATTTAATGACGTAATTGATCGTAAACCATATGCGTAATTATAACGTTTTTTTCGCCAGCTCCTCATATATATTCATAGGTTTCAAGTGATATAAATTTAATACATTACCATTGTTGATTCTGTCCCAGCGGTCACGCATCGTGTCGAGTTGTTTCCTGACTATCTCCTGGTCAACATCGCACGCGGATATGAACGTCTCGCCTAGCGTCTTGTTATTTTCGTACTCGCCAGACCTGTTTACATAATCAATCAACATTATTGCTGTGTCAACTTTTTCGACATGTGTCTTTTTTTATAGTGGTACTTGCTGTCCCAGCGAACTTCGTACAGCCATAAAAAAATAAGGTTTGGTGGTAGAATGGTGAAAATTTAGGGTTGTATGTACTTTTGTATAAAAAAATAAAAACAAAATTTTTTGACAAAAATAAATTTAAGTGTGGACCACCCTTAACATTTAAGGGGGTGAAAAATAGATGTTGTCCATTTCTCAGACCTACTGAATATGCATATAAAATTTCACGAAAATCGGTCGAGCCGTTTCGGAGTAGTTCATTTACGCACACCGTATATATTAGCAGATGTGGAAAGGGTAAGGTAAAACGCTTCAAAATAATAACAATCAAAAAATCTTGTCGCTAAAACACTGGCAGTAGGGTTTCAAACATCTGCAAATGAATTCGACTATCCATTCATTGGGTAAGATGTTGAACGGGAATCCCATGATCGGAGTGAGTATCGTTGTTTTTTCGTTATCTTCTTTAAATTTGTTAATTCTCTAAACTTTTCTTACCGCTTCCAAATGTCGTTTCTCAACAGTTGCAATTGCCTCAACTGCGCCTCTACTTCTCGTCGAGTGAAAGCAGTCGGCGGAAGTTGAGCGACGCGTTCTTCCGCTGAACTAAGCCATGGCAGGAAAGACTCCTGCGCCTTACTGTATTTACGGCAGTGCTCCTGTTTGGTTATGAACAAAAATAGAGGATATAATCACATTTTCCCAACATTTGTTCCACAGCAGCTTGCTGTAGATTTCAATGAAATCTAAAGAATCTAATCATTAACTTATTTCATTTCAAAGAGCTCTACGAATTCCCATCGCTAAGCTGTTTATGTATTTAAAACGAATTATATAGAGGTAAGTTTTCTATCTTTCAAGGAAGCTATTTCCGAAGCTATTAATCCGTTCTCGTAAAAAGATTTTACACCAATATATTAAAATGAAGTTATATTACTCGCAACGTGCAGCAAGAACTCAAGGAAGGATGTAAAACGGAATTTGCTACTTGAATGTAGAAATTCATTCACTTTTAAGAGGACGTCATGGAATTGAATAAGAACGCCAAAGCTGCTAAGGTAGGGATGAAGTTGGAGTAATCGATGTCTGTACCCTTAGCACGAACCATTATCGAATTCGAATAGTTGAATTCGATTTATTTTATACGTCAAATGTGTACTGATTTTTAGTTCTCGTTACGTCCGTTGTGGTGTGGTTTAACTTAAATACAAAATTTGACAATAACATTTCGCACTCGCAAACTATTCGAATTGGATATTGGTTCGTGCTAAGGGTACTGTATTGTTACTATTCAACCGATAACTTTCAAGTTGGTGAAATGTATGTTTTACATACTTTTACAAATCATGTCCATTTTGGGGGACTTTTGAAAGAGTGGCATAATCATCGCAACACAATGTATTAGTGAGTCAAATAAAAGTAAGTTTCGATAAATGTCTATATTATGTGTATCGTGTAACTGGACCAGCCCCTCTAGCATGACCACCGAAACGGGATATGATAAAGCGATATATCGGCATTAACTGTCAGACTACTATGGAGTTTGACAGTAGTCTGACAGTGAATGTCGATATATCGCTTTATCATATCCCGTTTCGGTGGTCATGCTAGAGGGGCTGATGTTATAAATAAAGTGAAAAATGATCTTACCATAGCAGTCTGGAGGCGTGTGTATCGATCGACGATCTCCCGCTTGAGCTTATCCCATTGCGTTTGGATCCTGTCGAGGTCCTTCCTGAGACCTTGGTATGACGGCTTCTTCTCCATCTCACGACCTGAGAGATAATTGAATTCCTAAAGATATGTCTTTTAGGTATACACACCAGTTTTTCAATCACTCCAACAGGTTTTCTATATTAAATAAATCATGATTGTATTAACGTAGTAACAACATAATGATTAAATTTGTAAATGTTGCTACATTATACTTTTAATGTTGTGGAGAATTTCTCGCTCGTTTTTCTCCGCAGCTAAAAACTATATCCAATAACGAGTGGTAGGGAAAAAAAATCGACGATTCAAAAGAGTAGTACTATACATCCAATTTGAATAAATATATATTGATTTCTGATTGATTTGATTGCCTAAGTTCCCTCTTCTAACAGTTGTTGTGAGATGTAATGTTCATGTTATATTACTTTCAGTGCCAAAACTTCAGTCAATATTAAAACACATTTTCGTGTTACGCATCAACAAACAGTTTCTTTAAAATGTTTTTATTAAGACACTTTCTTGTTTGTCTTTATGTCAGTCTTTTAAGGTGTAAAGTTAGAATTAAAATGTTAAGTACTTCCGTATAGACATCGGGCAAAAGCTTTCCGAATAGCTTGAAATTCCATGACAATGTATTTTAATCTATTTATTGCTTCAAAGGCACATAATATCATAGGCTATAGATATTTTTATGATCTACATTAAATTTAGAAAATAACTTCAGCAATGCTATTCAATAAGTTTAAAACTCACTTTTCACCGCTGAATTCGCATTGTAATTTGAAATTAAAATACTACTTTCAAATAAATTTAAAATTACATCGGCGATATTCATGATGAATATTGAGTTTTTTCTTACAGAATAGCGGCACTGCAGTTCCTCAATTTTATAACAGGATTTCTTGAATACTCATTTAAGACTTTGCAATCTCAGTTTCACATACCTTTGTCAAGCAGCATGATGATTTCGTGTTCGCGCTGCGTTAACTCCCTATATAAAGGCTCGTGTCGTTCCAATTGCTGTTGTAAGCGATTGCTATCGGCCGATACTTGTAAACGACCCGGCAAAGAGCCCAATTCGCTTTGAAGCCATCCCAGGGTCTTGGCAACGTTCTCTTCCAAGTTGCGACCGTCCCTGTACGCAATACGACCGTAGATTATAGTTTTTAAACACTTCATCGCGATATTTTTGTTTAGTTTACACACGCACGTGCAACAGTAATGTATTGTTGTAAAAAACTAACATGATTTTATAAGATTTAAAACTCATTTAGTAATGTTTTGCGAAAACCGGTATGATTTTATAAGATTTAAAACTCATTTAGTAATGTTTTGCGAAAACCGGTATTATAACGAACTTCCAAAAGTTTTACCTATAAACATTTTCATACTTAAATGTTACAAGCAAATAACCTTAAACAGTTTACAGAACTGAATGACATTCACACTACTCATGTAAGAAATAGTTCAAGTATTTTATCAACTTGTGCAATCCGCAGATAAGGAGAACATTGAAATTGACAGATGAGCATCACAATACTGATAAATGATTTCAATTCGACAAAGAGAATTCGAGTTAATTCTGGAATGTAATTGTTTTTTTTTTCAATGAAACCTTCGACATGAATACTCACTTCAAAGCCGCCTCTATTTCTGCCTTCTTAAGGTCTAATTTCCTTTGCAGGTTGTCGTATTGTCTTGCTACTGCGGCCAGTTTGCTCTGAATGTCTTGTCTGGAAGCTGGATCGGAAAGAACGGTTGCTAGGGCTGCACCGGCGGCTTCTAAGTCCGCCAATAAAGGCCTCTGGCCTTCTAATTGCCGTTCCAAGTTCTGGGACAAAAGGATTTTATGATGAATACTATAGTCGTTTTATTCTGCATATACAATATAAATATTCAACACGTTTGGATATAAGCAGGTGATTGTAAATAAATTTGAGCAGATTAGATTTTCTAATGTTGTTAATACCGAATCATTATTTTTTTATTAAAGTAATTAAGTACTTTTACTGGAATTTTAACAATAATATATAATCAATTCATAGAAATAGTTATATAAGGGTCAGCGGATACGTGGTCTCAAAAAGTAATACGTAAAATGGCCAAAGTGTATATGCTTTAAGAAATGTATGACTCCGTAATTACCATCCTCTACTCCAAGTCTTTAAATGCATCTAATATCAATAATAGTCTCACCTCAATCTTGCGCAGTCTCTCATCAGGCTCGTGTTCGGGGAGCCTGTCCAGCTGATCTCCTATAGAGTGTAAGGCGTCTCGCAGACGAGCCAATCCCGCGTCAAATTCGCGAGAAGTATCGGCGGCAGCGCCTAGGCTTTCACCGCGTGCTTCCAGCCTATGGAGAATAAATATGAATGAATGAGGGTTTTCTGGAACGACGGACACCAGGTGGCAGCACTGAGACGAAAAGTCTACTTGTCCGTCAAATCACGTATGTTTTCATAGTCTATGGATCAATTTAAATCGATCAGTTCGCAACTCTTATCATACATAGGACCTAACGTCACAGTGGCGCCAACGGTGACGTAAATTTTCATAAACACCCTAATTAACGTTAGGGTTAGGGTCAATCGATAACGCAGTTATGTTGAAACAGTGGACTGGCCTATTTGATGTTCAGCCAACATTTGCAGACTAAAAGGAGTCCACCATAAGGCAATATCATCTATAAATCAGTCTATCAATCAAATCTAGACGGAAAGATGTGCTCTGAATTGCAGACACTGTTTTCTTTTATTTTGATTTAATTATTGTGACCATATTTGTGTGATCCGTAAATACTTTTTTTTCTTAATTTCTTTAGGGGGTTTAAATAGTGACGTTTGTATGAAATTTGAGAACGATAGTAGCATAAAGAAGCGCAGAAATTTTAAGAAAACTTTACTTACACCACTAACCGATATTTTGGTAGTTGGCGCTGCAGTTGGGTGATAGGATTATTTTATACTAGCGGCCGTCTGTAGCCTCGTCCGTGTTAACTTTGTTTTTTTTTTGAGAATATCATAGGCACCTAACATTGCTATGAGGTAAAAAATTTCCTAATTCTTACTCCAGGTCATAAACTATATGCGTACTAAATTACACCCAAATCCCTTCAGCAGTTTTTGCGTGATTGATTAACAAATATACAAACTTTCACATTTATTTATATAGAAGGTTTAGTAGTGTATTTATTGGACAGGACGGCTGTCGGGTATTATATAAAACTTACTTGGCAAGCAGATCGTTCCATCGATCTCGTACTTGTTGCACCTTCCGGCGGAGAGATTCAGCGTCTGGCGACTTCGGATCCAAACGTTGGAGTACAGCAGCCGCTATCTCGTCCAAGTGTGCCAACTGTGGTTGTTGTACGCGGAATTCTTCGCGGAGGACTTGGACCTAAAGAGAGATTTATGTAAGAATACTAGTTAAAGCCGAACTTCATACTGCCACAAAATAAGTGTTGGTGGTCGAAGGGTGAAACTTTTGGGGTTGTTTGTATTTTTAATGCAGAATCATAAAAAAAATATTTGAAAAAAAATGGTGTGGTCAACCCTTATCACTTAGAAGTATGAAATAGTTTACGTCCTATTCTCAGACCTATTGAATATACACAGAAAATTTTATGAGAATCGTTCAATCCAGTTCAACTCTTCTGAAACAAGAGTTTTTTTACAAACACTGTGATACGAGTATTTTATATTTTACTAGCTGTCCCAGCAAACTTCGTACCGCCATAAAAAAAAGGGTTGGTGGTAGAAGGGACAATTTAGGGTTGTATATATTTTTGTATGATGTATCATAAAAAATAAAAACAAAAAATGTAGTATATAAAATTTAAAAAATAATTTAAGGACCAGCCTTATCATTTAGGGGGATAAAAAATAGATGATGTCCGATTCTCTGACCTACTGAATATACATATAAAATTTTAGGTATCTGTCGAGCTGTTTCGGAGTAGTTCAATTACGCACACCGTGACACGAGAATTTTATATATAAGATATAGAAGACGTGAGTATGATAGTGAAGCCTAGTTTAAAGAATTGGAATTTGGATCCAAACGTTGGAGCACAGTTTTTGACAGATGAAAGTGATGGTCACCGAGCTATTTACTGATCTACTACTGCTTTATTATAACGCCACTAAGGTACTTGTTCTAAAAAGCATCGATGGATATGCAATATTCGTAACAGTTACACACTGTAAATGTCAAAAAAAATATTATTATTATATTGTGAATAGTCGTATAGATTGGTGTGAGTGTCGTGGAAATCTTTCATAAAGTAAAATTAACTGTAACTACCCACCTGTTGCACTTGAGTTTGCACCATCCTCGAGTCCGAGGATATGGGTCCGAGTGCGGCCAACATACGATCTTTGGAGCCCAACCACGTGGTCAGGTTACTGTGGGTGTCGTGGAAGTCCTTCATCTCCTCCATTAGACGGATCCTGTGGAGAAACGTTAATTAATTTAGCACGAAAAATGAAAAATGGGCCCTGAAGCGTGCTTACATGAGATTATCTCATGCCATGTGGACAACTTTGTGTCGTTAAGCCAGGGTTGACATTGTGGGTTACCTACAATACGAAGAGATGGCGCTGCCTTGTAGCCTAAGGCTAGAAAAATTCGACACGTCCATCAGGGCCGCGGTAGCATAGTGGTCATTGCATTCGCCTTAACTTATCGATAAAGTTCATACTAGATACAGAGTTTACGAAGATTTAATTCCCTTAATTTAGATATTAATTTCTTAACTGAATGCACTGAACCATCACGACATCCATCCTATGTTCGTCTTTTTTTCTAATCAATATCAATCAAATAGCTTTTCTTAGAATGCATACATTAATCGATGTCCGAGTGTGACGTTATTAAGATACTTATATTGTTAATACAAATGCATATTATCCTGTCCCTTGTTGACCCACTTCTGATTCTATTAGAATTTATATTATGTGCTCACTTGTCTTTGAAAGCATCGTGCAGCGCCTTCCAGCGAGTGGCGACATCTTCCATCTCAGCGTGCAACCTGTCAGCGCCTTCGACGCCTTGTTTCTTCTTTAGAAGTTCGCGAACCTGTGCAAATTAATTGAACATTAAGAATGCGTTCAAGCGTTATGACCCAGGTTTCAGCAGATTTTTCGTTAAGCTGGGTCTGTTTTGGTCTTCACAATCAACAAAAACATATCGACATTCAATAAAACCGTCTACACTAAACATTGTTTCACTACACATATTTCTTTGCATCAACAAAGTTTTTGCTTTCCGAGCCCTATGGAATACACGTACACAAATCCCTCCGCGCGGGTCGAGGCGCAGGTATTGTTTCATTTTTTTAAAACTCGCTAACTCCGTTCCAAACCTGCGCTCCGAGTGCAACTTTTCGCTCTGACGTTTTCAATTTTAACATAAAATATGCGAAACTTTTACCTGATTTGACATTTGTTCCACCTGGATCGTAGGTTTGGAACGCGGCCGTGTGTATTCTGTGTACGACAGCCACGTGAGCAGAAAACGGCATGTATAGAGAAACATGTTTCAGAAACAAAGTTTTGTGTATGTGTTTTTGTTGAATGTTTTTAAACTAATTTTGCTGCTGAGTCTGCTTTAAGCCTTGATGACACGGGGCGAGTTTATAAGCTACAAGCCACCAGCGGTCGCTAGGAACTTGTAAACTCGTCCCGTGTCATCGAAGCTTTAAATACTTTCAAGGAATGTTTAGGGATAGTTGAAATTGAAGATACCGGCGGGCTAAGTATTCTTTACCATACAACAGACTACAGCTCACTAATTGACACAAAAGCGCAGCTTCACAGACACTAACGAAACAAGTAAAATAAAAAAATATGCGACAAGCAAAATATGCGAATTTAGAACTTAAAATCTAATGCATTTTCCCGGGATCACTGGATATCCCGTATCCGATGCGTAAAATTCTTCCACTCGACGTCAAATGTCGCAATCTATACATGTTAATTATAGTATTCTGGGTGCCAAGTTTAAATACTAACTTTGTTTAATTATCTTACCTCATACATTAACCGATTAAAATAAATAAATATGTGTAACCTGTGTCTTGGTAGAGTCGAGGATGCTCTGCTTCTCATACATTTCCTCTAGAACGGCGCGCGCTTGCTTCGTCGTCTTATCCGCCTCTTCCTTGGTGTTGGGTATCGACTCTTTGGGCAGTTGGCGTTGCACCTGTTTTAGATTGAATATTATGTAGGTTTATATAAGATATGTAACTGATATGTATTATTTTTTTCCTAGGGTTCAAGTTTCTCAACAAAGCGTTTGTATAATACAGACTGTCCGTAGTTTCGCGGTATATTTTTAGATCAGATTACAACTTTTTGGCAATCAACCTATTTAAAGTCAGCTTTCTACTGCAAGCTTAGTGGATCTATTACGCGTGTTTTTAACCTAGGTGAAACGAGTTACAAACGAGTTCCTTTCGAGAAAACTCCTTCTTAACAGAAGACCAGACCAATTTAATTTCATTGTGCTCATGCATTTCTCGCTGTATGACTTCAGTATAGACATTTTTTGTACATATATAATTTTTCGCGTACAAAAATAAAAAAGATTTAATACATAGATCTGTCATATTCCCTTTTAATTTGTTGTTTTATTAAGTTTTATTTAATTAGCTTAATATAACCGAGAACAAAAACGGTTTTCCTAAAAAAACTATCAATTACCTTGTCCAAGAAGGAATGTAGCGATCGGCAACTGTCGAGATGTTTCCTCAATTCCGCGCGTAAAGCGTCCAATTCCGCTTGTCTGTCAGCGAGGCGACTGCCTACCAAACTGTAGCGGTTGTTTATCTCCGATAGCTGTTGTTGTACGCCGGATAACTCTGTTGGCAACACATAGTTGTTAGGGAAACGCTAAAAGATATGTTTGGGATAATTGTGGTAGTAAAACAGTGGCAGTGGCGAGAAAAGGGGCATGGAGGTAGGTAGGGGGGGAGGAAGGGTGGGTATTATCCACCCTAGAAACCTATCTGCACAGTCTAAAATTAGAGTGTTAAAAAGTGTCTTTGCAAATGTCACCCTAAAATCTAGTTGAAAAGATTTTAGTCACACATTGAGCCACTAGTGGCGGCTACTTAACGCGGCAAATGGTGGTTCAGTCAAGCCACTAGATGCAGATACAGATCACCGTCGCTAGAGGCTGTGGAGGCCACTCGAAAGCTTAGTTTGCGGCGATACTACACAAAATTTATGAAAAAGACTCGACCGCAGCTTGTTCATCCGTTTAGTAGCAGACACTAGTGACTTAATGGTGTCGTTTCTGGCATGATTCTCTTATCATAAAACTAAATTAAAAATCAGTATTTCCTTTTCATTCTGTATAGAGAATGACAAGCATACATTTTTAGAGAACCCTGACAGAATCGACACCTTTGTGCACTTGCTCTTAAAGTTCGGTGGCCGCCACTACCCCAAAATTAGGGTCAAGTCTAAGAAGGTACTATACAGGTTTCGAATGAATTGAAAAAGTCGCTTTAATCGAAACGCAAAACTTGCATTGGTAGTAAAACATAAATACAATGAAACTGAATTCAAAGCTGTTTTTTATGAAGAACAGACCTGTAAATCATGCTGTGTAAATATTTATGTTATCTGTAGAAAAGTGTTGACGATTTATTGTTTAATGCAGTTATTGATACAAACACATGATATAATTCAAAACACATTTACTTTTCACTTAATATGTATGTTATGTGTAGCTAAATAAATGATACGGTAAACAACAGTATACCTTCAAGATGGAATCCTTCTTGGCTGGAGCGACGGGAAGAGAACCCGCTAGAGGTGGAGTGAGTAGAAGCGGGGCTGGCCAATCCTAGACCTTTGCTGGGCGACGGCGAACGCCCGTCTAATGTACGACCTAATGACAATGAACATAAGGTTCATTTTTGAACAAGCGTGCTTAATAAATCTAAAAGATCCAGGTATCACACAGGATTCGGACCTGCCGCTATCCGTGCGAAATTAGATATATATTTTCTTGTTTTATTTCATAGTTATAAAACGATAAGCTTGAATTACATTGACACTTTCTTTACAAGCTACAAAGAAAGTGTCTATGAGGAGGACCGTAAAAAGAGTTTAAGTTTGAATAAGAATTTGTTATCTAGATCCTCCTTTGAAGACAGCGAACGTCCGTCTAATACGTTATCGTAAATAACGTAATCAAGATTTAATTTTGAATAAACGTGAGAGACTTTGGCAAGTCTAAGCACGTATCTTTATTGAATCACCATTAGCCTACTGATGGAGCACAATCTCATACGGAGATAGTTTCTTAATCATTGGTGGTGATTATAAAATATCACTGCGCTTTTCGTTGATTTATGACTTGCTCGCTGATTGAGCTTTTCGTGCTTTTTAGAACAAATTTAATACAAATGAATACGTTCCACAGTACGGATTCAACTACTGGAAAAGACTCTATCATGTAACATAAAGGTGAAAATTGCTTACTGGGCGTATGTCGTTTAGTAGGGCTGTACAATCGTCTTCTATGAGGACTGTCCGCGCGTTCGCCACGAGACAAAGCTTCATACACAGCTCCCGCTTCATTCACCTGTTAGAAAATAATAAGTAATAATATTATTCTACTTAAGAAACGATGGCAAATAATAAAGTCGAAAGTTTACTTCTCTAACGGCCACTTTCGCTAATTAACCTGTTCGAATAGGTTTTTCTCGTATTGCAGTTTGATTATTGAAACCGATCGTTAGATGATAGTTGCTTGAGTTGAGACCTTGAGACCACAAATTTTCATGAAATAGTACACATGAGTGTACTTATGAACTATAGAAATAGAGAATGGACTCGAAAGACGAATCGATCGAGCGGTCAATGGTTTGTTTAGATATTGGCTACACCAATGCTTTCCATATTCTAGAGAATTGTAAAACACATGGCAGTGACGCTAAGTCCATTGACTATGTCTATTTCTTAAGGTAGAGTGTAATTTACTAGCCTAATATAAAAAAGACCATAGTTAAAATATATTTGTTGACTGTTTCAAAATAGTTGAAATAATGCACTTAGATGTAGAACTTTCGTTTTAATTAAAAATAATGGAAAATCTTACCTTGTCTATGGTAACCGAGTAGTCTCTGTACTCCTTGGCTAGGGGGCGCAGTTCGTCTTGTTGCTGTTTCATAATGTCCAAATCAACGGCAACGGGTTGAAGTCTTCCGACTCTGTTCTCTATGGATTGCAACCATTCTAGCACCTGTTGGTAAGATCCAATAAATAATATAAATACGTTAGGTTAACAAAAGCTTTTTGATGGAGCCATCTGTTAATTGATTTGTGCAAGACGCAGTTATTTCGTATTCTACACTACATACAATTAGTTGTATTCTACGTCAGGGCATGATGCCAAACTTTTTTCGTCGTCTATCAGGTAGATTATCTATATAATCTAAACATTATGTACTGAGATAGATATTAATTTGAAAAGTCGCAGGGCGCCCCGTCTAAATGCAGTTTTAATTTTGAAGTGACGTCACGAGGCCCCCACTCCCAAAGTATGACGCAATTTATATTTGTAATTTTTTGGTTGATTGACAATAGAAAAATATAGATAAGTGTCCATTGTGGTAATCTAACTGACCGGAATTTGGTTTACATTACCCCGTCATCCCTATTATTTAATGTTTAGATCGAAATGTATATCAATTTGATTGAACTAGAACTTTAAATTATTGTTTGTTGAATTTCGAGTTCTAAAGTTAAAATCATTGAAAAAATGTCGTAATGAAGAAAATAGAAGTGTCATTACCTGAGCTCGGAGTGTATCGTATTGGTTGAGCTGATCAGCCCTTTGTTTTGACAATTTCTGTTTCTCTTCAAGCGCAGTGTTGAAATCTCGCCATTGATTCTCCAAGATCTATTGACAAAGAAGAGTTCTTAGCATTTAAGTTAATAACAATAATAAAAATACGTTTATAACCGTGTGTCCTTTTGTATATGGTTCTAATTTGTTTGCTCCAATCCGTTTTTCGTACTAAAAGTTTTAAGTATGAAAAAATATGAGTAAATTATTTAGTTTTGATTCCGACATTTCGATCTCAAGATAGTTATAACAGTTATCTATGTTGTATGGGAGTTACTATCTTTATGTTTTTTTTATTAATGCATCAAATGTATCAAAGTAATGTTTTAATGTTCAAGTAATGTTCAGTACCGCGCGCAGCTCACGCGCATGCCACCACTGTGCCGTCACGTCGGGCGCCTCCCACCACTTCTCCCACCAACGAATCAATTTCACAAAAGCTGCCTGCCTGCTGCAAGCGGGCTATTGCTGACAGTTGAGTCTCAACGACTTCATTTATAAATTGATTTCCTGTGCTTATATCATACTTTTGATTGATAGTTCGATTTGATTGATAGGTATCTTTAATAATTTCAGCGATCCAGGTTCTGAGATTTAAAAAAACTAAAGTTAACGTGGACGAAGTCGCGGGCGGCCGCTAGTGTATATTATTAACATACCTTCATCCTATCGCGAACGACGTGCGTGTCAGTAACGTCCTTTTTGGCGATCAGCTGTTTGCCGTTGCGTAGACATTCTTCAAGAAGCGGCATTTGTTTGTCTCTGTGGAATAATTGAAATTTAAGAACTATTCAGGGATTATACCAGCGGCGAGCCGCGTAAATTTCGAAATCCCCCAGGAATCTAACACTTTTCTGGAATAAAATGTATTGTGTCTCTTTCCATGTTAAAAGCTGTCTGAGTGTAAAATTTCATTAAAATCCGTTGCCGTTTTTGAATGTTTAAGTAAAGCCACACGTACAAACTTCCACATATATAATATAAGTACGATTCTACTCGAACCTTGCAGGAACATTAAAGAACTACGGAGGTGTAAATGAAGACAACAGTTTCTTGCGGTAGTTGGGATGGTAGGACTAAAGCCACTTTAGGCAGTAAGTGTCAATTTGCAGGAAAGCGCCGCTGTTTAGAAAAGGAACAGGGGTTTTCCTTCATCATCCATAAATAAATTCATGTTTCGGGAGCTTCGTCTGGTTGAGTCCTTTTCTATCTACAGCAATAAGAACACTAACTCTGCCTACTCTACCCGAAACACGGCACGAAGATAGATAGATGAAAAATCCTGTGAGCTCAGAAATAGACAATACTGTACACAAGTAATACTAGTATCGCAAACATCTTTAGACAAATATAAGCTCTTACTATCAGCCAGATAATTAGGTCATTCGCCACAATTTACAGTGAAAAAAAAAATTACATAAATAGTTAACTATTAAACGTAATTCCTTAATCAAGTAATTTATCTTTTTATTGCTTTTAAATCTAAGCAATACATAGTCAAAGTGGTTATCTAAAAATATTTATTAAAGTAAAACTTTTTCCTTTATCTTTAGCATGTCGCAGTACATTTTAATTGTTATTAAAAATTCAGACCTCATTAGCAGGCATTTGTGGTTCACTGGTAGAAACCTCGCCTAATACGTGTGCGGCCCGGGTTCGATTTCCAGCCGAGTTTCACTTACATTTTGATTTCATAAAATCACAGCTATTTTTATCCTCATATTATTTATTATATTATATATGTACTTCCCATATTTATTAGTATTAACATTTATTTATATTCAGGTGTACACGCTGACTACCTTTTCTTATATTCTTTCCTACTACGGGCCTACTGGAAGAAATTTCAGATTAAAATAAGTTGTGCCCTTGTACATGTTATCTTTAATTAAGTTGCTCCTATATTATTTTTTGTGTGTCCAGAATAAATAAATAAATACGGTACCTGAAATGTGCCAAATCCGCCAGTCTCGCTCGCAGGTCATCGGCGTTGATTCTAGCCAGTTCTCTAGTGTCCGCTTGTTCGGTTAGTTGTGTGTGCGCAGCTTCTAAAGCAGCAGCTTGTTGACTAAATATGGCTAGCTCTTGAGACACTTCTTCCAAAAACTGGCCGCGCTTGATAGAACGCTCTAGAAGCTTCTCGTATCTAGGGGGAGGAGAAACAAACAGTTATCGGTAAGCGAACGCACAGTGATTCTTTCGTTTTGCGACTATTTTTAGAACCAGAATCAGGTAGAAATTAATTCTCTCAAAAAGCGCCACGAGGCGACAATAAAGTGGGGTCAATATGGTCTGGTAATTGACCGTTGGAACGCAACTTAAATTCCGTGGTGAATGTGGGATTCTAATGAAAACTCAAAAAAAGATCTTCCATCATAAACTGCAGAAAAAATATCTGGGGCATTCCACGTGAAGCGGACAGGTAAAAAAACTCGATGTTTCCGATTTCAGTAATATTTGAGTATGTTCTACTTATACTTATTATTGATACGTGTACCAAATATTTTTGTGATATATTGACTAGTTAAAGAGTAATGGGACTTTGAAGTTTTCGACAACCGGTTGGCATGCAGTACTTCAAAGCCGATTATGGACTCATAAAATTATATATTAAAATAACTAAACCACTGGATTTCCTACTTTATTTACTGGGCTTTTTAACTGTGTTTTTGGAATAGAAAAAAAAAATTTTTTTTCGTAAAAAAAAACCAATTTAAGTTTTTTTTAATTTTTTTTATATAAATTGCTAATATTGTATAGAACATTGGTGCCAACTTTTATAATGGGCGTGAAAGTGGATTAGGAGCTAGACTGAAAATACTGCCGAAGGGTGGCGTCCAGCGCCGCGCCTGTTGACCGCCGCTTGTGCGCGATTAGTCATCAAACTGTCAATCAAATAAAATCACTTTTGACGGAATGTTTTGTAGATTTTTAATAAAACCAATACATAGAAAAAATTCCACGCGGACCAGGCAGCAGACGGGACTCGAACCCGCACCCTTCGCAATCCGGGCGAATGCACTGACCAATTATGCTACCGCGGCCCTCATGGACCGCGTCAAAATTCCTCTAGCCATTCTTAAGCTGCAAGGCAGCGCCATCTCTTCGCATTATAGGTAATCCACAATGTCAAATGAATACTTTTACAAGTATTAAACATTTGAAAGAAGAAATAGCAATTATAGTTATAATTTTTATTTCTTTAAAGCATGTAACTGCTTGATGTTTAAATCTAAAGAAAATATAACTAGAAAAAATTCCACGCGGACCAGGCAGCAGACGGGACTCGAACTCGCATCCTTTGCAATCCGGGCGAATGCACTGACCAATTATGCTACCGCGGCCCTCACGGACCGCGTCGAAATTCCTCTAGCCAGGTGGCAATGGCATAATTGGTCAGTGCATTCGCCCGGATTGCAAAGGATGCGAGTTCGAGTCCCGTCTGCTGCCTGGTCCGCGTGGAATTTTTTCTATGTATTGGTTTTATTAAAAATCTACAAAACATTCCGTCAAAAGTGATTTTATTTGATTGACAGTTTGATGACTAATCGCGCACAAGCGGCGGTCAACAGGCGCGGCGCTGGACGCCACCCTTCGGCAGTATTTTCAGTCTAGCTCCTAATCCACTTTCACGCCCATTATAAAAGTTGGCACCAATGTTCTATACAATATTAGCAATTTATATAAAAAAAATTAAAAAAAACTAAATGGTCTAACTTGGTGAAAATCAAGGAAAAAAACTTAAATTGGTTTTTTTTTACGAAAAAAAAATTTTTTTTTCTATTCCAAAAACACAGTTAAAAAGCCCAGTAAATAAAGTAGGAAATCCAGTGATTTAGTTATTTTAATATATAATTTTATGAGTCCATAATCGGCTTTGAAGCACTGCATGCCAACTGGTTGTCGAAAACTTCAAAGTCCCATTACTCTTTAACTAGTCAATATATCACAAAAATATTTGGTACACGTATCAATAATAAGTATAAGTAGAACATACTCAAATATTACTGAAATCGGAAACATCGAGTTTTTTAACCTGTCCGCTTCGCGTGGAATGCCCCATCTACTTATACGAGTATTACCGTGGTACCATGTAACAGATAGTAGAAAGCCGAAAGAATTTCATGCCGTACTTCAGCACGACCCTCAGGCAAAGAATCTGCTTTCCTCTTCAAACTTTTAGATTAATTTATAAGTAGCCAGAAGGAGTGATTTTCCAAATTTCAGCACGCTCCTTACAGGCAGAACTCTGCTATTCTTTTCAACCTAGTAGTATAAAATAAAAGTTGCAAGAGTGAAAATTTTCAGATTGATTACCTTCCATATATCTCTTCGGCGCGTTGCTCCAGTTTCCTCGCAATCCTGGCGTTAGATGGCGCCCTGGCAGCGTCTCTGGCGGCAGACAGGAGCTGCGCCAGCGCAGCTCTGCGGGCCTCCACCTCGCCGTGGGTGATGCGTTGCTCGCGGACTTGCTCGTCTAGACGCTCCCGGATCAGAGACGCGGGTTTCATTTGGTTCCTGAACAAAATTGATGATGTGAATGTTTTGATTTGTTTCGTATTTTTAAAAAAATCGTACATTTCTGATATTGTTTAGATTTTTTTTTATAGATAGGTGCGACAAATGACTCCACCCCACCTGATGTTAAGTGAAGGTGAAGTCCAAAGTCCAGATTCAAAAATAAGTAACAAAAATCACCTAAAGGGGCGTAAAAAAACTAGTATATTGCTTTCATTTGTATCTAATACAAATGAAAGCCACTTAAGTGCTTGACGGGTCGTATGCAAAAGATTTTTTCTCTAAAAAGCAAAAATCTGATTCCATATTTGATAGCAAATCATAAGTGTTGCTACAACCCTTTATGAATTCAGAGAAGAGCACTTTGACGAGACTGCTGTGGTTAATAGAATACAATAAGGTTCACCAACGAAGGTAAAAACCGCTGAAAGATATGGAAATCACAAAATTTTCATAGATTAATCGTTCGCAAATAAAAAAAACGAGCGAGCCTTACAGTAGTCGCGTATGATGTGTAACATTTGAAACCTCACCTTATATTAGTAAAAAATGAAATAAAACCTACTACAAAAGGAAAAAGCCATTTGAACATTATGTTCTTAAATCAAATCAAATAGCGCGCGCTTTCGCGACTTCCTCTTACACACTTCCGTCCCATTTCACGAAATCACTCCCACAAATTGCAGGAAAGCGAGAGGAAAGATGTTACACATCAAAAACTCACTTGAAAACGTTCTCGACTTGTCCCAACCAATGGGCTTGCGTTTCGGCCGCGTCCTGTAATCCTTGGCATTGCAACAGCGCAGCCTCCAACTCTGCGCACTTGGAGCTCACAGCGCCATCTATGTCCTTGTAGCGAGCCGTCAGATCTATGATGGGTACTTCTAGTTGACGTATCTCTGAAGGTGTGAGATTGCCTTCTAAGGACTTCACTAGCTGGTCGCAGGCCTGGGAAATAAACGGTTCATGTAAAAATATATCTTAAAAAGAGAGGAACATCATTTAAATTAAGCAACAGTTAACATAAAGTCACATGGTAATAATTTGTTTCACCATTTTTCAGTACATTTTTCGGGCAAAAGCTAATTCTCTATTCTTTATTCCAAAAAGCACACTCAAAAATAGCCAAACTTACTTATTTAATAAAAAAATCCCCAAATAACGCAGTTTTATAACCATATATAAGGTATAAATATTACGAAAACAATATAAATAAAAAAAGCATCATGATTTGATCAAATTCATGACAAACAAAAAAAATATACTACAGCGGTTGACGTTCCAAACAATTGAAGTACTATAGAGAAATTCAAGAAAACTCATTTATATACTACACTATCGAAATAACAACTTTATTTTTTCGTATTAGAGTTCAAAGTGCAGTAACTCACGTCTTTAGCGTTGTCGATGAGCCGTCCCTGCGACAGGATCTCTCCATGCAGAGCTTTGGCCTTCGCCAGTTGAGATTCTACCGCTCGTGGCTCACCGCCTACGGGTTCTGACAGCACTGAGCGGACTTGTGGTTCGATCTGTAAAAGAAACAAGATAATTAAAGCATTTATTACTTAAAGATGGCTACTTTAATAAAAAAAAACGTTCCAGATTTCAACTTCTAAAGAACACAACGCGAAGTTTATACCAGTCATAGGCACAAGACTGGAATCGAACCACGCCTGCGCTCTTCATACCTGTCGATTTCACTTAGCATGACATTACTGCCCCTTTATCTGTCATCTATTGAGAAAAAGGCGCAACCTTCTATATATCTATAGACTCACATCGTCGGTCCATTTGCCGGTCTTCTCTAACGTGAGGTTGTATTGGTTAATAAAGGGCGCGGTTCCCCTCAGTCTTTGGGCCTACGCCATCAGGCCGCTATGGCAACGGCGCGCTATTGGTAATAATAGCGGACACTCACTTTTTTGCCGGCCTTCTCTAGCGCGAGGTTGTATTGTTTAGTAAGGCGCGTAGTTCTCCTCAGTCTGCCCTGCAGTCTTTGAGCTCTCGCTGTTAAGTTACTATGGCGTCGGCGCTCTATCAGTTATGATAGTAAAGAAGACTTACGTACACGTAGGAGGTGTATTAAGAGTTAAGACCGCAGCGATTGGGGATTAATAACTTCTGTTGCTATCTCTGTCACCAATGGAGAAAAAAGTGTAACCTTTTATATATCTAAAGACTCACATCGTTGATCCATTTGCCGGCCTTCTCGAGCGCGAGGTTGTATTGTTTGGTAAGGTGCGCGGTTCCCCTCAGTCTGTCCTGCAATCTTTGGGCCCTCGCTGTTAAGTCACTATGACGACGGCGAGCTAAGGCTGCTCCTTCGCGGACAGCACTGTCCACGGGCGGTGAAACGTGCGACAGACGGGACGGTAATGTAGTGCGGTACTCGTTTAGTATCGTTAGGAATTCCTGGTGGGAAAGAGATTGACAATGAAAAAACCAGCGAGCCTTACAGTAGTCGCGTATGATGTGTAACATTTGAAACCTCACCTTATATTAAAATATAAGGTGAGGTTACACATTTTATATTTTAATTAGTAAAAAAAGAAATAAAGCCTACTACAAAAGGAATAAGCCATTTGAACATTATGTTGTAAAATCAAATCAAATACCGCGCGCTTCTTAAACTTCCTGTTACACAGTTCCGTCCCACTTCACGTAATCACTCCCACAAATTGCACGAAAGCGAGAGGAAAGATGTTACACATCAATAATTCCGTAGGCAATGGGGATGATGACTTGGTGATTTTTACTTCGTCTATCTACCTGAGATTACAAAAAAGTATTGGCCACGTATTGTTTATTTATCCATATAATCAAAACATTACAGAGATATGTAGATTTGAAATGTCGCATGACGTCACGTCTTGGTTCAATTTTTACTTAATCCCAAACTTTATTTTGTATATTTTTGGTTGATTGACACATGAAAAAGTTTGTGTCCATTATTATTTGATAATATAATCGACGGACTTAATAGAATTTCGTTTACTCTACCCCGTCATCACCCTTATTAGGTATATTACGTTACCTATAGCACAAAATATAAATTAAAAAAAGAACTGCCTGAAATTACGCTAGGATGAGCGTGGCGCTTACGTATTTTGTACTAAAAGCAACTTGTGACTGCTAGGCGAATGATATTCAGTTTACATTTTTTGTATAATATCCGCGGTAAAGAATTGGTCTAAAACAAAAATGTAGATATGTATGTTGTTTATCATATAAATATTTTTAGTGGTATAATGGAGTATTCATTTTGGTCACGCAATTATATACTAAAACAGTTGCAAGTTGGATAATAGACCCTACGGACATCTGACAATAGCTATTATTTGCTATAAACTTACAAAATGCACCATTACAACAATTTAATTTTAAAAGGATATGAAGCGCGTATAATCAACTTCTCGTTAATTTTTTTAAGAAAAGACACCTTCTGAATAACGGTATAAATAAAAAAATTGACGCATACCTTGCTCTCATCCAAGAACTTCTGCGCGGCCATGGTAATAAACCTGAGGTCGGCCTGGTGAGCGATGATATCGGACACGAAGTCCCTGATATCGTCCCCTTGGTGGGGGAGTTTGTCCAGCTTAGATATCGCCGCCTCCTTCTCTTCCAACTGGCGGTAAGCGCCTTCCATCCAGGCGTTGAACGTGCTCAGTTCATTGCTGATTTGGATAGAAGTAAATAGTTTAAACATTAATTTTTGTAGCCAAACTTGGACTTTAGTGCCTTAATTTAAATTAAGAACATCTGATCAATAAGTACTTTTTAAATAAAATGCCATGTCTGTGTTAACTATAAAAACACAAATTGGGCCGTGTATTCCAGGTTCAATAGGCATGAGCACCAAAATATTACATTAATTCACGTTTTTTATCGCGTCTTACTGTCAAAGCTCATAGTAATTTGACAATTGAGTGTGATAAAAACGAGCTATATATCATATCGCGGTGCTCGTGCAAGGGGGCAGGGTGTACGTTATTTCTGTTACACGTTGCGTAAGCCCTCTAGATGAGCCGACCCCCTCACGTTTGAGTGCCATCCGCCTGGAATACCTCTAGAGGCACTCGCCAATTCTCGGCTTGAGGTCCCCTTAGGATCTCGCCGTCTCCAAACCCGGTGACGCTGTAAAGGTCATCTGCTACCAACAGCATGCACACTCAAAAAAAAAAAAAATGGTTGCCTGTAAAGTCGGTTTTACGGGCGAAGATTTTACGTGACAACGTCTTTTTCTCGGTAGAATATTTATTGATATGAATATAATTAAATTGCACAATAGGAACAAGGAATTGAATGAAAATAAGAATTGCACAAATTTTAACTATAGAAATATATTTTGTTTACTAAAACATTGTACATGTAAACTTAAACTTAACACGAGAGACTCATCGTAACGTTACCGAGCGTTACACTTTTTCATAAGTGACTCCCAGCCGCAACCTAATTTAAGACGTTGTCACGTCAAAAGTGTAAGTTTCATCTTATCCTACCTGAATTTCCCGAGCTCGTCTCTAGCGGCTACGAGTCGTCGCAGCATTTTGTCACACTTGTCCGTGCACTTGTCGCAGCGCTGTTTCAACTGTCGAACGCCACGCTCCAGTGCCGCCACCTGTCGGAACATTATAGAGCGTTAACTACAAGCGAAACACTACCTTATTGGTAAAACTGTAAGTATTATAATCGATCGTTCACCACAAGCTAAACAATGCTTTATTGATAGAACAGGAAGTACTATACTCGGATGGTATTTATTTAAATGTTACTCGAGCGTTAAACACTACCTTATTGATAGAATAGTAAGAATTATATTCAGATTGTATTCTTTTAATATTATGTTAAAAGTATCGTCTCGCTCTGATGGAGTTCTATACAATTTGTGTGAATTTATGAGTTATTATCATTATCACACCACAATAAAGTTTATTTTTATTATATATTTAGGAACGGAATCAGAAATTTTTAATTGTAGAAAGAAAGACAATCGTATTGCAGAACTAATTATAAAGTAGTTAGATGCAAGGCTACAACGATGATAAAACGCACTTACACCTCTATAAATTAGGTGCCGAACCTTGAGACTTGTGTCAAATTTAGTAAGGGAAATACTTAGCTTTGTGAAGTGCTATCAACGTTAGATATTTTTTTTTTAAATTGCAAGAATAAAAATGTGTTCCAAGTTTGCAAAGATCTTAATGAAAAAAAAGAGTTTTTAATACCTCGTGTGGTGCCAAAACATCTCCTCCTGAGACCAGGAGTTGTTTAGCCTGATCGGCGCATGCGGACACTTGGCGCTGGTGGCTTTCCAGGTCATCCTTGATAAGCTGCAAGATAGATATTAATTATGTGGTTGCAAACAATACAAGAATAGCACGTATCGTTAATCATATAGATTATTTTAAAATTAATATAAAGATGTTTTTTTAAACGCACCAATTAGCCTAGCCCCAAAGTAAGACTGTAAGGCTTGTGTTATGGGATACTATGGAAACGTAGAAGGATACATAGTTTTTTTTACTTAAATTGAATTGAATTTTATTTAATCATTAAAAATAGAGTACAATGAGTGCTGAAATATAATATAACATAGTTCATCTATTTTGCCTCAATCTAGCATGTGTTTTTTTTTTATTTTATTTTTATAACATGCAACATAATGAAATGGAAATTAACAGCCGTGACTTAGGTATAATTCATCATGGAAACATTTGCCCTGCTGGGGTTCGAACCCAGAATCTCTGCGAAGGGGAGACCTTAAAAATCGGTGTACATATTGTATTTGGCTAATTTAACATTCGTTTGTAAAAAAGGAGATCCAATTCGAACTCATAATTTACCGAAACAAATACAGCTTCTGTATTTTATTTACCTTCAAGATATTTATTTGATTGCGTAGCTCATCCATGTCTTCTTTGGCCGCTTCTTGATTGGCCAACCTCTCTTCGACGATCGCAATCCACTCCAGTAACTTAGAAAGAGTCTCATCACATAGTCGGTACTTCTCTTCCACTGCTTGCTAAACGTTTGAAAAGAAAAATATTAGTCTATGGTCTCAAAGAAGTATAACTTTCGGACAGGAACGATCGTCTCCACAAATAGTGCATTAAATCTATGGCTACCGAGCAAAATTTACAATGCATTAACTCTATCTACTATTCAAGTGCATGACAGAATTATAAATTCAAAAATATATTTTGGCTACATTTCAAATGTGCTTGTAGATTATAAATGCATCTTTACAATAAATCTCTTTAGACATATTTTTTTTAGATAAGGGCAAAGTAACTTAGTCTCATGCGTTCATAGTACCACCAACTAAGTCATTCGCCTTGTATAAAACAACCTGTAAAAAAGCGACACCAACCAAACTACGCAGAAAGAGAAGCGTCTTCAACACCTATATAGACGAACAAAGAAGGCAACGACAACATACAGCCAATTTACAGCGTGAAAATGACGAACACAAATAGTTACAACAATGCTCAAAGACCAAAGTATAATAGTAAAGATACGAACATGCAGGAAGCGTGGCATGCAAGCAGTGATTTTATAGATGCAACTGTCAAAGACAACAAGAATAGAGAAGAAAATCAAGTTGCATTTGACATTTGCCTAAATACTTGTATATTCTTAACCGTCTTACAATTTACCAACACGTTTATTAAAGTCGTTAAATTCATATTATAAAGTTTTGATTAGAGTTAATTGTTAAAAAGTATTAAAAGTAGAATTATACCTTTTTTGGAAATCTGAAATTATCGAATAGTGTTTTGTACATGTAAATTATAATCAAATGAAAATAACAAAAGATATAACGAATGTACAGTTATAAAAATAATAAAAAAGTGGAACTTTATCTCAGAAATTTATAATAAAAAAACGTTGAACAGTAAAGATTGAGATAAAATCCCACAATGGCTAGAATTTAAAGTTGTAAATGAATTTGTAAATACTACCTTCCGTGTCTGAGTTTGAAGATAATGTTTTACCATTTCATGATATTGTGAATGTTTGCGTCGCGAGTGTGTCCGTCTTATTAACCGACATCACAATAGCATAGCGCTCACATGCATTCCAAATGAGCTCGCGCGTCCAAGGAATGAGTATATCAAGTTTGGGGATATTTTAAAAGTAAACTAGAACGGGTTCAATCTTAATGGCCAGCAGTCATATTCGCTGGTTGTTGGATGAGGAAGCAAACAATAAAGCCGCGACGATGAGAGGTCGATAGCACAGGCTTACACCCTAGTCTCGACCTCCAACGTCAAAGTCTTAGCACAATGTGAATTATGGGAGTTAGGTTTTTGACGAGACGGTGATAGGTTCTTTTTATCGTCGTTATTATGATCCCTCACAGGCAAGCATTCACGATTTAGCTCAAAAGGGTTCTTAGCATCGCAGGCAACGGCTGGAAATAAAAAACAACATACATCGAGCCTTAGTACATGTGAATGTAAGCACACTTTCCAATTGATAGTTTTCCCGTCTGCGTTTATGGAAAACTGTCAATTGTTTAGCGCTATATAACCTAAACTTAAGCATCTAAGAACGACACAAGAGGCTTGTAGATAAAAAATAAATATATGATTTGTATAATGTATATAGTACTTTGTCTAATAACTACAATTTATATAAAAAGCACAACTGGTTTGCCTAAAAATGTGTTCAAGCTAATTTTACGGCAATTCAAATATATTTACTTCTGTACTTCGTGATTTTGCGATTATGTGCTTTTCTACTAAGTATGAAAATTGAAAATTAATAATTATAAGTCTATTTTAAAGATGTCTTAAGTTCTAGGAAACATTAAAATCGTTATTATGGTGTGGTTCAATCGTTTCATTAGTGTATGCCACAACAAACTGTGACTCCACGAAATATCACAAATAACCCTGGATTCGACACTTACATGTCTTGTGGGTGTCGTGCCATGCCAATGTTTAAGCCAAACGCTTTAGATAGAGGTAACCGTCTAAGAATGAAAGTAGGAAGACGTAAAGCAACACCTTTGCTTGGTAGAAGCAATAATACATGTAAATTGTAAAAAACTTACCCTCGTTTCTGCTGGCAGCAAGTAGCCCTTTTTATGAGCTTTGACCAAATCGAGACTGATCTCTTTTTTAGGATCTATAACCAGTCTGCCTTCGACAGGATCGACAAGCTTCTGTTCGATAGCTTGAACCAATGGCCAAATCTTTCCGGTTTCGGGTTCTTTGACGACAGTGCTGGATGGATCTACGATTCCTTGATGGATTGCTTCGCCTAAACTCAACCTCTTTCTATCTATGACGCTCGTCGTTATGAATGGATCATTTAATGCTCCCGTCGTCGGATTATATATTCCGAAATTGATAGTTTCTATGAGAGAGAAGCTCTTTTTCGGTGTCATTAGGAGTCCGCTCTCTATAGATGACGCAAGTGTGTTCAATTTAGAAGTCTCAGTGTCCAAAATATTACCCTTTTCAGCATCCATGAGTCCCTTTCTGAACGCTTCTGGCAGTTTAACCAACCTCTTTTTGAGATTATCTTTTATCAGTGCAGTATCCGAATCAATATAACCTAAGATTGTTGCGTCTTTTATAGTTAATACTTCATTGGAATGTGGATCAGTAAATCGAGCAGTGGCAACGTTTATGTAACCTTTTTCTAAAGCTTGCTCAAACGTAAGAGGTTCCCGAATATACACAATCAAACTATTTTCAAAAACGAAGCATAAAGTACGTGTACGATTTTGTATATCAAAAGAACCTTTAGCATTTTTATCGATAATACCCTCGGTCATACCTAATTTCAATGGAATGTATTTATTTTTGCGAGGATCTTTTATGACAGCTGTTTCTGAATTTATGAATTCATATTTGATGGCTTCATCTAAAGTGAATTCTCTTAAAACTGGCTCTTTAGAGGACGTAGCCTCTGGCATATAACGTTTGGTTATTGTTTGAGATGTAAGCGGCTGAACAACGGTCACAAGAAGACCCTTATCAAATGCGATATCTAAACTATAAGTTTTCTTAGCTTTAGTGTCAAGAACTCTACCTTTGGTAACGTCTACATCACCTTGTTGTATAGCTACAATTAATGGTTTGAATTTATTAGTTAGGTTGTCTTTCACAATAGTTAAGTCAGGATTTAGGAAGTTGATTTCGATAGCTTTGTTTATATCAACGTATTCGTTAGTTGTGGGATCTACAAGTTTGCCGTTATCAGGTCTAAAGAAACCGTTTCTAATAATTTCTTCGAGGCTAATATTTTTCTTGGCAGTAACTATCAAACCCCGATGTTTCGCATCTAGGAAATTTATTTCATTACCATTAGGTAGAACGTAGACGCTATTTTCCTCATCTACGACACCAGTTTGTATAGCTTCGTCTAATTTTATATATTTACTTGTAGGGATGTGCTTAACTAAAGACGTTTGAGGATTGATTAGTTCTTCTATTATTGCAGATTTAAGAGATATTTTTCTTTCAGTTACAGGATGCACAAATACAACCTCGGTAATATCGTACATATTCATGGCCAAAGTTTCATACAAAGTAAATCCAGCACTTTCTATATCAACTATAAGGCCTAGGCTCATGGCTTCTGATAATGGTATTTGTACGTCTGATCCTGGTTCTGTGAATTTGCCGTTGCGCCTATCAACAATTTCACTACGACAACATTCAGCTAACGATAATGGTTTTTCTGACTTTTTATCGAAATAACATAGATATTTTGGACTAATGACAGAACGTCTTATAGCTTCATGAACAGTTATTTTACGATTTGTAGTTGGATCACAAATTTTTCCAGTGGTATCATCATAAAGTCCCTGATGCAAAGCTCTTTGTAAGCTAATAGGTGCTTTGCTATCAACTAGCAAACCAATTTCAAATGCTTTACGAAGGTTGATTTCTTCGTTTTCATTATTAATGTTTTTAATTTTACCAGTTTTATCATCAATTACCCCTGTCTGAAGTGATTCTGGAAGTGTAATTTTATCCCATTTTCCCATCCTATTATCTTGAACGTGTACAGAATTAGGATCAATGAGATTCATTTTAATAGCTTCCGCAAGCGTATACTTTTTACCTGTTTGTGGATCCATAAAAAGCCCAGTTATTTCATTATAAATACCCTTTTCAAGTGCCTCAATAAGAGACATAGGTTTTCTGACTTCTACTAATATACCTCTTTCAAATGCCTCCCTAAAATCTACTCTTTCGTTTCCTATCAAAACGGTGCCTCTTCTACCATCTACAACACCTTTATCTACTGCAAATTCAAATGGTATTACTTTGCCACCTACATGAACTAAAGTCGATTGAGGATCTATCATCCGCTTTTTGATTGCTCGGTCGGTTTGAACTTTTTCTTTTGCTTCTGGATGAGAAAACTTCCCAGTTTTGGGATCGTAAAATCCTTTGAATACAGCTTCAGGTAAGCTAAGCTTACGTTTTGCAGGAACAATGAGTCCTCGCTCTGAGGCATCAGTAAGAGAAATTTTATCACCGTGGATTGGATCATGTACGGTGCCTTCTTTTGAATCTATAATTCCAATTTTAATAGCGTCATTTAAAGAAATAATTTCGCCAGTAATAGAGTTTTTAACGGTCATTGCATTAGGATTAATATTACCTATTTGAATTGCTTCATCCAGAGTCATAGTAGAGTCATTGATTGTTAAAAGACCTGTTTCGGGATTATAAAAACCTTGAACTAGACCTTCTTGTAATGTCCATGGCTTTTTATCATGAAGAATGTAACCTTTATCGCGAGCTTCCTTGAAATTAATAGCTGGAGAGGTAATGACACCTCGCTCTGTATCGACAAGACCTATTTTTACAGCCTGTTGAAATGATAAAACTGCTTCAGAATTATCATCTTTAATTTTAACGTCAGACGGATCGACTAACTTATCTTTTAATGCGTGAGCTAGGGTCACATTTTTTCCAGTTTTGGGGTTTAAAATCTGGCATGTCTCAGGAGAATAATAACCTAATTCAATTATATCAAACAAAGAAAATGTGACGTCCTTAGTAGCAAGTAAACCTTTTTTCAAAGCGTCATCTAATGGAATGTCTTTACCAGTCTTTTTGTCTTTAATTTTACCCGTTTCCGGGTGAATGAGTTTCGTGTTAAGTGCTTCTGAGAGAGGTACAAATTTTTCTGATGCTGTATCTTTTATTTCAGATATAGTGGGATGTATGATATTCCTATCTACGGCATCGCTGACACTTACTAATTGATCTGTAACTACATCTTTGATCAGTCCCGTAGATGGTTCTAACATGTCATTTACAATGATAGCTTCAATAGAAATCGGTCTACGTATCAGACTTATAATTCCACGTTGTATTGCCACTGATATTTCTATGACTTGGCGAGTTTCAATAATAGTTATAAAACCCTCACGTATTTCTATTATACCACGCTCCAGAGCATCTGACATTGGTATATGTTCGTTAGAATGAGGTACATTAATCAACAATGATTCCTGATCTACCAGACCGTTTTCAACAGCTTGACCAATGGGAATTAATTTACCAGTATTCACGTCTACTATTTCACTAGTTTTAGGGTTATATAATCCTTGCTCTAATGCATTTTCAATCGACAATTGTTCAAAGACTGTCACATCTTCTGGCTTTTCTACAATCCATCCTATTTGTACACATTCTAAGAAAGGTACCCGTTTTCCTGTTTTAGGATTAACCATATGTCCAGTACCTTTATCAATTATCGGTCTTCCTATAGCTTCTTCAAATGAAATATAGATATCAGATTTAGATCCTAAATCTTTTACAAGGATTGTTTCCGGATCAAATACATGTAAACCGTAAACTAATTCTTCGAAAGATATCTTTGCACCTGTTTCAGGATTCAAAAATACTTGCTTTTCGATATCATATACGCCCATTTCAGAAAGTTCCTCTGGTGTAAGTTTTTGGGAAATTGCAATGCAGAATTTTGGCTCAGTCTCTTTCACACGGACTAAATTTTTCGACATTATATCTACTAGTGTAAACTTACTTATTTGACCCTGTTCTAAAGAATCTTGGACCGTTAATAAAGATTCAATACCATTTATGATAATCCTACAAACTTTTTGTTCAATTTTAGCTTGAGATATCGCGTCAGTTAATGTTATGTTTTCATATAACGGTTTATCATGTTGTGGAGCCACTTTTACTACAGTTTGTTCTGTTATTTCATCAATAACTCTAAGAGGCTGTTTTTCGGCATCTATCAAAGAAGCCGATATGGCTTTACCATCGTAGGTTGCTTTCCTTAAGGGTTGCGCTACTGCGTCGTCTAAAGCTATATTTTCGACTGTTGTTATAACAGTTTCGGTAATAATTGGTTGCAAATGTGAATTTTTCGTAGTTTTTATTTCAATAGGTTCACTAGTAGGAAACACTTCAGACAGATTCGTTTTAATGCTATATTGTTTTGTACTTTCTGCTGCAATGATAGGATCAGTATCTTTTATAGACTGATCATGTTTGACGTTAGATACTGGTTCAACAAGATTACGAATGTTAGCTTCATCTACTTTTTCTCTTGTATTTGGATCAACCTTTACAACGTTTTTAACTATGTCTACAACTTTTGCTGCGGCAAGAACAGGTGCTCCTATGATGGCGACGATGCCAAGTTTAGCTGCATCACCGAAACTAATCTTACTGCCTGATTCATGCGTAACTTCACCTGTTTTCTCGTCAATTATTCCCTTGTCTATTGCTTCCTTTAAAGTTAAGTCATTGCCTGTTTTCGGATCTACAATATGAATAACTTCGGTTGGAACAACACCCTTAGTAACAGCTGCAAATATATCGCCAGCTGATTTCAATGTTGATGTAGTTAAAACTGTTGCGTGGGTATCGATAATATCTGGCGTATTTTCTTTGACGTAAGAAGATTCAGTGATTACTTTATCATCTCTCATGGTAGGTTTTTGTGGTACTACAATATCTTTCTGGTTATCATTTGTGTCGTCATTATATTTTGTGGCATTTTCTTCTTTAATCAACGTTGTATCTTTTGTTGGTGATTCAAGTGTTTGTTTTGTATCTTTTACATGACCCGAATGTTCTGTAAATACAGTTTGTTCTGCTTGCGCCACTGATAATTTATCAACATCGTCAGAAGATTTCATTGTATCGCCTTTTTCACTGGTCAATATTGCATGTGTAGTTTCTGGCTCAGTTCTATCTTCCGTACCTATATTATATGACGTTGATTGATTTTGTGTTATTTCAACAGTAGATATTTTCGATAGCTTCGTAGTAACAACTGTACTCATTTGTTCAGAGATATATTCCGAAGGCTCTGATTTAGTAACAATAGTTTTGACAATAGTCCTATGCTCAATGCCATCAGGTGTAACTTTATGAAATTCCTGTAAATCTGGTTCTTGTTCAACTGATTTAGACGTGTCAGACTTAGGAGAGGATTCTTTTATCCGTTCTTTTACTTCCGGAACAGAAATATCATATTGGTCAGAAGAACTTATTGATTTTTTATCTTGTGGTATATTTTTATCTTTGTCACTTAAAGCGGCTTCCTCCGTGATGAATTTTTGAGATTCTTTGATCATATCTCCAGTTTTTTTTGAGATGGTTTGAGATTTACTTTCAACTTCAATCGATTTCATAGGATCGCGTGTTGGATCTTTTAGTTCGTCAAGTTTTTGTTGATCTTTGAATTTAGTTTTCTCTTGGGTCAAATCTTCGCAAATGGGTGTAGATATTTTGATTATATCACTGGAAGCTTCCTTATTTTCAGCATTCATTTGTTGAATTTCTTGAGGCTTCTGCAACCTATTTTCTAAGTCAAGAGGTAATTCCTTTACCAATTCCTGTTCTTGAATTTGCTCTACGATACTTTTGCTTGCGTGAACAGTTCCTATTTTGGTAACACAAGGTTCAATCGCTTGGCTAGCAATAGCTTGATATGACGGATCCAGCTTCTCTTTCTTAGTATCTATAGCTTTAACTAATGTATCCAAACCTATTTGTTTTTCTTTTGGAACCCCTGGCTGAGGAAGCGGAGATTTTTGTAATTCCCGTATGTCATTTTTTATAGACGATATTGATTGTGCAGGGTAATTGTCCTTCGCATTGATTGGATAAATCGTGGCTTCAGCCTTTTTATCAGTTTCTGATACGGATTGCTTAGGCTGCATTATTTTAGAAGTTACTGCTTTTGCACCTTTTACCACAGCCATTCCAGCTAATACAGGCGCAGCAACTACTGCTATCAGTCCCAACTTAGCTGCATTTTTAATGTCAACAGATTTACCAGTTTCTGGTACTTTCAGTTTTCCAGATTTGTTATCAATTAAGCCCGTGTTGATTGCTTCTTGCACAGTTACTGGTTTAGCAGCACCTACATCGTAAATAATAGATTTTGGATTTATAATATTACGATTTATGGCTTCCTTTAATGTTATTGATTTTGCGGGAGATTTAGGGTCTTTAAATGTTTGTGATGTTTCGTCAAATAGTAGATCAAATGCTTCATTGAGATCCAACATTTCAAAGTCTTTCTTTGCTATTTCGATTTTAGACTCATCCGATTTTATTACTTCAGTATTTAGAACACCCGAATTAACTGCCTCTGAAATAGATATCACTTCTCCAGTACTCGGGTGAGTGAAGGTACCCTCTTCTATGTTTATATATCCAAGATTGAGAGCATCTTCGAAATTAATATTTGTGTCGGTAGTAATAAACTGTTCTTTACTAGTTTGCTCATCTCGAACGATTCCCTTTTGTCGGGCAACGTCTATTGACAGTATTTCCCCTGTTTTTGTATTTTGAACTTCATGTGCACTGACTAGAACATAATCAGCTAAAAGTTCTATCATTTTAGTAGTAATTGTGTGTTGAGAAGAAAATGTTTCTGTGACTGTTGTCACAACTCCACTTGTTTGTAAAGCCTCCGTGTTCGGTTTTATAGTCAAAAAGCCTTGTTCCATTGCTTTTTCGATAGGCATAATTTCCTTAGATATTGGTTCGGTAAATTTATTTTCTTTGAAATTAACTATTCCTTTTTCTAAAGCTTCTTCCAAGGTAATCGCATCTTGTGACAATGGATAAGGAATAGCCATTAATAAGTCTCTCTTTACTGCTTCCTCAATAGTTAAACGTTCACCAGTCAGAGGATGTTTCATTTGTTTAGTATCTGAGTCAATGAGCCCTTTTTTAATAGCCACCGATAATGTCATAGCTGCACGTGGAATCTCTTCTTTGGTAACTGTATCCGGTACAGTAAAAATACACGCGTTCACAGCTGATAGTAAATCTAGATTACCGTTGCTTGTTTTTACCGTGTTCTTATCATTGTCGATTATATTCTTTTCAATAGCTTCGGCTAGCACCATTTCGTTACCTGGAGAAACAATAACTGATGACAAGGGGTCAACTATATCACAAATTATAGCTTCTCTTAAAGTCAAATGGCTACCAGTTTCCGGATGTATAATTTTGCCTGTAGCTGGATCTAGTAAGCCTTGTTCTAAAACTTCAGCAATGGAAAGACTTTTTGCTAATGGAATCAGTACTTCATCCTGTCCTTCTTCATCCAATATACCTCTTTTAATGGCTTCTTTAATATTTATAATATCACCATGAACAGGATCTTTGATTTCACCTTTTTTATCATCTACAAAACCACTTTCAATGGACTTTTCGAGTGTGAGTGGCATACCATTTTCATCTTTATAAACTTTAATAGATTCTAAAATTTTAGCTGTCTCTTTACTCAGTAATCCTTTTTCGACGGCTTCTAATGGCGTCACTACCCGTTTTCGTAGTTTTTGCAGAACAATAGGTTTTGTTTCTAATACTGAAGAATCAACTGTACTTTCTGTAGCCATTTGTAGCTTATATTTAGGTGTTTGTGATATTTGAGATTGCGTTACATGTACTATATCAGAAGGCTGCTGTAAAGTTTGCGTAACAGATATCGAATTAATAGGTTTCCTAGTATCAGCCAAAATACTATTTTGGATGGTCTCTACAGTGATAAAGCCTTCGGAAACAGCCGCTCCTACAGATATGGGTTTTGTTGACTGAGGGAAAGTTTCCGTATTTATATCTTTTGATAAATCAGGATTTAACAATTGTTTATATTTGGAATAAGATATCGGATCTATTAATCCTTTTTCGTATGCTTCGTCTATAGGAATTTTGACGCCAGTAACAGGATCTAGGACGTTAGTGGTGCTCGTCACAGTGGGTTTATTTCCGCTGTTAGTGAATGTAATAGTACTGGAGCTGCTTTGGAGTTTAGAAGGATCTTCACTTAATTTTAAGTATTCTCTGTAAGTATCTTCATTAATAAAACCTTTTTGAAGTGCAGTTTCTAATGGTAATTTCTCGTTTGTTTTAGGATCTATGATATACATGACAGAAGTGCCAGTCAATGTGGGTTTTGTTGTAATCTGTGAAAACGTAACTGTGCTGGTTTTCGTTGACTGTTTTTCTTTCTGTATTGTGGGGTCATATTCGGGGGACCTATCCCTAATAGATTCTTCGTATTTTTTATAAGTAACTGGGTCCACTAAACCTCTTTCATAAGCTACTTCCATAGGCACTTTTTCCCCCGTTTTAGGATCTACTACCATAGTACTTTTGACGACTTGAATAACCTTTGCTGCTCCAACTAACGGAGCCCCTATAACAGTAATAAGGCCTATTTTTGCTGCATCTGTTAAACTGAGTCTATTACCAGACTTATCTTTATAGTCTCCGGTTTGTCTGTCCACAACACCTTTATCTAACGCTTGTTTGAGAGTAAGTTGTTTGCCGGTTTGTGGTTCTTTAATTTTAACAGCATCGAATGGTACCATACCTCGGTCAACAGCATCTAAAATATTTTCGGAGACACCTGACGATGTCGATATGACTAAAGCTGTGGCTGGATCATATATGATACCTGAATCTACTTGGATAGGTTCTAAAATTGATTGCTCTTCGCTTACGTCACGAGGAATGGTTTCGGTTATTTCGGATATTTCAATTTTATCAGGAATTCCAGCAACGGACGTGATAGTAATTACTTTTTGTAATGATACATTGCTTGAAATTTTTACGTGTACTATTAATCTGCGATCAAAAGCTTCTTTCATATTTATTATACCAGTTGGTAAACTAAAATGACCAGTGTTGTCAAGTATACGTGATTCTATTGCGTTTTGTAAAGGTATCTCTTTCTTGGTCTTGGGGTTGATAACTACCGCAGAGTCGGGATTGATGATATTAAGTGCAATGGCTTCTCTGAGTTCCATATCTCTTTCTGTTCCAGGAATAACAAATATACCAGTAACCGGATTGAAGAGGTTTTGCGATATGGCTTCTTTTAGGGTCCAGCCACCACGCGGTAATTCGATAGTGTTTTTCCTAATAGTTAATGAAGTCACAGTAGGTTCTGTGATTATAGACTTTGAAGTTACAGTTTTGACTTCTCGCATTATAGTATCACGCTCTTGGGCTACGTTTCGACTAACTACGTCAGGACTTTTAATAGTTTCAGGCTTATCGTCTTGTTGTAATTTACTGTCAGGACTAAGAGGTAAATCGGGAATAAATGATTTTTTGGTAATTCTAAGTTCTACAACCTGCTCCGGGACTAACTCTTTTCTAGTTATTTCGGGAATACGAACAACACGAGGTTCGTTCTTTTCCACACCAAGTAATCCTTCATCTAAAGCTTGTTGGATAGGGAATACAGTTCCTGTAGTTGGATCTGTAAATGTCTCGGTTTTTTCGTCAATAAGACCTCGACGTACAGCTTCTGTGAAAGTCAGAATTGCTTCGGATCTTTGGGATGCACTTGTATTCGTAACAGTGACATAACGTTTTACCGTTTTAGTGACTGTTTGTAAAGTGAGAGTTATATTTAGTAGGGAATTTAACAAGGCAGCCCCCTCTGGAGTAATCATATTTATTTCTACTGCTTTATTAAATGGAATAGGTTTCTTAGTGGTTGCATCAAGTAAATTCCCTGTTTTGGGATCAAGAATATTTTTGAATACTGCATCAAAGACATTAAGTTCTTTACCATTTTCATAAATTCCTATCTTACGGTTAAACATTTCTAAAACTTCAGGACGGACTATTGATACTTTTGTACAGTCTTCTATAAAAACGAAATCCCCACTTTCAGATTTAAGAAAAGTTTCACCGTTAGCATACTTAAGGTAACCTTTTTTCGATGCGGAATTAAAAGAAATAAATTCCCCTGTTTTTGGGTCCCGGAAACCATCTATATTAAATATTGATCTTTGAGAGACTGATGTTATAAGACCTCTATCTACAGCTTCAGGGATTGTACAAATCTCACCGGTTAAGTTGTCACGGAACTTATTATCATGTAAAATTATCTTAGCAGCTAATGCCTCAGATAAAGTAAATAGCTGTCCAGTTGTGGTATCAGTTATGCATTTAACATTATCACTATCAAGTACTCCAGTGGAGATCGCCTCTGAAATACTTAAAGGTACCCTTTGTGTTGGTGACAAGATTTTACCATCGTTGGTCATAAGGTTGTTATCACAAACATCTTTAAGTGTCATAGGTTTACATATGAAACGTTTACTTGCTGCATCTTTGAAAGAAAGCTTTTCTTTTGTAATATTATGTACGTATTTAGAATGAACGGTATTTATAATGTTTTTCTCTATCGCTTGAGCAAGCGATATTTTTCTATCATTTTTAGGTTCTACAATTTCCCTAATATGAGGATTAATAAGTTCATTTTTAATAGCAACATCTAGTTGGAACCTATCGCCCGAATTCCTATCCAAAATCCAACCATTGTTGTCTACTAAGTCTTGACTAATCGCGTCAGATAAGGACAAAGCACTAGATTTTATTTTGATAATCTCGTTGTATATGAGGTATCCTTTTTCATAAGCTTCGGCTATCGTAATGTAGTTTCCATTAGGTAATCTATAAAGACCCCTTTGAAGATCGACTTGTCCGCAATTTAATGCATCGGAGATACTCATTCCTTGTCTACTCGGCTTTTCAGATTCAACTGTTACCTTAATTCTTTTTTCTGCTGGGTCTGTGAGTCCTTGTTCCGCGTCGTATAATTCTCTCTGGATCGCTTCCAGTAACGTCACTTCGTTTCCATCTTCCGTCATTCCGCATGGTCCTGTTAGGCGTGCAGCTAGCTTCGGATCAATTAGACCCTTTTCTGCTGCTTGTTCGATACTCATAGTTTGTCTTGTTTCAGGGGAAGATATCAACCTTCCTGTTCGTACGTCCAGTATCCTCATGCTTATCGCTTGACCGACAGTCAATATTTCCCTAGTTTCAGGGTGAACAATACCTCGTGATTCAATGATATTTGGGCCTTCGTACATTTTGTGGACCCTCTTTAGATTTCGTAAGTCAGGTCTGTCATCGTCTGTTATGATAGTTTTGCTTGTATATTTAGGCGAGCTTAGTTTGCCATTGGCCATTGATTTTATGGGCGTGCCATCTAGCTCTGTCGTGTGTGATGTCCTGACATATCTGTTGTGATCGGAAGGATATAAATTAGTGAGTTGGTTAAGGAACATAGTTCAGCTATCTTGTAAGACAGAGAAAAGTTTACGATGGAATTACATACAAGGGTAAATTAAGTAGAAACTATTTCTAAAATTATTTTATAGGTGTAGGACTTACTTTTCCGAGGTAATGTGCGTGACCGTGTGCTCCGTGGTCGCCAGGTCCTGCATGTTGAACTCTTGGCGGAAGGAGCGGGCCGAGCGTGGCGCCATTGCCTCGACGAGACGCTGAAAATAAAAATAAAACATATTTGAAATACTGTTGGTGCTAAATTTAAATTTTAAAAACATTTAAAGCGCTTGGCACTTTGGGAGCAACACAAGGTTTTTTTCTCTCCGCTTATGTAATTTTAATAAATTCCTAGTAAAAATTCATTTTAACTATGTGGTAGCAAAATTAACGATACGAAATTCGATTCACTTCGCTCCCGATGTGGCCTGAATGTAAAATGGTATTCGAGAATAACAACACTACACTAAGAAAAAAAAAACGCCGGGTTGCACTCCGAGAGTGCCGGCAGAAATGAAAACTTGAATATTAACGTTGTGCATTTTTGATATTTTGGAATGGTTAGGAAATAATTTTGCATGAATTGTTGTAATTATCAGTATAAAAGTACTAACACTTATGTGGTAGAAAACAATATTTATTTATTGCGCTATCGTACACAAACATGACAATTTATATTACATTAAAAAGTTTATCTCTCAGAAAAATCAACTTACATGAATCACATTTAAGCGCACCTAGCGACATCTATTGTAAAAAAAATGCATTTTCTTCACAATAAAGCTGCCACCGGGATGTCCTAATTAGAGACTTATTATTATAATACGATAAAATAAAATATTACTATGTTTCGTCCAATATATTGAAATTCAGCAACCTTTCCAATTTTATTGTTTTCGTCTTACGTTAATTTTCAGGACGTCAGGATGACGCGATCAGGCCACGTGTCCTGACGCGAGTTAAACAGTTTTTACCCATTACAAAAAAAATGTACAACGCCGCTAAAGAAGTTTTCACTTCAAAAACAGTTTTGAAGTTGGATTTCGCACCAAATTTTTTAGTTCCAAACTACAGCCATATTTTGATTGAGTAACGTATTAATGCTATGTTAAGTTACATACCCTAATTATGAGAGTGGCATAACTTGTTTTAATCGTTTTTAGGTATTACTGAACCTGTCACATGCGGTTTGTAGGCAGTAGGCGTCATTATTGACTTTATAGAGCTAAAAATATTTATGCTGTACATGTTTAGCATTCTTGTGCCTTCGAGGATATTTATTTTTCTCAGAATAATAGCTTTACTAATTACATATATTAAATATATTGACTGATTACTTTAAACGTCATAATTTTTACAAGTGAGATTGTTGCATTAGCAAGGAATGTGTAAACGGAACGCAGTTTCTCCGCGGACGGAACTTACGATGCGTCAGATCGATAGTTCTTGCAGTTTTCTACAGTTACTTTAATCATAGAGAGATACTTTAACTAGTGCGATATTAAGTACTACCATTCATATTACATATTATAATTATCTGTGCTTTCTTTGAAGAATTGAAATCTTACTATAAAATGTTTCAATTTCATTGCAAAAAGATATATTTGATTTGTTTAAATTATCTGAATTCATAGATAAAAAATATCCAAGATTAATACCCCCAGATACAAGTTTGGAGACAATTTGTCAATTCAATTATTTTATTTCACACTCATAGCCTTTTAGAAATATTTATAATAAAAAAAGTAGGAAGACGTGTTTAAATCAGTGCGCCTGACTCCTACTAAGCAATACCTGACTCGCTTATTAAAAAGATGCCAAAATCGGTTACATTTGTTATTGTAGGCATTTTCCAGTAGTTCGATTTCGATGTTTGGAATACAATGGGCATAGGCACGAGTTCGAAACGCGATCGCAATTTTATTTTCATTATGGTAAGTTATCGTAATAGTTTCCACCAGATGGCGTTTTCCAAATTCGATATTCTTCTAAATTTATGTGAACTCATATTAACTTATTTGGGAATTCACAATCAGTTCTGAGTTTCCAATCAGTCTATTAGGCAAAAACTGTTTTAATTTTTTTTATGATTTACATTGAAATAGATATAATAAATACCATTCTTTAGTTACCTAATATACAACAGATATTATCCAACTATTGACAACTGAATGAATATTTGGTAACTAAAATTTGGTAAGGTTATCCATTGAGTTGGATTTGGAACTGCTATCGAACTTAGACTTAGTATACAAGATAAGTGTCTCTTTGAATGTTTTTCAGGTCCCGTGACACTACTTACGCAAAACCCAATTAACATTGCGTACATTTGAACCCGTCCAAAAGTGTAGACTACTATTTGAATGAAAACCTGTAAATTATCGCGAGACATAACTTATATAACGAATAAAAATTGCGATTACGTTTACTGGTTTTACAAGTGACACGGGAAAAGAAAAACGAGTTCAAGATCAACAAAAAGTCTTTAAGACACATTTAAAAAAAAAAATTGCTAGCAGCAAAATCTTACTTTTTCCAAGTAAGTATAGGAACACTTAAATATGTTTACAAGAAAACGAGGAATTTAAGAGAACATTTTGTACCTACTTAAAACGAATCAGGTTAAAGGGGTGTTACCGGTTGCCGAAGGTACTTATTGTTATCTTTAATTGCAACATAAAAAGTGTGGCAATTATGTTATTAGATTTATTTTTTGACTGAGATCCAAATAGCTTAGAACGAAAGTCCTATGAAGTTTATTTACTCACAAAAAATAAAAGCATGCTTGAAATAAGATTCGATGCTAAATCAATAAATTTAATTAATAACGACATAATCTAGTGGCTTTTAGGGAATATATATAATATCCTTTAATATACAGGAACACGCTTAGCTTATATAGATATATTAAATACAGTATTTAATAATGTAATACCAACCCGGCACTCGTACGAGAAATCATATTCGTACTCCTCCATTTTAACACTTCACTAGTCTATGAAACTACAATAACACTGTAATTTTATATCTCTCACAAAAACACTGCCATAGTTCAGTTAAATAACTAATCACAATAATCCAAACGAGAAGTAAAGACACATTTTGAAACAGTATACTATAACCTATAAAAGTAGAGTAACCATAAAATAAAGATTTAAATAAAAACAAACTAATAACACTACGTTAAATAATTGAATGCAGATTCTATTCGAATCTAGAAAAACAAGAGTTTTCAAAATTGAAACAAGTTGTCGCATAGAACGTGGACTGAAAACTGAATGAAAGCCAAGAAAACCGTAAATCGTAAAGAAAAAACAAAGTTTCTAAATTTAAATCATTTCGTAATCGCGTCGGACGCGACTAGCCGGTAAGTTCCGATTGTTCGTATGTAATTTTTAATTGGTTACGTTAGTTATTTAACATAGTGAGTATCGAACAGCTGTTCGTGAGGTAGAGGTAGGTTTGAGGTTAGGAAAAGTGACTGGCTGATTCGATACGGGCGGAAAATTTACTGGAGAGTTTTACAATGCGCGCGCATTTCGATGCGCGGTCGGGTCACGGAAGGCGCAGTCTGACAATCCGTGAATATCGTTTTATGTAACAATTAATTTTATTTTATAGTCGTTTGCGTGCTTTCACGAGTTTTTTATGTTTCAGAGAAAGATATGGGAAATCATTTCACTAACATTTCAAAAGAATTAAGTTACGTTACCAATTTGAAGAATCTAAATGTTTTAAGCCTACGTTAGATACTAGACTGATTAGTAGTCGGAGATATAAAATCAAAGTAAAACGTGTATTCTTCCCTAAACTATTCTATGTAAATGAAGTTCCATTAGGGCGCTTATAATAACATTTCCATCATCAACAACTTTTATATTCAACCCACAAAAGTGGATGTTTATTTACCTTATGATGTCATCGTGAAACCACATCATGGGGTTATAAATTTGATAGGACGGAACTTTGTACAAGCCTTAATATCCCATGTGGATTTTCTGTAAACTAAAGGAGTTGTATTTTTAATTGTTCGTTGTCACCAACAGTTTTTCAAAATGCCAGGCTAAAATAATCAAATGAAAATAACAAAACATTCCCATGTACAATGTATATGTATAAGTAATAACAATGAGACTTAAATAGGATCCTTGCGTGATCCAAATCCAGTCATAAAAAATATAACATAGCTTTGCTTAGGACCCTCAAGTTATTCAAGGGCTAGTCTGATCTTTTTGTATTATAAATAAAAAGAAGTGTAATATGACATTTACTTTAGCATTGACTACGCGTCGACTCAATTATTTGCTTAAATTGTAAGACTTCTAAATACCATAATTAATATTCATGATACTTTAAGTTATGAGCTTAGTCAGTAACTTATAAATTTATGTTCCGTAAAATGTAATATTTACAGTAAAGTAAACGTGGCTTTTGTTTGTTGTTGTTATATAAATGATGCGCTTTACATATCTAATAATAACTTCTAGGTCATTGCGAGACGTTGAACTAAAAACATTTGATGAATTTGTCTACGAAGCTTTTATAATACAGATTCTTAGAAATAAGATTAAGTAGACTTCTAAAAGATAAAACAGATCTTTGTAATACGATTGCTATTTATTGGTTAAAAAAATAAAAAGTAAACCTATTCAAAAGGAAACAACTTTACATCATTTGAGAGTTAAGCAAGAATTGCCCGTTTTGAGGAAAACGATGAAAAAATTAAAGTATTTACAGACACAAAAAAGGATACAAGCAAATTATAAAAACTTAGGGCGCAACCGACATTAACCTTGTTTTATGCGGAAAATTATTTTAAAGCCCACATGAGGCAATAGAAATGATACCAATGACCTTAAATTTGACCTTGGCAATAAAATTAGCAATTGCCATAGCGTGAAATTTAAAGCGATTACGATACATCGAGGTGCATCCGAACTTAATAAATGTGATAACAACAATCAAAATATAATTTACAATAGCTTAATCATGTACGCTTTTAAATACGATTCTAACTAACCATAATAGCATTACATCCAAAACCAACTAGTACCATTAAAATATCTCTACTAAATCCAGTAAATTAAAACACTTACAAAATGCAATAGAAAACAGAAGTAGTCCATTTGTTGTACCCGAGAGTTTGGATATCATCATTAACTGTGCTGGATCGAAAGGTAAATAGCTAATGTCATAGGCTCTTAAAAATAGCGTTGCTGGCATACGTGGTGTTTTATAATGCGAGGAGAGCGATGCCAAATACCATTTCTACTTCAGGCGAGCACAGAATCTTTTTAGATAGGAACTTCTCATAAAGCAACCTTTGTTTACACACTTAGATTCATCTTTTATCACTTACTCCAAAATATATAAGTTTAAAGAGAATATGCTCTATCGTAATAATGTCACTGTTTATTGCAAAGACGAAAAGAAAATACAAGTTTTTATAGATACAAGAATCTCATTCAAATTAAGTGGAAAGTCACGGGTTTTAAGAGATTCGGCAATAGATAGATATTGACACAGTAATGCAATAATTACGCGAGAAGTGGTTTAGATAAAGAGGGAACCACTAAACCGAATAACTAATGCTTGGAACAATAGCAATGAAAGTCTCAACTAAAATAAGTCAATTTAACGGCTCCGCTATGTCTAATTAATCAGTTGCATAAAGCAGTTACGAAAGCTGCATTTAGCATCTTCGCGGAAATCAAAGACCACGATCGGGCAATTACCGAGCAATCTAAATTAGAATTAGGAGATTAAGAAAATGCAACCTATTGAAACGATTTCAATAGAAAGTCACTTGATAGAACACTTTTATTTTCGGGTATCGTGGATCACGAAATCACGATACTGAAATGTTGGTGGTATTTCCAAAATTAAATATAGATTGTTTGTCATCTCAGTTGATGAAAAGAAACACGATTGTCAAGTGTTTTGAAAATATCAAAAATCCACATGCTTTTTAAAGAGTATTTTATCAACGTCCAGAGTGAGCAAAAAGAAGGAATTTAACTCTCTCCTCAACTTCAGAACGTACACTCCGGGGCCGTCACATAAAGCGAGGTGTTGAATTAATCAAGGTGACTTAGTTAACAACTATATGCGCATAAAAGGGGACTGGCGCGTATTGAAATAGATGCGAGAGGTGACCTAAAATTTATACTAGAGCATGCCAAACAATACTAACACTTTCAATATTATGTTTTATTGCTACTTTATTTTATTAACTCTTTGAGATGAGTATTACGCCAAGAAACAAACGATATTGAATCGGAAGTAAAGGATAAATAATCCGAGTCAAAAAATAAAATAAAAATTCGCTCTATACTAATAGTAGAGCTGAAGAGATTATCGTGTAAAAAAGGCATACCATCAACATTTTAATTAGTAACGTAACTTCATCCTCAACTCACGACAAAATATTAAACTTATGACATCATTGTATTTTCAACTAATGTTAAAATTAGACGTTGCGTATATCATACTAGTCACCAAAACATACAAAAAAATACTTAGACAATCCAAAATACAGTGCAGATTTAGCAGGCCACTACGGAATCGACAAATCTGGACAGGACAACAAAAAAATCTAAGCTTGCCACGGAACAATGCAGAAGCAAAAAGTTTAAACCAACTTTGTTAAACATTTTTTGACATGATTAGTTTGCAAGTGTGATGTCATTGCGGGGGTTGGTGTAAATGGTATATAATTTAATAATCTTCCTGAACGATAGGGAAATTCAAAACGGCTGTATTGCGATTTCAATTCGAATAAAGAAAAACTTTGATTTTGTGTCCTGTAAATTCAACACTGAATATATCGGATCACGTCCTATCAAACACTTATCGGAATTACACGAAATGCGAAATGGTCAATAAGGTTTCATAGTTTAGTAAGTTCAGTCTATGCAATTTATCAATGCATCTGTGATTTAGTAAAAGAAACAAACAATTAATCATATCATAAAGTTATAAACTTCCATTTGGAGTGCTTCTATAACGATGATAAAATAAACACTCATTATGATAAGACCTTCAAGAGACACAACCAAACAAAAACAATAAAGGTTTGGCATGTGTTCAAGACGAAAGAAAATATATTAATATCATTGATAACAATACCGGTATCTGCAATTTAAGCAGATAGATTTTTAAAAGGATGTCTATTATCATGTAGAGGTTAAGGTCATAGAAAGGCACTAACGTAATAAAAAACTATAAATAACCGAATCCTAAATTTACTTTAAACTTTTCTGCAAAATCGATAACCTACGTCGTAAAGATTAAGTAAAGCAGCGAGATAAATATAGGTATTATGAAGAGTTTCTTTATTTTTTGATAAAATGGTTATATTCGAGAGAATTTCCAATATATCACATCCTAAACCTTCTTGGTAAACACACACAAAACAAGCGCACTCAACACTTATTTGCACGTTGAATTCGCGATTTCGAATTCAGAATTCGTTCGTATTTCGTTTGAACACGTGGCGCAAGCGTCGGTCGCCTGTCGTCGTTCGCGTGTCACTGAAAATTCGACTTGGACCGGCGTCGTATCAAATCGTATTGCGCTATCTATCCGCGATAGACGATTAAACTGCAAGCTTCGGTGACGTAACACCGTTTAATTAATCTTTGATCACTACAGAATCCGTAGAAACAAACGGCGATTATATTAAAATTAAGCAGTAGCTAGTAACTGTATTCCACCCTTTGTTTTGATGATATTATGTTTTTGAGCATATTGCACTCATAAAATATTTATGGCATATTCTGAAACATTTCTTATTTTATCTCTTAAGGTAGAAAGGTAGAGAAAAGATGTTTCAATAACAAAAAACAGTGATAGAAGGAGAAGCGGAATTTAAACGAATATTTAAAAAGTAGGTAGTAGTTTCTTGTTACTCTTTGTTGAAATATGACTGCATTCAGATTCAGATCCTACTGGACTTGAACATTTGAGTAATGGCTGGTATAAATCGAAATATTTTTCTTTATTTACCTTTAACAACGTTAATATTATAAATTATAATACCATTGCTCTACTAATAAAGCTAAACTAAACTAAGTACTTGCACCATTTTCCATGCTTCACCGGCCGTTGAAATTTCTTATCACTCGCTCGCTTGCTTTCTAAGATTGTATTTAAAAACATTTATATAAATTGTATCAACATACATTTGCGTATCGAATTCGCTCTTGATACTTCCAGGTCAAGAATATCACTTGCAATAAAAAATACTCTATTAAATCATCGCTATTTTCATGTATGTTTACGTATTATAAAAGATAATGAATATATATTTGCCAAGATTTGAATTTCATCATGAAAGAAATATCCTTTATACACAATTCTAAAATATTTTTCTCGTGTCATCCGTGAATTTAAATTACCTGTATTTGGGTATCGGTTTTGTATTTATTTGCTGTGACTCTCTCATTTGCATAGCCTATTTTATTTAATTATCCATATTGTTTATGTTCATCTGTCGGTGTGAATTTATTTCAAAATTTCCTTGCGGTATTCTTAGTACCTACGTCTTTCTATTAAAAATTATTTAACTAAATTGAACACAAAGAAATCTATTTTTAATACATTTAATGTTTTAAAGTAATTATTATTAGATGGTAACTGATGTGGTAAAAATTATAAACCTTGCGAGGAAACTACGCTTAAAACTAAAGTAGAGACTGTGTCAGATACAAGAAAGAAAGATTGATAAAGAATTTCAAATGAAAATATAAACAATAGAGAGACTGTTTTCTTTATAAGTAATTCTTGTTCCCTATAAGGTTATCCCTGTTAAAGTCACACTATCAAGGCACATACATCCTGTATACCGACGTGTCGTATAAGTCATCGGAAGCAACCTTGACATCATGACCACGAGTGGTTCGTTGGCGTTACGTCACCTGCACACTATTAATAATTTTGTTATTTGACTTATTTCCTTCACACACGCCACTTGCTTTGAATCGAAATCACTTTTGAAGGTCATCTAGTCTAGCTCTCTTGTAGGCTTACAAATTAAGCACTGCCCAAGTGCTGATTTTTTTAAGCAGAATTGATTTGAAATTATTTCCGTAACGTTAAGTTGTTCCAAATGGTACTAGCAATTATAATTACACAGATTTATAAAGTTGTTTTGCCAGTGAAAAAGCAAAATTGTTTATACGCCACTTTTGTTTAACTTTAAATAAAAACTGCAAAGTTATAATTTTTAAGCAGCACCAAAGTGGCGGTTAAGCAATTTTGCTTTTCCACTGTCGATTTATTGATTTCTTATAAATATGATGTTTGATATTCCATTCCGATGAGGCTGCAAACGATTTTAGGTCAGATTTTGGTGGAATGTATGCTCTAAACTATTTTTATATTCAATGTGTTTTGGATAAAAGTGATAGTTGGATAAGTTTGGTCATGGCGTATATAGGCGTATAGAGGAGTTCGATGGCACAGGTGGTTAGCGCGTGCGAAGATAAGTTAAGCCGTTGGTCCCGGCTGCATCTGCAGTCGTTAGCACCCGCCAATTCGCACTGGGCCCGCGTGACTCCCTATTTTATCCATAGGGAAGGCCTGAGTGTGAATAAGGAGATATGACGAACCTTTGATGGTCTGCCAACCCAACCCAAAGTATATAAGTATTTCCACTGTATGTTGTCATATTGTAGTAATACAATTTGGAATTGGGTGATCAAAAATTTACTATCTCGAGCTCTTCCGTGTTTCGGAAGGCACGTTAAGTCGTTAGTCCCGGCAGCATCTGCAGTCGTTAGCACCTATCAATCTGCACTGGGCCCGCGTGGTGGGTCATGGCCCAATCTCCCTATGCCATCCATAGGGAAGGCCTGTGCCCCAGCAGCGGGGACATTAAAAGGCTGATGATGATGATGAATTTGGATATTTCCTTTCTAGCCATGCACATTTACCTTATCAGACTAAAAGAAAATAATAACAGGGTGATCACTGAAATGTTACGGTCGATTCATTGATTTGTTTTTTTTTGTCAGTCTGTCTGCGTGTCATTGACTCGGATGCGCTAGGATGCCTCGCACGTACCTAATTTGTCCAAAACTAGGTACCTATCCAAAGTATTTATACGGAATGTGCTAAAAAATACCGGCATTTGGCCTTTTTGTGGTTAAGGCAATACAGTTTTGACTTTTTCTTTTGCATTTTTTGTTATATTCTAAAATTGAATTTTATTTAGCTATTTTTTTCATTTATTTTCGAGTAAGAAGGTTTTATACAAAGTTAATATTCGTTCTTTTTGCTATTGAGTATTCGATAATCACTGTCATTATCTCAATTTTACTCAAACTTTAGTTTGAAGACGACGACTAAAGTGATACATCAGTGAATGTGAGTACAAAACCTAAAATACAGTTAATTTTTAAAAAATAAAAGAACACATGAATTAAAGGACAAAACATTAAAAAAAAAGTACAACACGGAAAAGCTCCATTACGATAATGTGCACAAATAACTAAAATTATAACCCACAGAGAAACATAAACAAATTGATCTGAACGGCAAAAAATCGCATTAGCTAGTGAGCACGATTCTCTACGTTGTATAATGCTTAAGTTACACAGGCAGTTATGTGGATATACTAAAATATTCTTCAATGCATTTGCTCGGAAAGTGATCTTTATTGCGGAAAGTGACTTTTTAATAACGTATTTTTAACTTCACTTTTTTTGGCGTCCTGGCATTTCCTGGGCCTAAGTACGCAAAATAGCCCTAACTTCAGTACCCTTAGTACGAGTTTTACAATTACGAAAACTATGATAGTTTTCGTGAGCTCAAACTGGTACTTAGGGTACAGACTTATATTAAAAATACAAAATCTTGTATATGGACTACTAGCTGTGCCCTGCGGTGTAACCCGCGGTTTATTAGGAATATTTTCCCGCAGTAACACATTCAGTTGTTGCTAGAAATAAAAATAAACGGATTAGAGATCTTGTCTATAAAATCTTGAATGTCGATATTACTACTCAATTACAAAACCAGCATTATTCGGTCTTCCATATACGTTTACAGCCTTAACCCACGCGTTTTCAAACCATATATGTTAATAGTCGTAGGTAGACGCAAAGATAAACTTCGAGATGTAATTAGGAACGCAAATACGAGTATATCCTTTTTTAAGTTTCGTCTGTTTTTTGTTTTTTAATATGCGATTTTGTCCGCGTCCTTTAATCCGCGGTGGGATGAATACTTCTTTGCCGTCCCGTCCCTGAAATCTGTGACGTAGGTACTCGTATGCTCTTTCTTTCGTACACAATATTTTTAAAACCTTTCGTCTTGTTTCGTGAGAACTAAAACGCATTTCGTATACAGGGACCTTAAGGTGGCCAGAGCGCTACCGAGCCTGCAGGGTTAGCAGAAGTTTACACTTGCGTGTTAGCAAACCTTTACTATGACGATTGAAAATCCGAGTCTATACTCCATATTCTGAAAGTATTAGTGCAAATATTTATCTGGCCTTCCTTATCCTTTAATTCCGATCGGAGCAAAATTACTAATGAATATCTTCTATTAAAATAAGGTTTTTTTTACTGATTTTGCTCAAAACAAAATGTAAACAGATGACTGTTCATTCACTGGTTTTCCTTTGAATATATTTATTTCCATAACCGGTGGCCCCCCTCCAAGGTTCGTGACATAACTGGATGACATCATGGAACGTGAATTAGACGCTAACAGTGTCAAGTGTAAGATTAACATTCAATCTATGCCTACAGCAAAACACGACTGTGGGAGAATATAGTCAGGCATTTCAACTGAATGTCAAAAGCAAAAAATTGAGCAAAATTTTGAATTTAGAGAGAAGATAGGATGATTGTTTAGAAACGACTGATCATCAAATAGGTGAAGTAAAAATATATTGCACCGATCCCAATAGAAATTGGAATAAATAAATAAATAAATATTTCCGACACTCACACCAATTAGCCTAGCTCCAAAGTAAGCACTATAAGGCTTGTGTTATGGGATGCTTGGGTAACGGATAGAATACATATACTGTACATATATAAGTATATTTATATAAATACATATTAAACATCCATGACTGGAGTACAAATGCTCGTATTCACCACACAAACATCTGCCCCCACCGGGATTCGAACCCGGGACCTCTCGAGTCGGCGACAGCCATGAAACCCGGCGTACAAACCACTCGGCCACGGAGGTCGTCAAGGCAAATAATACTTTAGACCTCATCATCAGCTTATTAATGTCCCCACTTGTGACGCATAGGCCTTCCCTATGGATGGAATGAAGAGATTGGGCCATAAACCACCACGCGGGCGCAGTATGGATTGGTGGGGGCTAATGACTGCAGTTGCAACTGGAACCAACAGCTTAACGTGCCTTCCGGAGCACGGAGGAGCTCGATCCAATGACCGATCATTGCGAAAGTTGCTTAACTTCAACGATCGCAGCAGAAAGCGCTAACACTTGCGCCATCGAGCTCCTTAATAAGATACGTTACTTTTAATATATTTTAGTACCAGCATAGCGTAACTGGAGCGTCCGTCTAGGGACGTAAACTGCATCTTTACGAGCAGATGACAGAAAATTTTCCTTTCGGTTTGATCAGATGATGATTACTTAAAAATGAATTGGTATTTGTCAGTGAGAAAGGTTCTATTACCACGGGGTAGGGCTAGGACATAGGATCAGCGTAGGCAATATTTAAGCTTAAGAAATACGAGGAATATAAAGTCTGGTTCACAACTGTGTATGTATCTACGTATTAAATAAAGCACAAAATCGATCTTTGAAAGCCGCGACACAAAATATTTAATACAAATCGTCTTTCAGTAGTTCGTTTTAGAATGTTACTGTGTTGTGCTAGTCCTAAGGTATATTTTTGTATACCTCGAATCAAATCGGCCTGTTATCTTTATAGTATTTCCTACGTACACTGTTTTTATTTATTCAATTCAATAGAAAATTGCGCGTTAGATCCGATATTGACCATGAAAGAGAACGCCCTTTAGCTATTAAGACAATTAATTCATTGAACTGTTAGTTTAGACTACATTGACAATTGCCAATTGTCAAATAAACTTAACCAAAAATCAACCAAGATAAAGGTCAACTTCAATAAAATCTCATATCAACTATTTACTTTCATTTTTTTACTCATAAAAGGTTCAATCGCTCAAAATCTATGATAGTGAAAAAATATTTCAGGGAGTTAGCAAGCTCCTTCCACAACTCTCGCTAATAAGTCATAACTACAACTCCTAGTCATATTTAAGAGCTGTAGTGTAGACTATTATAGCTTTCGTTCTTAAGCTTGAATACAAGCATTTTTTATACACAATGAATTTCTTTGAATGATTATAAACCTTCTAGAAAATTTATTTAACCGATAGTGAAAATTATGTTGCATAGTTTAGGACCCGTTGTACCAAATGCACCATATTTTTGTTGAACGCGCAAATCTCAGGAACTAATGCTCCGATACGATAAATGTTTTTGTGTTAGATAGTACATTTCTAGTTTTTTATTGAAGGAATAAACCTATATAATATTACCAGTAGGAGCGGAGTATCAATGTAAAATGTTACAAAAACGAGTAAAATTAAGCATTTTTGAGATTCCGTTGCGTACGCTGCGTTAATGATTAAAGTTACACAAAATTCCTTTAAAAGTTCTTTAAAAAAGTCCACGGCAGCATATGCCCATCTTTTAAGTTTGTCTCACTATAACCTTATTCTTCAAATTAACGGGTGAAAGCGTGAGACCTTTAGTTGTGACATAACTGTAATAGTTACACATATGATATCTCAGACTTTTTTGTAGATATTTATGTCCTCTATAAAAACTTTAGTACATCACTTTGCTCCATTGTCAATGATATCCGCAGCGTTAGCGATATAAGGTTATTTTTCGGTTTTTTTTTCACATCCTGGGTTACAATATCGAACTTTTCATACGAAACCCTAACTTTTTTGATAATACTCTATAGCCTAGTTCATCAGGGATAATGTAGGATTCTAAATGTGTAAGAATATTTGCAAATCGGTCTAGTAGTTCCTGAGCCTATTCAATACAAACAAATAATCAAATCTTTCCTCTTTATAATATTAGTATAGACTATAAGTCGTGGCACGAAACTCTAGCGCTGGCCGTTATTGCGCGGAAGTAAAAATTAAGATGTGTCGGGGGGAAACGAGGTGCGCGGGTGGGCGTGCGTTGCGCCGATTGGCTCTCCAGTCGTGCTCTCCAGTCGTACCCATGCCCAGCTATCCCCTCCGCGTTTTTTTCAACGCTAAAGTAACGTGCCGCGACCTGTACTAACTGCCGTTTTAGAACGTGATCGAATTAATTTACACTTTTAGTGGTCGTTTATTTTCCGAATTCAACCATTTTCAGTTGGATTCAGATTTTTCTGCCAAAGAGTATATAGTTCTTTGAATGAACCAATAGGTTAATATATTAAAGTATATCTAATGCATTATAAAAACACTAATTTTCCTTCCTC